CATTGCCTCCAACTTCAACACGTGTTTTGTCAACAATTGCCAATGGAAATCCAAACCCAAGAAGCACGAATCATCCTGGCCATGGAAGCTATTCGAACGTCCAAAAATCTAAGTCGTCATAAGCAAAGATCTACAAAGTGCCTTTATCTACACTCCGTGACAGAATGAACGGAAGAACTCCAATTCAAGAATGCCGACCATCAGTTCAAAAATTGACCAAACTAGAGGAGGAAGTGATTATTCGGAATATACTTGATATGGATAGAAGAGGATTTGCGCCCCGACTGGCTGGTGTAGAAGATATGGCAAATTTGGTCTTGAAATCACGAGGACATCAGCGCGTCAGAACACGCTGGGCTCAACGATTCATACAACGACGTCCAGAATTAAATACGCATTTCAATCGCGTTTATGACTTTCAGAGGGCCTTGTGCGAAGATCCTGAGCTTATTGAGGGGTGGTTCCAGCTGGTAGAGAATATGAGGGCCAAATATGGTGTTCTAGATTGCGATTTCTACAACTTCGACGAGACTGGCTTTATAATGGGCATTATTTGTCCTGCAATGGTTGTTACACGTGCAGATCGATGTGGCAGAGGCAAAGCTGTTCAGCCAGGCAATCGAGAATGGGCTACAGCGATTGCTTGTATTAATGGTGAGGGTTGGAGTGTTCCTCGATTTTTAGTGGTTCAAGGGAAATGTCATCTTGCAAGTTGGTATACGGAGAGCAATCTTCCGGACAACTGGGTGATTAAAACTACAACTAATGGATGGACAGACAACCAGACGGGTCTTGAGTGGATTTAACACTTCGATAAGCACACTGCTGCTCAAGCAAAAGGGCCATATCAAATGTTGGTACTCGATGGGCATGAGTCACGAGTCAGCTGAATTTCAAGAATATTGCAAAACTCACAACATTATAACTCTTGGATTACCTCCTCACTCCTCTCATCTAACTCAGCCACTTGATGTTGGGTGTTTTAGTGTTTTGAAACGGGCATATGGTCGTCAAATTGAGACTTACATCAAAGCTCATATCAATCACATTATGAAGGTTGAGTTCTTTATAGCCTTCAAAGCAGCATATTTACAGTCAATCACAACTGAAAATGCAAAGGCTGGATTTCAAGGAGCTGGCTTAATACCTTTCAACCCTCAAGCAGTGATATCAAAGCTTGATGTCAAGTTACAGACTCCAACACCCAATGATCCCCCCTCCACCAATGCTGACCCTTGGGTCTCTCAGACGCCTCACAACCCAACCGCTGCTCTTTCTCAGACAACTTTGGTTAAGAATCGTATTGCCCTTCATCAAGGAAGCTCACCAACACTATTTTTACAACAGTCGCTGCGTTAGCAAAGGGTACAGAGATATTAGCTCATGAGGTTACACTCTTGACAGCTGAGAACTGTACTCTTCGCAAGGCAAATGAAGCACTTGCAAGCATCGCAGAGCTAAAAAGAATCATATCCATCAAGGAGGTGCACTTACTGTAGAGGATGCAAATGATATTTTAGCACAAAAGGAGGTAGATGAGCAGATTCGACGCAACAAGCGTTCTGAGGGAGGTAATCAAAATGAGGGGCAATCAGCTGCGCGACACTGTGCCTCTTGTGGAAAGACTGGTCATAATGTGCGAACTTGTAGATATGCTTAATTCATCAGATTCTGATAAGTTTTAATTGATTTTATATGTTATGGTTGAGTAATTGTATTTCAAAGTGGTAGGGTAGGGGAAAAATTAACGAGGTACTGTACAACCACGTTAGCTTGGTCTGGGATACATAGATGCGGAAAGCTCTCAGTCAGTATTTCGCCCAGAATATTATGAAGACAACTCTGTCACAAAGCTCACAGTGGTTCAGGGTTCAATGATCCTCTCCGTATGCATCCAGTCATTAGATTTTTACATGATCTACAACGACACGCTACCGGCTAATCCCGCGTTTACTTCAAGCAGCTAAGCAGCCGTGCTCATGAAGGAATCGCGCTTGTCCCTTCACAACTACCAAATCAAGGTGTAGGCCATTTCTACCACGTCAAGGGCCTCGTATGCTGGGGGATGGAGTAGGAGGTACAGGTATCTTATCAGTTTGGGGCTAGTCACTCCTTTCAGAGGTCAATTTACCAGTTTCAGATGCCGGTCTCCTATCTTCCAGCCTAAGAGCGTGTCTCGAGAAGCCGGCCACCACCTCATCATCCGCTAGGGGTCAATGGCACGATCCTACATCTGCCGCGGAGAGACTGTGTGGCGTGGGTGACAGAAGTTTTTGATCAACTTCGAGAGAACTCCTTAAGGATGACAGGTTATGAGGTATTTTGTATCCTTAGGTTTAGCTATGCTCAAGGGTTCACCAGTTTCGGAATATTTCACTTCTCAAACGCTATTTCCTGGCAGAATATGAACTGCTAGAAATATTGTCAATTGAGATCAGTAGCCGTGAAATGTCACTGTTCGGCATGGGTTGGTAGATAAGTATCCCAGGTAGGTCCTGTTACGAGGTGGCCAGCAAGCACGATAAGCCCTGGCAGGGCCTCCTGCCGCGTTACAGTTCGCACTTTAGCCTTTAACTGGTTTGCAGGGTCGTTCGTAGTGCTCATATTGACTTTCGACACTTGCAACAAAGTGATTGTCGAGGTATTTCAGCGCAGAGAGAGAGAGTGGCTTGAATCATTTATTTAAGCCCTAGGGAAGTGGTCCCGCAAGGCTGTCAAAATGAAATGTTACAAGGTTAATAATAATTGCGCACCAGTACGTATAGGAGATCAGCGTTAAGCCAGGGTGGAGCCACCAGGCCCATAACCGGGCTCCTTCCTCCAATACCCCACATGTCGAAATGATGATACCATGATAGTCGAGGTCATTGGTTAGGATGATTCATATTCTAAAAACTCATTGAATCATTTGCAGTCCCTATGCGCAGCGGCGACCGAATTTGCTGCCCAGAGTCAGCACCGAAACAACACAAGGGGAAGGGAGTCTACTCACGGCAAGCCCCGACTCGAGGGCAGCCCAAGTGGCACGTGCCTCCTCGTAGAGGTCATGCTCCGCCTCGTAGAGGTCATGCTCCGCCTCGTAGAGGTCATGCTCCGCCTCGGAGTGGAACTTGGGGACGCTCTGGGCGGCCAGGAGGGTCACCCGATTTGCCTCAGTGGCGGCAGCGGTGACGTCAGTGGGAATGAGGGGGGTGGCCTCTTCGGCGGCGTGGAGGGCCGCAAACTCTTCCCCAAGGAACCAGGGCAGCTATTCCCCAAGAGCAGCACCAGCCAACCAACCCCAACACCGAATCCCAAAAGAAAATCTACCGGGACACAAGCCGAGTGCTGTGCGGTGCAGTACCCGCACTTGGAGCTGGCCACGGACCAGACGCAGTTGTGAGATTGGATCCCACGAGCTTTTGCCTGAAGGCAGCGCAGACAGAGCACTCGGAACGCAGCCGAAAGGCCCCCGGAGGGCGTCGGAACCGGCATTGTTAAAGTTGGAATTCTGCGAATCCTGTCAGCCCAGCACACGTTGTCACCCATGCACCAATGCATTCCCATCACCTACTCGTTCGTGTGGATTGGAAATATACTATCCAATTTATTAGTACACCATCAGACAATCCGGAGAAGGGGTCACTTACCATCCTCGGAGGGGTAGTCGCTGGCGTTGTTGTTGGAGACAACAAGAAGAAGTGGAGGAGGCTGCGTACTCATAGTCTGGCTTACAACAATGAACTCCGAATCGGGTTAGCGCGGCCACTTCTCCTTTCATACATAGGACAGTTCAACCCGAATGCTTCACAGATGCGATTCGGAGTCCACTCGGACCACCACGAATGTACCCCAGAGCATACAAAGCAAACTCTGGTTTCACACACTAAACGGAGTCGATACGGCACAACTCTAGCATGACATACAACGCACCTTCCTGACACGGCACATAAACAGGGTTGTTACAGATGCAATTACAAACAGAATTCCTGCCAACATAGAACGCTCTTCTCACGGATACCATTCAGAGATGTTGCGGAAATGATTCTCACAGCATGTTTCGCAGATAAAACACTCTCTTAAGAGGGGGGGTAGTGTAAGGATGCCTCCGCCCTCAGTTACAGAAGGGATCGGAGTCGGACAGGTTACGGTCACGTGGGGAGAGTTAGGGCAGGTTAGCCAAGTCGGACCCGTTTCGGGTACTTAAGGGGATTGACCCAACGGGGTTTCTCATCATCTTTTTTGTATCCTTCGTAATAGACCTATAGGATAGCATCTGTTTAGCCTCCAACTCGCACTCTCATATGCTATTACTGTGAGCTGGGTGCCCTGTGTCCTTACACCAATCCTCTTCCTGTTCTACAATGAAGAGCTTGTCCGGCAGTGCAACGATAATGGAAATGCTAGTGCAATAGGCTTTGTATACGATGTCAACATATAGCCTGGGGAAAAACAACGGAGGGCAACTGCCAGAAGCTGAGCCAGATCCATGACATATGTGCTGACTGGGCACGCCGCCATGGGGCCTCATTTGCACCACAGAAATACGAGTTGATACACCTTACAAGGAACACAAAGAAGTTCAACATGGCAGCATCCATTGCTGTAGACTCATGCAACATCAACCCAAAGATGAATATAAAGATACTAGGCCTCCAGATTGACGCTAAACTAAAATTGGGACCCCATGTTAAGAATATGGAGGGAAAGATGACAAGCCAGGCGCTAGCGCTCTCCAGGCTCTCATCAACCTGGGGTACTACACTCCAGAAGACAAAGCTCATCTACACAGCAGTAGTCCGACCCTCTCTTTCCTTTGCAGCAGCAACATGGTTTGAGAGCCCTCCGACAGAAGAAGCTGGAGTCACGGCATTAAAGGGAAGCAAACTGTCAAAAATGTGACACATTATAAGATGAGTATATATTCATTCAGTCTAGCGCCTAGAGTCTGAGTTCTCTCAGGGGAACTCGGCGAATAGTTACAGATAGATCAGTAGATAATACAATACCTTTGATGCTTCCGACTAGACTGCTACTGCTGGACGTCGCCCCTTTCTGGTTTGTTGAGCGTAGCACCACCCAAGCAACAGTTATGAGCCCGGCCCGCATCCATTGACGTCTGTATTACTCTCCGTTGCTATATTGGACTCGAGTCCTGCAGCGTATCAGACAGGTCTTACGAAAGCCAAAGACCTACACCATCGATATGGTGACGCAGACAGTATCCAGCCAGACGATTCTGACTGGACCACGAGACTGGCCGAGCTGGATTAGTCAGATCAAGCAAGCAGCAAGGAAACACCTTCTGTGGCCGTATATAGACCCAGGAAAAGACCTGGAAGACCTAGAGGTTCTCGAGCAACCAAGCTTGATCGAAGCCACGCCAGAAGATGACCTTCGACAGTCAGACCTGACTATAAAGTACGAGATATAGCTGATCGAAGGAAGCTGTGGGAATGATCCCTTCGAATATATGATCAGAGAGCTGAAGCTCTAGAAGAACTATGCATAGTTATACGAGCCACAATTCACAGGAACTTACTACACTACACAGAATGATGTGAGACTGCCTGGGAGATGCTCCGAAAACTCAAGGATCGAGTTGCGCCTTCGGATATCAACTACGAATCAATGCTGATTGACGACTGGAGGGAACTCCGTACATGTGAGAAAGGAACTGGAACACTCGACCAGTGGTTGGACAAGTGGATCTACACATATGATATATGCGCAGCAGCAAAACTCCCTGATGTGGCAGGCAATAGAGGGATCAAAGACTTCATTGGTGCTGTGGCACTGATGTCCCCAGAATTGGCTACAATTCAGAATATAGCCCTGGTCAAGTCTACAGACCCAATCGACTGACTTCCTTGAAGTGATCACGGAATACAGGAATGTCATGAAGAACTCCCATTCTTGGGAGAAGCCATCTGGGACCAAACATAGTGCTTTTTCGACAGAAGCTACGCTCCAAGGGCGGGGACAAGGTGGACCAGCAGGAAATACACAGGACAGAAGACCCTGTCTATGTGGCGATATCCACAGATTTAGTGCATGCCCATATGGGAATGAATCCATGAGAATGGCCAACTGGAGGCCAAAACAAGACAGAATCAGATCAACGAGAAACTCAAGGACAATCAGTCCCTTAGAGATGCTTGGAAGCGTGCGATCAGATGGAGAAAGGCAGAGACTGAGAGGAAGACACCAGGAAAAGAGCAAGACTCTCGATTTCAGGACTCTCAGTTTACGGATGTTCTGGAAGAAAGAGCCTACGCCATAACAAATATGGTTGCATCAGTTGGAGCCTACAGTTCTGTCTTAAAAGACATGTGTCCTTCTTGATTCAGCAGCTACACTGCATGTCTTTAATGATATAAGACGCTTTCAAGATTTTAGACTGCCAGGACCAGACGATTTCTTACTTGCTGGAAAAGAGAGAATCCCAATCGATGGATGGGGTACAGTTTCTGTCAACGTGAGAACTCCTGAAGGTCTTGGAACTATCACTTTGCTAGAAGTGGCTTATATGGAGCACTTCCACACAAACGTGGCTTCGTTGCGAGTCTTTGTAAGCAAAGGATGCAACTGGAATACAGAAACCCTACAGCTCAAGTCAAGGACAGGACGAATCCTTGCACAGACGCCATATATTGAGAATAATTGGATACTTGAACATAATCCTCAGCCAGATCCATCGCCAACTAAAAGCAGTGTATATGCTGCCCACAGATCAAGAGAACCTCGGCCAGACAGTAAAGGCTCAGGAGTTCTATGGCACCAGAGAATGGGACACCTATATGGTGATGCAGTCAGTCGATTATCCAGTTCTGCAACAGGAGTTGAGCTTTTGGACAAGAAGTATGACCAAAACTGCGTAGAGTGCCGACTAGCACATTCAAAAAGGATTATATCACGCCATCCACGCCAGGTGGCTACTGTTCCATTTGATGTTCTGCACTGGGACCTTATTGAGTGCAGGGAAGTAGTAGCAGGAAAGAGATACATTTCTCACTTCTTCGACGAAGCAAGCAAGAAGAACTTCATATTCAGTGTGCCTGACAAGAAACAGACGACTTTGATGCAGAACTTCAAGGAAATGAGAAACCTAGCCCGTACGCAGTACAAATTTGAGTTACGCATCATATTCATGGATCATGATAGGTCTCTTCGAAATGAGCTGAAAAGCTTGTCTCAGCTGAAGGATATCAACTTTCTCATAGCGCAACCTATACGCCTGAACAGAATGGAACTATTGAACGTTCTGGGGGAGTAATAATAGCGCGGGCGACAGCCATGAAGAGGAAGCTTCCTACAGAACTGTGGCCAGAAATCTACAGCGCAGCTGGATATCTCCTCGATCGGTCTCCTACTCGAAGCATAGACCGGGAAACGCCTAACGGTTTCTTAGCCAAGGCCTCGGGAATTCAGAACCAACTGAAGCCTAGCCTCGCACACTTGAGAGTCATACTGATGCAGAGCTTATGTCCATATTCCAAATAGACCAAGGCTCGATAAACTGGAACCAAAGGCTGAAGTGGGATATCTAGTGGGTTATGAGTCTACGAATATATTCAGGATCTGGATTTCGTCAAGGGACATAATAGTAGCATCAAGGGATGTTACTTTCAGCGAGACAATTGAATATGATCCAGCCCTCCACCTACCCAAAGCCGAACTGCTAATCCCAGTCCAAAAGGATGTGCAATTGCCAGTGCTTACTCAAGACTATGAAGCTGATCAGGAAAGCGAAATTGGTGACACAATTGTTTGTGCTCCTTGCCCAATGCAGCTGCAGACAGTGGACTCAGCTAAGCCAGCAGACTCAGCTGCTGTCTTTGCTAAGGGGGTGGATATTGAAGCAGAATATGAGACTCAAAATGAGAATCGACGGCAATGATGGGCAGCCCTGACCTTTCCGCCGACCCATTCTATTCTTCATAAGCAGTGGGATGCAAGTTATGGATTATCCCACCTCCACCCCTTCCTTCTTAGTGCCACCATCCTGAACGTACCCCGCGCCGTGCCTCACCCATCGCCACGTAACAATCGTCAGTCGATGACTCGTCATATCGGAGAGCACCCAATCGCCTGTCGGAAATCCTGCCGTGCCGACGCAATCGGCCACTCTTCAGGCACATCGAGACCAAGCTCCGTCATGAACTGCCGAAATGTATTGATGTCTACATGGAAAATTAGCATCCCTTCCTTTATAGATTTAGTAGCTTTCCCACTGACTCGTGATCCCCTGCACTCGCGCTAGATCTCGTGGAAATCGAGGTATAGGTTGATTCGTCGTGATATTCCGCAACGGACGTAGTTGCTGATCCGCTTGGGTCACGCGTTGGTTCGCGAGCATAGCTGATGTGTTGTAGTAGCTATGACGAAGGTGGAAGGTTAGCAAAAGGTAAGTCTATCTCGCATTGCACAGTAGCAATTACGTAACAATTAATTATATCTCCACGAACCTAGCTCGCAACTCAGCCTGGATCGAAGCAAGCTGCTGCTGGATCTGGAGGGCCTGAAATGCCGGCGCCTGAGGGAAACGCGAGATTTCTGTACCGAGGCTGCTTTGCGCCTCTGACACTGCTGTTAACGCCGCCGCAGCGTTGGCGAAAGCTTGCGAGCTGGACCGGAACTCGTTGGCCATGATAGCTGGATTTGGGAGAGCGTGCGTCCTAGGCCCGACCTCGCTGGCCATGATCGCTGTATTTGGGACAGTGTGTGCTATATTGGATGCTTTGTATATAAGGAGGTGAAGTTGAGATGAAGATTATGTTTGTATGTTTTGTAAGGCCGAATGTGGCTTGTTGTGTTCTGTTGCTATCGCGACGCTCGGACTCGACGAAGTTCAGGATGTCAGGCACGTGACTGCCACTCGAAGGCGGTTTTGAAAAATTATCCGGACACTTTGTAAGCGAGTCATCAAAACAATGGATTCGTCGCCGCCCCCAACTGACGGAGAATGGCCTACTCCATCGATCTCGAGTGTTATCCCGATATGCGCATATATACGCAAAATTGCAGCTGCTACAGACATTTTAAAATCAACTGTACAAGATCAAGCTCGTTGATGTCCGACAATATCCATGTGATGCGTATGAACGATGGGACGATCGAAGTTGATTTGGTGCTATTAAACATTCGCTTCTTCATCAACAAAAGCGGTCAGCTTGAGTCTAAGGAACTAGATGCGGTGGTCGACCTAGACCAATCGCTGAACACCTTACACGGGCTCAGGGTTAGCACAAATAATCATAATAATCATGACTAACTATATGCTTTTATAAATAATCATGATTATGATTACGACTACATAATCATGATTATAATTGATTTTCTAACCCTGCGTGCGAGCTGATGCTGTTGGAAAGCGATGGAGTGTCGTGGGATGGTTGGATGATAGTGTTTATATTTTCTTCTGCATTTCTGATATCCAAAGTTTTCGATCGGTATTGGAGGCACTGTTCATCGCGGCATGGTATCTTAGGCTCGTACAACCCGACCCGATGCTGTTGGAAGCGATGAAGTATTACGAGATGGTTGGTTATTCTTTCTATCCCTTCGCTGCTTTTTATCTCCTGTATTTCTGATATCCAATTTCTCGTCGTATTAGTTACACGCCCCCGCCCTGTCCTCCTCTCCCGCCCCCACGCCGAATCGGCGATCAATGCAAGATATTCTTTCCTATCTCCTAATCCTCCGAATCGCCCTCCTGTACTACACTACCACTACACACGCCTCACTTCCTCGCCGCCCCCTCCGCAGTCTCCAGTAGCCCCGCCTCGCGTACAAGCTCGTAGAACAGCCCCTTTTGCTCAATCAGCTTAGCCGGCTCGTCGAACTCGCGTACCCTTCCCCCCTCCAACACAACAATTCGATCCGAGTCAAGGATAGTGTTGATGCGATGCGCAATAGTGATTATGGTGCGGCTGTTGAACTCGGTCGTGCGCAGCGTCGCCTGTAGCAGCGCGTCGGTCTCGACATCGACAGCGGCCGTCGCCTCGTCCAGCACTAGGATGTTAGTCGGCGTTAGCAGCGCGCGCGCCAGCGAGATGAGTTGTCGCTGTCCCTGCGAGAGGTTCGATCCTGAATTCCGCGTCAGTTGTGTGGTCGCACAGGATTGTTTGGGTGGGAGTGGGGTGGCGGGCGTGCCGCGGCGCTGCCGCGGACAGGTATGTGAAGTGCGGTATTTGACGGCCGCGTGCATTCACTGGCTGGGGAGGATGGGGCGGGGATGGGGACGGGAGGAATGGGCGGGGGGGGTTAAACATACCTCCTTCGTGGATCTTTGCTTCAAGGCCGCCAGTCATGGTGGTAACATGGTCCTTCAGTCGCGCATGGTCTGTCTTACCGTCAGCAAGTGTTACGTACGATACATACCCCTCTCCTGTGCTCCTTGTGTGCGACCCCGTATCGTCCGACGAGAAACAGGCGTCTCGTCGGCTCACGAGGCCGCGCGGGGAGCACCAAAACGGGGAGAGGCAGGGACTTACTCAATACGCTCCATAACTCAGTGTCGTCGTGCACGCCGCCAGGATCAAGGTTGTCGCGGACAGTGCCCTCGAATAGCGCTGCGTCCTGTGGGATGATGGCCAAGCGCCTTCGCAGGTCCAGTAGTCCAAGTTGCGAGGTGTCCAGGTCGTCGATGTTGATATTCCCTTCCGCCGCTTCAATAATGCGGAAGAGCGCAAGGGTGAGACTGGACTTTCCAGCACCCGTGCGTCCGACAACACCAATCTTCTCATGCGGCTTGATCTTCAGGGTCACATTCTTGAGCACGAGGTCCAAGCCCTCGCGGTACCTCGTGCTGTAGTTGTCGAACTCGACGGCGCCTTGTGCGGGCCAGCTGATCGGCACCCGCTTATTGTGGAAGACCTCTGGTGCTTCGCTCGGCAGGTTCGCGTACTCGAGCACGCGTTCCACAGACACGATGTTCGTCTCAACCTCGACTGTCTGACGCACGATCCAGTTGAGCGACTGTGTGATCTGGAGCGCGTACGACATGGCCAGTCCCACCAAACCTGCATCTGGTCCGTCTCCAGATGACACAGCAATGATCGCGAAAGTCGCGGCACCGAGGATAATGAGTGAGCCGAGGAATTCAAGGCGGACGGCCAACCATCTGTTCGCGTTGATGGAGGGGAAGTAAGCCCTGAGGTTAGCATCCACGCGCCACTCGTTCTCCACAGTGAAGCGCTCTTGCTGACCATACGCTCTGATAGTCGAAATACCTCCGAGGGACTCCTGGAAGTGGGCGTAGATGGGACTCTTGCTAGTGCTGTCGAGACGCTTAAGTTCTCTCGATGTTCGCAGGTAGTATCTCTGCACCCACATGTACACTGCACCAAGCGGAATGATGACTGCAATGAAAGCGGGGGTGGCTGCTGAGATAACTACAAGTGTGAATATGGCTCGAGCAGCATTTACGAACAGCATGTTGAAAGTCCGCGCCAACACCTCATCGACACGATAGATGTCACTGGAGAAGCGGTTCAGGATTCTTCCAGCTGGGGTCGTATCAAAGAAACTCATGGGCGACCGGAAGATGGCATGGGCCATTCTCTCATGTAGTTTTCTCGAAGCCTGTAAAAATATTATGTCAGCTCTACACCTCTTGTAGTTTGAATATCATCAATCGTGACAACACCCATCTTAGACAAACGCACCTCAATAGAACAGAATATCCACAAGATCAAAGTCTGGACAACAACCAGCAACGCCGACCCAATACCAAACGAGAAATAGACCCCCAAATACATCCCCGTATCTCTATTCTCCGCATTCTTGCTGTTATAATCCGCCCAGTTCTTAAGCCACACATTAGCCGCAACCTGCGCCGTCTGCGCACCAACCAAGGTGATCAAGTAGATGCCCACGGCAACAAGGTTGGCCGTCTTCGCGTACTCCTTATAGACGTTCCACTTCACCTTACCCTGCTCCGTGAACTCCTTCGTCTGCCTCGTGCGGGTGGTAGGTTCTTCCTCGTCGCGGATCTTATCTCTAGTGTCTCTCATAGTTGCCGCACTCGCGCGACGCAGTGTGCCGTCGCTGCTAGCGCGTCTCTTAACCTTCGAAGGTGACGAGCGAATAGGTTGGAGGGTAGTGAGGCGCTCCTGGGCCTCCTCGGCGGCATCTTGGTCCTCCTCGTTTGTGGCACGGTCCACAACGGTGGAGGACTCGCTGGTGCTGTCGTAGCTAGATTCGACTTCATTTGCTGTCTGTGTGCTGACGCTCTTGATTAGGTTGGCGATGTCTCCCTTCATGGCGATGAGTTGCGAGTAAGTTCCACGCTCGATGATGCTGCCGTCTCTGATCAGCGCGATGAAATCGGCCTCCATCAAGACTGGGATCGAGTTCGTGGCGAGGATACGGGTCTTTCCGGCGAGTAGTCCAGTGGCGCCAAAGACCTGGTCGATAATATGGCGACCGACATGCTGGTCAACGGCCGAAAGGCAGTCATCAAGGAGATAAACATCCGCTCGTGCGTAAACAGCTCTTGCGAGAGTGAGACGGGCCTTCTGGCCACCACTCAGGGAAATACCACGTTCGCCGACTTCGGTGTTGTCTCCATCGGGGAGCTGAGCGAAATCTTCCAAAAGCGCACACGCCTTAATCGTCCTGTCGTAGAAAGCTGGGTCCCATCGGTGACCGAAAACAATATTATCCTTTACGGTTGCATTCATGACCCAAGGTTGTTGGGCAACATATGCTATCGAACCGTGGACTGTAACTTCGCCATTAACCTTATACAAGTCTCCGAGAATACTCTGGAGGAACGAAGATTTCCCAGACCCGACTTTGCCGACAATGCAGCTGAACTCGCCCTTGCAGGCGCTGAAGGTGATGTTCTGGAGGGCAGTCTTTCCCTCATGGCGATCCCATGAGAAAGTTCCATCGCGGATACGGATTGTCTCCTCGCCGAGCTCTTCGACGGCAGGCAGTGCAAGAACGGCGCTTTCTTGGAGCTCCTCGGCAGTGAAGAATGATGTTAGACGTCCAACTGCAACAGAGGCTTCGATGATGGATGTGATCACCATCGGCAGGATAGCCAATGGGAATGTGAGCAGGTTGAACAGGGTCAACGCTGGGAAGACAATGTCAATTGTCAATGGCTTGTCCTGGGTAAGAACGAAGACTGCAAAGGTCGAACAGGACACAAGGAAAGGGGTTGTCGACCAGGTGAAGTTGGCAAAGGCCTGGGCAGCACCAATCTTGCGCAGTGTCTTCAGTTCCTGCTCGTTTCTGACGTAGTTGAGCTTGTTCATGAATGCGGATCCCCATGCGTAAAGCTTAATGCTCTTCATGTTGTTGACGATCTCGGCGATCAGCCTCGTTCTTGAATCCTTGTTCTTCATTTGCTTCTTCTGTAGGGTCTTCATGAGACGCGCGAGGAATCCATTGATGGGAATCATGAAGATCATCGCAGCCACACCAGCGAACATAGAGAATCCAACAAGCTGGTACAGAGAGATCATGCAGAGCGTAATTTGGTATGGAGCAGACCACAGCTGCTGGCCGTATTGGGTCAAATCTTGTAACCTCTGGGTATCAACAGCCATGTAGTTCACAATGTCTCCAGTTGACTTGCTTGCGCGCCCCTCGTTGGATAGCTTGAGAGACTTGCCGTAAATCTTGGCAGTCAGGGCGGTCTTAATGCGCATTCCCGTCTCAAAAGAACGCTGGAAATACTGGTGGAGAGCCAATGTCTGTCCGATAGACACGGCGAACATGCCCAAAGCAATAGCAACACCCTTGATTACTGGCTGGGGCGTGGAGGTCTTGTAGGACCCAACATAAACGATCAGGAGACGCAGTAGCTGAGGCTGAACGAAAGCCAGCGAATCGCTTACAACCTTGAAGATGGAGCCACGGAAATAAGGCCCGCTGAAGCTGCGGAACATTGCCATCCACAGGGACGGGTTTTTCCTATGCTTCAACTCGTAGTCCCAAGACTTTTCGAAAGAGCTTCCCGTTGCTTTTGTAGTATCTCTCTTGGCCAAGTTCCAGAGGTCGTCCTCAGTCAAAAACTCCTTGTATCCATACCTCATCAAAGGAGTCATCCAGCCAAAAGTAAGGATCGAGAAAACCGTCGCGTACTCCGCCGGGCACTCATCTTCGTCGCCCAACGCATCATAAGAGCTCACCCGCTTCTGCACCAGCCACTCCAGCGCAAACTCAACAATCGAGAGTCCCAAGCCGACACAGTATGTAACGAAGTATGGCAAAGATTTGATGTAAATCTGCTGCGAAACCAACGACCGGAGCTTGACGCTAAACGCGATGATGAGGAGAAGCCAGTAGAAAAGGACGACGCCGTTCGGGTTGCGAAGTCGAGTGTGCTCGAGCCATTGGATCTGGAATATAACGCCGAGAGATATGATTGTGAGGACGCTGCTCCAGAAGCGGAAATCGCCGGCCCAGACGTCCGGATAGCTTATAACTTGGAGGATTAATTGGACGAGTACCGTAGCTGCGATCGCAATAATAAGGACCTATTATTACAGAACCGTTAGCATGAAGCTCTATACTCATGTAGCCTATACGAGGCGCCCCGTCCAATTGGCGACTCCCCAGTCCCCCAACCGCCTCCGGAGTTGACGCCCGGGCACAAATCACAATCTAACATACCTGCTTTGTCCAGAAGTGCAAATCCCTCTTAACATCCTGCTCCCTCTTCCTCGCCAAATACCATATCGCCGCCGCTCCAAACAGTATACCATACACAGCCACCGACGAGACCCAAACATCCATAAAACACGGCGTGAAGTCATATCGGAACGGGCTCAACGGCCCCCACCCCTCTTCATTCCCACATAGCGGCTGATGTCTCTCGGCCGTCGCAGTCAAATATCCCTTCCCGAGCGCGCCAATCTCGTTGTGTAAGCCGGAGAAGGAGCCAGACGCCAGGATGCGCTGGGTCGTCGGCGAGTCGGAGCCCAGCATGACGGAACCAGACCAGCTTCTGCTTCTTGGTTTTACAAAGAAGCTCCGTTCGCCTGTTTGTCGTATAAAGCCGCGAGGGGGGAGTGTGTTTATCGGTTCATGTCGTTGGGGGAGGAGGGAGAAAAATAAGACGTTAGGAAATAGGCAGACAAGGTAGCTTGGTAAGCCGGGGAAGAAGCTTGGGGAACTTTTAGGATTGGGGTGGAGTGTTGGAAGTCGTGGGTGGTGATTGGGTGGGGGGGTATGCGGGCGCCACGCGGTGGAGTGGGGTAGGGTTTGTAAGAGGAATGCGATGGACGTCGAGATGTTCCGACTCATGCATTTACTGCATTTACTTGAGACTAAAGCTACAATTTGTCTTACAGGTTTAAATCGTAAATAAATTAAAGTGAATGCCGGAATAATTATTGTTCAGTGTGGTGGTAAATGGTGCTGAGGAAATATTGTGGGGGTTCCCGCATTGTCACTAACTCGTAATAAATAGGAAGTTAAGAGAATTTAATTATGAAGTCATCAAATATTTTTTATAAGAACAACAACCGCCGTCATTCTCTAGTACCGTACGCAACGACCGCGGTACATAGGTTATATCAAGTGCCTTGGCAATATGGCCATAGAAAGGTCTCTGTCGTCTAAAGTTCTCGCGTCCAAACGTCAGAACCAGATAGCCATCCCTTCCCTAACCTGATAATCCGCAGAAACCCCCTACTGCTACAGCGACCCCCGATCCACTGCAGAAAAACCAATCCCCGACGTCAAACACACAAGGATTTAGTAAGAATGTAAAGAATAATTTAAAAGAATAACATAGTAACAGATACGCCTAAATGAGATTCGAAAAAAGGTTCGGATCCCCCTCTCCCAGAATCAGGGTATCATCATCCTTTTCAGAGCCCCGAGGGTTGAGTTGAACATTGCATCGTGAAGTCTTGACCAAGCCGCCCATTTTGGAGGATGTCGTGATACGTTTAAATCTCGGCAGTGTCTTCCTTCTTCGGGGCTAAGCCTGCACTTTGGCACGTCTTCTTCCAGGTCTCCACCTCGCGCCATGCCCTCTCGCACTCTGCCTTCAGCTTATCGTTGCTTGCGCTGAGCTCGGCGATAGCCTGCTCGGTCAGGAGCTTTTCCAAAGTCCACTTCTCGATGTTCTGGTCTTCGTTCTCCTTGAGCTGAGTAATGAATGATACTGCGCGTTGCAGGATCGAGCCCTTGTTCTTTTCGCACCCGGGCACAATCTTTGCTAACTCGTTGATACCCTCATTAATGGTCTCACGCCTACGGCGCTCAACTGTATTACTGTCAGCTATCTGTTCCAACCATCATTGAATGAATGACTTACCCTCTTTATGGTTATCTTTCCGGACCTTGTGCCACTCTTCCGAACCAACAGCAGGCTTTGATCCGCTCCCTTGCCTGCCAGTCCCAGCAGTGGAGTTGTCCATATAGCTTTCATTTTGCTGACTGGTATCCATAAATGAGTCCTGGTTCGCATCGCCTTCCGAGCCTTGGGTTTGAAATTGGACACCAGTTGGCTGCGGGATAGTCATCGTTGGGTAGATGCCGAGTGCTGCCGCGGCAGTGGATGTGGCGTTGGCATGCTCAGAGCTACCGTTCTGGTTCTCGAGATTTTGGTCTTGCAGGTTACTGTATTCCTGTAACGACTCGACGCCAGCATTTCCTTCGTGCTGGGCGTCTAGAAAGGCATTGGCGGACTGGTTAGAGGCATCGTTCTTCTGAGCATTCTGAAATGAGCGCTTGGAACCGGGACGCCTCGAAGCATCAGCTGACCCGTCCTGGTCTGTCACCTCACGCTTCCGCTTCTGATTCGCAGAGCCAAGGATATCGTCTGCTCCCGAGTTGTTTCGCACAGCATTGGCTACCTCTTGCAATCCCGAGTGATCGAAATCCGCCTGGTCGGCCATCTCAATTGACATTTGACGGCTAGTGGCGCTCTACGCGTTATGATTCGTGTGAATGGATGGTGTAGGGGCGTTGGACGTTGTATGTATGTATGTCTGAACCCTCGACGTAAGTTAGTAAATGCTGAAATTAAGTATGCGTGTGCATGTGCAGCAGCAGGGCTGCATGTGCATCTGACTTTGGCTAGGAGGTGGTGACGTGTCTGACATCTGCGTTACAAGGAAATCTTGTGGAAAGAGAGAAGGATGCGTGCTTCCACTGGGACGAAGCGGAAGGTAAAATACCCGACAACGTTGTTGCTCGGGTCCTTCGCCGGGGAAAACGCATCCTCTTCTTTTCTTTTACAGGATGGCAACAATGAGGACCGCACGTGTCAATGCGTAGTGCAGTTCCACAAGGGAACACAAATCAGAGCCATGACAGATGGCTCTGGTGCTGTACATCGTCTTGCTCTCGGTGCCACTCTCGTCCCTTTTTGTAGACGTCCCCCTGGAACGAGAGCCGAGCAAGACAAGCAATTGATTCCAAGCAAACACCAAAAATCAATTGTTTGACCAGCCTCGCAATAAATAAATGCGGAAAACCGACCACTGGTCACGTTACGCTGGCCTGAGAGTCACCAGGACGCGCGCGCGACAGCGACCAAACGATACAAGCACGGGAAGTGTAACTGGAAAAGGAAGGAAGGAAGCAGGCAAGCAAGGAACACAAGATCCAGTCCAATCAATCGTTGATTATGACAGGGCGATGTGGTGTTGTGTATATAAACACACGCACGCACGCACACGCGTCCGGATTGGAGAAGATAATAATAAAGCGCGCGGTAGAAATCGCGATAGACAACGACAACGACGACGGCGCAAGAGTGAGGGAGTTATCGGGAATTGGGAGTATCGCAAAGTAAGGTATATTGATTATTGCACATACCTGATTGATATTATCACCTGATCTGATCGCTTGTTGAGTTTCTGTACAGCTGGGGGGACCTAGACCACGCCCTTTCTCGGTAATAGGACCAACGGCGGTAATCACGTTGTTTGTCGCGTGAAGAAAGTGGAAGAAAAGGGGCGAAGGGAAGGAGCAAAAGAATTTGAAAATCAAGAATATATAATTCTCAATCAGGCAATAAGGTAGTTTAAGAAGAAGACGATAGGATTTGGACCAGTTGAAGTGTTTTAACGAGTTCTTTGAATCTTTGATTTGGGATGTGGCCTACGCCGTGTTCTCGTGATGTAGGTGAAGGAGGATGAATCCAAAAGGTTGCACGTGTCGGCGGGTCACCTGCCTTTAAAGAGGGAATGTCGAGAATCTCGCTAGCTCGTGATCATTGACGCTAGACGGTGATTGGCGCACATGACGAAGGCAGAGGTTCGACCCGAAATCGCGATTTGGGGGGAGGGTGTCGACCCTGTTCACCGCCCGCCTACCCCAACCAATCACATCCCTTCTGCCTCCCTCCGACCCTAAAGGCTGGGAAAGGCTGGGAAAGGCAGAATCGATAGCCGATAGTCGATAGTCCAATATACCATACAAAGGTGCTTCCTAAGTATCTCTACGCGCAAATTGAGCTGTAATCTACAAGGCGTTACCCCTCTTCCAAGTATCTGACGCGTGATCACGTTAGCCTCTCTATCCCACACACAAAAAATCATTGGTATCCTATGACAAACCGAGCAAATTATGCGCCCAAAAGGTTCAAGGTTCAAGGAAGGAAGTACGGAGTACGTGAGACATCGTTATCGCTGTTTCGCTGCGTAGAAAGCGCCGGTGAACAGGTTGCGTCGACTTCCTGTCCGCGGAGGATAACGGCTGGTGTACGGAGTACGAGTACGGTACGGCGAGTCCGGCGAGTAGGCGAGGCAGAGTGGCAGAGTGGCAGAGTGGCAGAGTACGGCGAGTACGGCGAGTACAGCGAGTGCGGCAAGTACGGCAAGTACGGCTACAGTAAGTCATCCTTCGGAATCGGAGCTTCCAGTTCCGCGATGCGATACGGCAACGATAACGCAACACAGGGATCAGAGGCGGCCACCAGGGCTACAGATGGGCTTCCAAGCGACTTCACTGCTGTCTGACAAGCACAACCACCAGCACAGCAATGGCGGACCATACAGCTTCGAAGCTCAATCCTGATACCCATCTGATCCTGGTACATATAAACATACCCTCAAATTGCCAAGGTAGAAAGCTAATGACAAAGAAAAGGACCAGCAGCTATTGCGTCTTCCCTACGAGCTGCTGAGGAAGAATTTCAAGGTTGCCCAGCTCTCTGTGGAAAGAGACAGCACTGCCGTCAAACAGAGCCTCAAGGACACTGCAAATGCCTGCCTCTCTAACTCCTCGACCCCGGACGAGGTCCTCAAGAACCTCGACTCGATGATAGCTCGCATGCGAGGTCTGAAACGGAAATTGGCAGCCTGTGCGGAGGAAGAGAAGAGGCTGCAGAGCCATTCCCAGGCCCGGATAAGGCACCTTGGAGCACTGTATTCCATGCAGAGCCTGGATGATGTCAAATATGAAGTATGGAGCCGGACACGACTTGACCGCCTGCTTGTGGACTACATGCTCCGGAATGGCTATGTTCAGAGTGCGGCGGCGTTAACGCAGGAAAAACAGATCGAAGAGCTTGTGGATACTGGGACGTTTATACAGATGGGCAAGATCAGGGACAGCCTGCGGAATGGAAGGGTTAATGAGGTTCTGGCTTGGTGCACGGAGAACAAGAAGGAACTGCGTCGCATGGGGGTGAGTACAAAGAAGCATGACATAATGTCGACTTCCACTAACAGATCCCAGAGCAAACTTGAGTTCATGGTTCGCTTTCAGCAGTACATTGAGCTGGCGAGGACTCGGGATCAAGGAAAGCTACAAGACGCAATCGTTCACGCCAAGAAATATCTTCTTCCGTCCAAGGATCTCTATCCTTCCGAAGTAAAACAGGCCGCTGGGTTGTTGGCATTTCCACCTGAAGCGGGGTTGGCAATATACAGCGTAAGCACCCCCATTATCTTTTTACCTTCCTTCACTAATCTCTCACACAGAATCTCTATGCGGCACACCGCTGGGAGGATCTTGCCAAGCTATTCATGGAAACTCACAACAGCCTCCTCTCTATTCCTGCTGTCCCACTGCTCCACATCGCGCTTTCAGCAGGCTTGTCAGCACTTAAGACCCCTTCGTGCCACTCATCGCACCTGTCTTCATCAGCGTCCCCATCATCTTCGTCCTCTATCACAAGCTCTGTCTGTCCAATATGCAGCACAGAGCTGAATGCGCTTGCCCGAAATGTTCCATACGCAAATCACACTAGCAGTCGTGTCGATCCTGATGCTGTATTACTTCCCAACTCACGGGTATACGGGAGAGCGAAACTTGAAGACTATAGTCGGAAAGCTGGGCTTGACAAGGGGTTTGTGAAGGATTTAACTACGGGGATGGTGTTCGAAATAGCAAACGCTAAGAAAGTGTATATATCTTAGGTGAGCAGGGTGTTGGGAGGAGTATAGGAAAGTACTATACAGAGAATTTTTGTATCGTATCAATTATGAGCATTTTCACACTGGAGTTATATCTTGAATCAATTCGAAGAGTTACTACGATTCAATTCTATCAAGAAGGGGATCGCTATGTTTACAGCATTCGCGTATGGACATATCCCCAATCGATCACCCCAACATGAACCTGACAAGATATCAATGCACCTTTCAGACAGGAGTCCGTTTGTAGTTCGTAATCGGTTCGCCGGATATGTCAACAATGTCACAGAAACAGCACACAGTGTTGTCAATTGGTGTTTTTATGCCATCTCCAACCTCTTATGACCCAGGTCGCCTATATGTACAATGACCTTCCAACCCCCCCCCCCCCTAATGATGTCCCTCCCCATGTCCAGCCTCGTGGTGATGGTCGTCCTGCAAGAAGAAGTGCTCGTACGCGCAGTATGCCGTGAATGCCACCGTCGCGATGCCCAAGCCAGGGAAACTGCCTCTGAATCGCTTAAGCCTCGTGAAAGGGCCGTTGTATCTCCATGCCTCTCTGAATCATAGTCAGTAACTGCTCCCAAGCGATTGATACGTGGTTCCTCGGCTTACCTGCGTGCCCATGGGTCTCCCCTCCTGTCTCCTGCGGCGGCCGCGAAGGCCTTTGGGTCGAAGCCCGTGAGGTTGGGCCGCGCTGCCCTTCGAACACTGCGACGCCAATTGTTAAATTCAGCCCCCGTAGATAGCGGTAGTATCATCCATACCTTGTAGGATACATTGCGAAAGCTGTAATGGCCCGGATCGCTATGATTGCATGACAGTACTGCGATATGGACCGAATCCTGACATTACCGCCAGAACCAGTTAAATAAGCGAGCGCGGCTATCGCTGCTTCGCGCTCCACGCTTCACCTCAGACCAACCTCCTTCCACCAGTACCCCAGCTTTACCCCAGCTTTACTTCTCCTCAACCACACTTACGAATCTCGACATCACGCTCCAGCAAACTCTCCGAGCTCCACGTCGCGTAACACAATCCCATTCGGTATTCCCAGGTTGCGCACGCTCCGCCCATGAACGCCGTCCGGATCTCGCGACTCTCCTCGATCCAAAGTTCACACAGACGAGATGGGCCCACCGATGCAGCGATTCGGCGGTGGCCCTAACAGCATGGCGCATTACCAGCAGTACCCGCCCCACTCGCAGGGCCACGCGATGGGGCTTCCGCCGCCGACGCTGGGCGGGAATCCAGCCTTTATGAACCCTAATAGCAACATAAACCCGTTCGCGGTCAATGGGAATGCTCTCAGCCTGACGCAGGGCTTCGGTGGTGCGGGTGGTGGGATGGGAGGGGGGGGAGGGACGGGGCTGGCGAGCCATGCGGCGCAGATTTCGTTCGCTCATGGGGCGGCGCTGCAGCAGTCGGCTCATGGGGGGATTAATGAGCAGGGGGGGAGGGGGGTGGTGAATAAGGGCAGGATACGGGAGGTGTGGAAGCATAATTTGGCTGAGGAGATGGATACGTTGAGAAGGCTCGTGGATAGGTATCCGTATATATCTATGGTTAGTTTGGTCGGGTATGGAGGTGTGTGGATGTGGTTGCTAACGTGGCACAGGATACGGAGTTTCCAGGAGTGGTGGCGCGACCGATGGGTTCGTTTAGGGGGAAGAGCGACTACCATTACCAGACGCTGAGGACTAATGTCGACCTCCTCAAGCTCATACAACTAGGCATTACCTTGTTCACCGAAGACGGCGACACGACACCCGCAAGACCTCAGTCCTCGGACTCTGGGATAGACATGAGCCTGCCCGGCTCGCGGAAATACGGTACCGGGGCGGCGACGCTCCCGTGTACATGGCAATTCAACTTCCGATTCTCTCTCAAAGACGACATGTACTCGCAAGCCTCGATCGACTCCCTCCAACAAGCCGGGATCGACTTCCCCGCCCTCGAGCGAGACGGCATCGACCCCTTCGACTTCGGCGCGCTCCTCATCAGCTCTGGCATGGTGTGCGACGAGGACGTGAAGTGGATCTCCTTCCACGGCGGCTACGACTTCGGGTACCTCACCAAGCTGATGATCTGCCAGCCGCTCCTGGACGACGAAGTCGAGTTCGAGATCCTAATGAAGAAGTTCTTCCCCTCCATCTACGACGTCAAGTACCTCGTCAAACAATCCATCGCCCAACACGCCAGCGGCCAAGTCACCCCCGCCGACGCCTCCACCCTCGAGATCCTGCAGAAATTCGAAGCAAAACCCAGCCTCGAAGTCCTCGCCGAAGCCCTAAAAGTCAAGCGCCAAGGTCCCGCGCACCAAGGCGGCTCGGACGCCCTGCTCACCGGAAAAGTGTTCTTCCAAGTACGCGATCGTCTCTGGAACGGCGAGATCCCGGATGAACACCTCAGCAAGGTGTGGGGACTAGGGAACCCGGATGCGGGCGCGCAGGCGTATAATGCTGCGTATAATGCGAATGCGCAGGAGGCGGCGGGTGCGGGGCAGAATGGGACGTATGCGGATGGGGTGCCGAGTACGCCGAATAATACGCATGCGAATATGGTGACTACTCCGGCGCCGGCGACGAGCGCGTCGACGGGGGCGGGGTCGATGACGCCGGGTGGTGGGGGTGGGGTGTTTGGGGCGTTTCAGTTTGGGAAGTAGAGGGATGGATGGGGATTAGAGATATGTTGGGCACATAAAACGGCTGAGCTTATTCTTTTTTGCGGCATTTGATTGGACGTCTGGTGGGGGATGGGGTAGTGGGGGTTTTTGTTCGTTGTATGGAATGTATGGGGAGAAGGAGTTTGTGCGCTCGGGGACGCGGAAAGGGGGGGGTGTCTTTGTATGAGCTGGGCGGGGCGTTTTGAGGGACGGTTTTATAATTTCTCGAATGGGTTTCGCTTTTTTGATATGTTGCGACTGTAGTATAGTATGGGATGGTAGAGGCGGTGTCTGGATGGAGGGCAATCCGATCTTACTTTCGACTTCCTGTTGCTGTTGATGTGTGCATGGTCACGTTGAAACTCCCTTGCCCATTGCACGTATTTGTACCGCCCAAATGTTTGAACAATGACTGTGCATAACAGACAGTGTTTATAGTAGCTGTGATAAAAATAACTGACTTGGTTTACGAGGATTTGCTGTTTAAAATTGTATCTTGAGTGGAAAGCGTTCGTACAGGCAATAAGTGCCCAAAAAGCCATCTCTATCTTGCCATTGGACGGAACAAAATAGCTACTGTATATACCTGGGTGTTGTCTAACCTCGGCATGAATTGCGTACTGCAGGTAGCAGCCAGTAGAGCTGATAAGATCTGATCAATGATGCCACCCTGGATGCATGACCTAAGCTGCTCCAACAAGTGATAAATAAGCCTGTGAGGCAATGACGATCGATCCCCTCGATTTAACTACTTCCTCCTCCTCCCTCTCCCATTAACCCACAGTACAACCTACAATCACTCCAGCTCAAACAGCCCCAACAACCCAACCAACCCCACCGAACCCGCAATGCCACCACACATCCTCTTCCTCGGCGCGCACGGCAAAATCGCCCTCCAACTCCTCCCCCTCCTCCTCTCCCGCTCCTGGTCCGTCACAGCCCTAATACGCGACTCCTCCCAAACCGCTGCCATCGTCGGCACCAAGCCCCCAGCGTAACCGGCACGCTGGACGTCCTCGTTGACTCCCTAGACGCCATCCGCACCACCGCGGACGCTACGCGGGTCCTCGACAAATCGCGCGCCGACTGGGACGTCTGGGCCGCCGGTGCAGGTGGGAAGGGGGAGGCGGACAGGACGAACGCCGTGGATCGGGATGCGGCGATTGCGTTTGCGGCGGCGAAGGATAGGGGTTTCAACTAGAGTGGCCGGGATGCGAGGGAGGGGGAGAGTGTTGAGGAGATGAGGGGGCCTTGCTGCTAAGCCCTAGCAAGTTTTTCAAGTCTGTTTGAATCCACTATCCTCGTATTAGCTTCTTTGATACTGTAGAAGGACATCAACAAACATCATTTTACATCTTTCACGTCCTTCACTACTCTCTGTGAAATCTCAATATCGTGTTCATGCTTGTACGCTGTTGCGAGGCGTGTAACGTATGGGCATAAGGTGTTGAGGGAGAGACGCGGGCCTAGAATCCCTTCATGCTCGATTGCTAACATCTTGAAGGAGCTCTTCATGCAACCCGCGCTTGGGACCAGCGCTGGCTGGTCAATACGCAATGCAAACCTTTTACTCTTCGTTAGCGACTCTTCGCACTTACTTGAAGGGACGGAATCCTACTCTTGTTGGAGGGGCAACCTTTGGTGGAGGGGCAACCTTTGGTGGAGGGGCAACCTTTGGTGGAGGGGCAACCTTTGGTGGACGTTTCTTTGTTGATCCTTGCTGCTCGATATTTGCGAGTAGTTCATCCTTTGAGAGCTTCATAACCACTGTTCTCTTCAAAGATCGAGGGGCCTGAGAGACAAGTAAAGAAGTGACGCGTAACAAAGCAAAATCACCAAGAAAATTCTCAAGTATAAGGAAATATGAGAGGTAAGATGAGAACGAAAATAACAGGAAAGACGAAAGGGAAGTCGGGAGAATGAAGGGAAGAGAAGGAGCAGGTGTGTCTGGACACCAAACTGCGGGTGGGCCATGCGCCGACATGATGTCCACAGCGTCGTGCGCACGGAAAGCTGAATCCTAGAATCGGAAACCCACTGGGGACGCCCAACAGTCCAGGATCTGGAAACCAGAAACGGAATGTTGTGTTGGATGATGCAGAAATAGGGAACGAGAAACAAGAAACGGGAAGCTGCTTTTGCGCAGTCGCGAAAACCGAAAGTTGTGGTGGTTAAAGCAGCCGGGCCCGCTAACATAGAACGGAATACGGTTATTGGTTAACAGTAATCCGGCATCAGTGGTTTAGTGGTAAAATCCATCGTTGCCATCGATGGGCCCCGTGTTCGATTCACGGCTGATGCATTACTGTACAACCTCATTACAAGCGGTTGAGATTTTTTTTGCCTGTCTCCGCAATGCGGATGCGCTAAATAAACGAACATTAGTGGTTTACAGTCCACTCTCGCCAAGACGATGTCGGATTAGTCGATAACACCGCTGAGTCGATATTTTTTTCAGCACCAATTGATTTTCGCACTCAATTCTCGATATTTGCGATATTGACCTTCTGACCTTTAATTATCGACTTATCCAACTCTATTATGTCTCAAAAACACACGATTACACTTGAACAGCGCCGTGCCCTTCAACATTAGGCACACAAACAGCACCCGAAACCCTCCTAGAAAGCCTGCATCAACTGGTTTCTTCACGAATTCAATCATAGGCTCAGTCAATCGACAATATCAGATAGCCTTAGTAACCACTTTAAACATCTTGACAACTCGACAACAATTAGACAATGAAATCGAACTGGCCAATGGCCTCAAATTGAACAAATTCTCTACGACTTTTAGCGACAAATTGATAGCCGCAGTGGCTTTGTGTCAGGATGCTCTCCAAGCCAATCACCTCAGGGCATTAGAGCATTTAGAGGGCGAAATTGAGGCAATTCAGCTTAATTCCTTGGTTTAGGAGACATTAGATAGGTGGATTACATAATACTTGGCATTTCAATATAACGATATTTACACGTGTCACCTGTTACAATATCAAGTGCGCCTTGCAGCTTGAGTGGGGGTTCAGGGGTGTGGGGAGTTTTCCGGGGTTGGAGCAAAGTTTTCAGTTGTGGAGTGAATTCTCAGAACTGGTCTCGCTAAAGAGAATTCACTCTACAACAACCTAGCTGTATATAGATTGAGCCACTTCTCGAGTCCTCCTCTTCTCTTTCCTTTCTTCTCTAGATTGAGTTTAATTCATAATACCCAACTGGCTCCCTATGCCTTGGTGAACCGTGACGTGTCACCAATTGTATCGAATTAACGGGAGTTGACTGTAGTGGTATTAATCCATCGATGCTAGCTTGTATAGAGGACCTCCAATGCTAATTTACCATTTCCTGATTCCCTTTTCTTGAGTCCTGGAAAAGCAGCAATATTCTAGAGCTCGGTTGCCTTGAAAAGAGTGGGATGTCGACATGGGGACGTGTGATTCGAGCCTACCTTACCGGCGCGCCACATAAATTTGGAGTGGTCCCGGGACGGTCCGGAAACCCCGAAAGGCGCTCGGACCACCCGTAATGTGGATGGAGCCAGGAGCGGTCCTGGAATGGCGGCCGAAGTAAGACCAATTGGTAAAAATTCCTACGGTTGGAATGGAGGGTTGAAAAAGATGGGTTTGTGTCTGTAGATTGTAAATTGAGGCTATCCGTAAACGTTGAAATTGACTGTTCTGCTGCATGGCTGGTGAGTGTTGATGAGACCAGGCCACCACTGTAATTTGGCCCTTGGACTGTTCGGCCAGCCATAACTGGCTCATGACGGTGTGCAGAAGGTCCATGTCATACTGACATTCGTTGCACTCAGTTTTCTATCAAACTCAAGAGCAAACTTAGAAATCTCCTCCTCAAACCTACAAGTCAACATACATATCTTGGCTTATCACACCAACAACAGAAGCAATACTACTCAACGATTGCTGCAAACTCTTCTACTACATCTGTTTATGCTACATACATCACGGCATATCATTTGGACACTCATTGAACAAGTTATTAAGAAAATCTCCTCCTTAAGGGGGTGGGCCAATACTACCACATGGCATATCTCTACCAACTAGAGGCCTAGAAACATGAACGATAGCTCGAGAAGCTTCTACAACCCTCTATGATTCATTACACGTCATCGCTCCTTAGTTACCCACAAGATTGGTTAAGTTATACCTTCTTTTCACTTCCTATAGGCTAGGAACCCAAGAGATGGTTCTATGGGATTCTCTTACGTTCACTACATGATTAGCAAGCTAGTTGTGGGTCGCACTTGATTTCTAATACATTTACCAAGCCTGGTTAGTCATGGAAAGTCATGGAAAATGAGAGAACTACACTCCTTTGGCATAAATAGGATTGCCCTTTCCTTAAGAAAGGGCAAGCAAGCAATACAGTAAATCGACTGGCACATACTTCTACGTCTTTTCCAAGCTTCCAAGCATTGATCTTGTTATTCTCTGTTTTTGAAAAGTCAGTGAGGTGCTAACCTCTGACTTACCCCTGAGTTCTCAGACTCAACATTTGTTGCAACTTGTCTAAACCACTTCACCACATCATACACCTGATTGCTGCGTTGTGGAATAGTCTAAGCTACAACCCTTTGGCTCTGTTTCCTAAGACAGTGTGTTGTCTTAGTAAAATCATCCCTTCTGTAATGGTGGGTGCACCAGATGTGAGAATCTAGCCACCCAAGGAAGGGATGAATTTACTAAGACAACACACTGTCTTAGAAAACAGAGCCAAAGGGTCGTAGCTTAGACTATTCCACAACGCAGCAATCAGGTGTGTGATGTAGTGAAGTGGTTCAGACAAGTTGCAACAAATGTTGAGTCTGGGAACTCAGGGGTAAGTCAGAGGTTAACACCTCACTGACTTTTCAGAAACAAGGAGTAACAAGATGAATGCTTGGAAGCTTGGAAAAGACGTGGAAGTATGTGATAGTCGATTTACTGTATTGTCTGCTTGCCCTTTCTTAAGGAAAGGGCAATCCTATTTATGCTAAAGGAGTGTAGTTCTCTCATTTTCCATGACTTTCCATGACTTACCAGGCTTGGTAACTGTAGTCGACGTAAGAGAATCCCATAGAACCATCTCTTAGGTTCGTAGCCTATAGGAAGTAAAAGGAGGTCCAAGGTCAGAGTACCCCTATAGACAAATTATGTCATAGACAAATTATGTCATAGACAAATTATGTCATAGACAAATTATGTCATAACTTAACCAATCTTGTGGGTAACTAAAGAGCGATGACATGTAATGAATCATAGAGGTTCGTAGGAGCTTTTAGAGCTATCGTTCATGCTCCTAGGCCTCTAGTTGGTAGAGATATGTCATGTGGTAGTATGAGTGATGTCATGTAATGAATCATAGAGGGTTGTAGAGATATGCTATGTGGTAATATCGGCCCAGTAACTAAGGAGCGATGACGTGTAATGAATCATAGATGGTTGTAGCAATTGTTGAGTAGTATTGCTCTTGTTGTTGGTGTGATAAGCCAAAATATGTATAGTGACTTGTAGGTTTGAGGAGGAGATTTCTAAGTTTGCTCTTGAGTTTGATAGCAAACTGAGTGCAACGAATGTCAGTATGACATGGCGGTGTGGACAGGATTCTGATCTGGTTTCAGGGTAACTAGTAGATCCTTAACCTCCTGTATCTGTGCTTCGAGGTGGGCCATTCGACTCAGGATGTCTTCGGATGGCACAGCGGTCATAGCTGCAGCAGTGGTTTGTCTGGTAGTCATAGGCAGTTGACCGTCGTTGTCTTGGGGTGTGTTTGTGTTTGATGTTGGCTTTCTCGACATATTGCCTCGGGTGTGTATCGGTATCAATACGAAAGAGCTTGACTTCCGGTAGCTCGTAGCTATCAACACTCTTGTCCACAATTTCCTCTGTGCTAGGAGGGGGTTCTTAAGGATCTCGTATCCTATTTGGCGCCAACGCGTCGGCGACTTTACCAGCTTGTTCTGAAGAATCAAACCCTGATCCACTGGCTGTCCGTGAGATCTCTGGAATCACAGCTATTTGAAGTCGTCAGGTCTCTCCTCCGAAACGTCACCGAGTCGCGGTCGATGTCGTAATGGTAGTTCTCCCGAGTCGTTCTGGTGTGGGATATTATTGAAGTACGGCCGTCCCCGGCAGGCGTGATCTTTTTTGTATAATGTAAGGACACAGGGCACCCAGCTCACGGTAATAGCATATGAGAGTGCAAGTCGGAGGCTAAACGGATGCTATCCTATAGGTCTACTATGAAGGATACAAAAAAGATGAAGAGAGGAACCCCATTGGGTCAATCCCCTTAGTACCCGAAACGGGTCCGACTCGGCTAACTGTTGATGGAAGGCCCGAAATATTGCGACCGCGCGCAAATCGTGCGGTGTGTTTGGTGACCGGACCTTTGGGCTTTTGCGCAACGGGCAGGAAAACTCGGCAATAGACTACAGTATATAGAATGAATAGATCAATTGAATTACTACACTACCTACGGAGCCTACGTATTATTTATGTCTTTTCGGAGGGCCTACCCAAATGCCCCGAGTAACAGAAGGGTTTGGGCCTGAAACCCAATGCGCCGGAGTTCCGAGGCAATCTGCTCACGCCAAGCGCCAATCGGGGAGCCTGACGATTGCACTGGGGAAAAGCTCCCATTCTCTTTGCCTCAACACTAACCTGCCTTAACTCGTATCATGTGACCGTAACCTGTCCGACTCAGATCCTTTCCGTCACTGAGGGACAGGCATCCTTACACGTCTTAGGGGCCTAGATCCGGCCGTTAGGTAGTTGAGGCCTCCATCACCACCTAGGGATGCTCGAAAGGAGCAGGAATGGATGGAGATGGGAGTTATAATGCGTAATTGACTGGAAGTAGAGCCCTGAGGGTCTAGGGGGAAAAGTTGTGAGCAATTTGTCAATTTGAGAAAATAGTTGTAGGTGTTGTATTTCAAAATAGAGACGAGACAAAACACACATAACCCCTTGTTACTAGAGTTGTTGGATATATGAATGCATCAGCCGTGAATCAAACACGGACCCATCGATGGCAACGATAGTTTTATACCACTAAATCACTCCATTCCACCAATGACAGATGCGCCGCAAATACAATACTCCTCTTAAAACAATACGCCCACAATTCCAATCGCTAATATCCATCTAGTACCCCCCTTCTACATGAGTCCGGTGAACACGGTTGCAACCCCACAGAGCCCAGCAGTCGCCAGCGAAACTCTCATACTCTTACTCGCGGCGCTCGCATCACTACTCTTGTCCTGACCACTCTTCCCCACGCCAGCCGTGGCAGCCACTGGGTTCGCAACAGCAGTCGCGATACCCGCGGCATCTTTCCCAGCACTCAGCTCAACGATATTGCTCTTAGTCGCATTGAGCTTCGTCTGCGCTAATGAGATCTCATTGTTCCCCAAGTCATACACGACGTATGCGCTCCGGAGGAACGTGTCACCCAAGACGGGCACGGTGACGCCGGAGGGCGCAATGCCGAAGAGGCAAGCTGGCTCACCACTTGGGAGTACCGCCGTTTGGTTGTTTGCTTTTGGGATATCCAGAACGAGTTCGTCTAGGGGGACGGATATGGTGGGGGAGGTGAATGTGAAGTCAAGAGTCTCGTTGATGGACCTCATCGAGCAGGGGACGAAGGCTGCACCTTGTGTTGAGTCGTACTGTGCGCCGATGGCCTCGTAGATGGCGTTCGTCATGGCGTTCGGCAGGTAGGTGAGAGAGGAGCCGCTGTCGAGGAGGACGGCTTGGGCCTGCTTCTCAATAAGGGTCTTACCTCCCATTGAGAGGCTTGTTAGAGTAATGAGGAAGTCCCTGTAGCCAGCGCTGGTTTTCTGAACCGGGAGTGTCTCGAGGGTACCAGTGAAGCGCTCGGTGTCAACGCCACCAAATAGGACGTTGCCGGAATGAGAATCGAGGTCGTTGAGCCAGAGGCTGTAGGCATTCGATGATATAGTGCCTTGAGCAGCTAGAGCTGCGGGGACGTTGTTATACGCCTTCAGGCCAAGATTGGCAACTTGAACCTCGTTGGACACGTAGCCAAGGCCTAGAACAGCCTCAGCCGAAGTGCTCTGGTAACCAACGCCGAACTGCAAGTCTTTTATTTCGGCGTTGGCTATCATCATCATGTCTGATACATAGTCGCCTGCTGCTCCCGATCCATCCATATAAGTAATGTTGAAGTTGCTCCTGACATATTTATATGTAGAAGACGAGTTTGCCGAATAGGTGCCTGATTCTTCACACTCGCCAGGAACTGTATCCGTGCCGGTACATATCTTTGAGCCCGCAGAATTTACCCATAGATCACTGCTCCCAGTGTCGATATGAACCCGAAGGTGTTGAGCAGGTGTTCCGAGTGTGATGTTGGCAAAATATAACGATTGCTAGAAGAACATTAGCCATTATTGATTATCCACGACGGCAAAATTGACATACCAGATTATCTAGTGTTGTCTCTAACGTATTTCTTTTACGCATTCGAGTTCTATCCGCCTCTATCGGATCTACAGCGGGTTCCCTCTTGATAGGCAAGCCGACAGCTCTTGGCGGCCTATCATTTTTATTTTGTAAGGCGGCGGCATCGATCAAGGGAGACAGGAATGCAGCTGTGAGCCCCAAAGCGAATGTGCACTTCATAATGCAAAAATCCAAAGAATGACTGAAGTAACAACGTCCAGACTAGGAGAGGAACAGGCGGTATATGTATATTAGAAGTATAAACTTGGCAGACTTGCGCTAGCTGGTGCTAGAATGACTTGTGCACTGCCAACGAGGCAGCGTGGCGGAGTTGGGCCAGAGTTTAGCAGGCCCGTTGAAAGGGTTTCCCAGACGGCAATGTGCCTTTGTCGATGGGCCCACGGGTTCAAGACTGAGTAGCGCTTAGTATCCGACTTTGAATGTGGTGTAGTGTTATGATAAGTTGTGGCAAGACAACAAATTCCACGAGAGCCAAAGGAGGCTACAAACGACGGCGAGATTGTTCGTTAGAACAGGGTATAAGAAGCAAAGGTGTATATCGTATTGAAACAATTAAGAAGAAGAAGAATCATAGCACAGCTACTTGATGTTGGGAAAATAGGTATAGTGGTGACATGAGTCGGTCGTACCATAAAATAGAACTCTTGGTTCCGGGAGTGTCTTAGATCGAATTAAGGAAATAGGGAGAAATGAAAGAGACAAAATGGAAAACTAGAACATAGATAAGATAGAAACTAGAGACCAGGCGGTAAACACGGTCTGTTTAGTCTCATTGTTTTCTGTGTGAAATGTGGTGGACCAGGATTGCGGATCGTGAGGTTGTGAGCCATAGCTCACTACGTATGTCGTCGCTGACGCGGCCACCCCCATAGTAACTTCGCAACCGATCCGCACATCGGATATCTGCAGGCTCTTGATGTCTAGGGAGGACAGGGAGATACAGAGACGAACCATCGTCTCTCTGAGGCAGGTAAGTTTTTGAAGTTGCACGGGAATAAAAAATGTGTGGTAGAGTTGTTGAGCTTAGCTCGGTCTGACATAATCAAGTGCGAATTTCCGATTTTGGGTGAGGGTTGTAATGATCTTTCGAAGCCAATACTGCAAAGCACGACGTGGTAGAATATCGTCGGCCGCGCTCTCGAGACCTTGCACCGTGCAAATCGTCAAATGATATATAGATAAAGTTAAACTCGCAAGACACAAGCAAAAGCTAGCTTCATCGACAAAAAAGCTTTGCTTTGCTGGTGTTTCATGCGGCATGTATCACGTGGTAGCGAAACCACTTTAGCATTGATGGCACGCTAGCAGACGCGCTTCGCGTCAACCTCAAGATCCAGCCCCAAGCCCAATAAGTTCCATAGCCTTGCGACTACTGCTCTTGCGAAAGCTCAACCACAACCCTTGGAAAAGCATATTCTTACTCCACAATAACGACCAAGGAGCTCAAGAATTGGGCCTAAAAACTCTCGCAAGCATGGCGCCAAAGACTGTCGAGGAGACGGGCGAATCGTCAACTGCGACCACGAAGAAGGTGTTGAAGGCAAATGGGGCGGGGGTGACGAATTACGAACTGCCATGGTATGAGCGCAGCTTCGACCTGTACCATCATGGACTAATGGATATAGGGTTGAGAAATACCGACCAGTTTTCCTTGATGATGTTGTCGGAAACGTCGAAACTATCGAGCGCCTCAAGATCATCGCACGGGAGGGGAACATGCCCCACATGATCATATCCGGTATGCCTGGTATTGGAAAGACAACATCAGTACTCTGTTTAGCACGCCAATTATTGGGCGAATCCTACAAGGAAGCGGTATTAGAGCTTAACGCATCGGACGAGCGAGGTAACAGCACTTAAACGGCGCACATTGGCAACAAGCTGACACTATTTCTCCAGGTATCGATGTAGTACGCAACCGTATCAAGGGCTTCGCCCAGAAGAAAGTGACGCTCCCCCAAGGACGCCAAAAGCTTGTCATTCTCGACGAGGCCGACAGCATGACATCTGGTGCCCAACAAGCCCTACGTCGCACCATGGAGATTTACTCTTCAACCACCCGCTTCGCATTCGCATGCAATCAGTCCAACAAGATCATTGAGCCCCTGCAATCGCGTTGCGCCATCTTGCGCTATGCAAGGCTAACGGATGCACAAGTCGTGAAGCGCCTGCTCCAGATTATCGAGGCGGAGAATGTAGAATACAGTGACGATGGATTGGCCGCGCTGGTATTCAGTGCAGAGGGTGACATGCGGCAGGCGATTAACAATTGCCAGTCAACCTGGGCGGGTTTTGGTTTCGTGAGCGGAGATAATGTCTTCAAGGTCGTCGATTCGCCACACCCAATCAAAGTGCAGGCAATGCTCAAGTCGTGCTATGAGGGGAAGGTAGACGCAGCGCTGGAATCGCTGAAGGAGCTGTGGGACCTGGGATACTCGAGTCACGACATCATTAGCACCATGTTCAGGGTGACGAAAACGATTCCGACGCTGAGTGAGCACTCGAAACTTGAGTTCATCAAGGAGATTGGCTTCACGCATATGAAGATTTTAGAGGGCGTGCAGACCTTGCTCCAGCTGAGCGCGTGTGTTGCCAGGCTGTCGAAGCTGAATATGGATCCGAAGCTGTTTGCGCCGAAAAAGGCATGAAATATAAAGGCATAGCATTGGCGTTCATGGTCAAAAGGGGGCTAGGCATGGAGTAGGGTATTTGATATAAATTAAACTTTTGAGAGCTTCGTGCTCTTTATGTTATACATGTCACTTTTCCTCGTTCTGTCGTGCTATTATGCGGGCCTTCTCAGCCCTAACGTCCTGCTCGTATTTCTCCCAGGAGGCTTTGTCGAGTCCGATTCCCAACTTCTTCTGAACCCGAATCCTTGCCTCGTGTTCCCGGAGCCTTCGATCCGCCTCCAGCATGCCTCCCATTATCATCGCGGACATCTGTATAAACCTAGATCACATCCACCATCAGCAAATCGCCTTGAGAATCTCTGAGAGTATTTCGTCCGCGGAGAAACGTACACCTTAAACTGAAAAGTGAGGCCGCGATATATCGGTGATATTTTATATCCTGTAGCAGCTAGTATGGCTGCCCCAACTCCCCACTGTGTGTATTAGTTCCAGCACAGCATGCCGTTGTATGAGACCCCACTGGATCGTACCTTGCTCGAACCGACAACAGCTCCCCGCGCAGCTTCCCAAGCGGCGCCAGTGGCCTCATCATCTCGCAAAGTGCCGTGAGTCTTCATTATTAGACTATACGAGCCTCACATCGGTGTCGACTTTAATTTAGAGTGCATCCAAGGATATTCCCAAGTCATACGAAACAGCTGTCTCGGCGGGGTGCTCAGAGCTGGTAATATATTTCCACAGCTATGTTTGCTCTGTTTGCATTGCTCGGCGTAACAGTTTTTCCCAGATTTCCGGAATCTAGGACCAATGGCGGCGGACTAGGCTAAAAACGCCTGGTGGGATGAGGCATTGAAAGTCAAATAAATCAACTCGATTGCTACACTCACAATGGGCTCTGAAGCACAACGGGTTCGCGCCGCGGTCCTCGCGCGCGACACCAACGAGACGAAGATCCAGCTGGCCATCAACATCGATGGGGGTGCCTTTCCCGAGGGCATTGACGAGCGCCTCGTTGCGTCCCTGGAGGGCCATGCGAGCCAGGTCACGAAGAGCCAGACGATTAGCATAAACACCGGAGTTGGATTCTTGGACCACATGCTGCATGCGCTGGCGAAGCATGCTGGGTGGAGTTTGGCACTCAGGTGTCAGGGTGATCTTCACAGTGAGTCTACATTACACCGTCGTACAGACATGGCGGGAGGGAACTAACGGAACTTCACAGTTGATGATCACCACAGCGCAGAAGATGTCTGCATCGCCCTTGGCTCTATGTTTAAAGAAGCTCTCGGCGCACCCATTGGCGTCGCCCGCTTCGGATCCGCCTACTGCCCTCTTGACGAGGCCCTATCCCGCGCTGTTGTCGACCTCTCGAACCGGCCCTACGCCATCATTGAGCTCGGTCTCAAGCGCGAGAAGATCGGAGACCTGAGCTGCGAGATGATTCCCCACTGCATGGAGAGCTTCGCCCAGGCGGCGAGGATCACCATCCATGTGGATTGCCTGCGGGGTTTCAATGACCACCACAGAGCGGAGAGTGCGTTCAAGGCTCTGGCTGTGGCTTTACGGACGGCGACGACAAAGGTTGCAGGACGGGAAGGGGAAGTCCCGAGTACTAAGGGCACATTGAGCACTTAAACTATTTATGTAGCAGTAAGAAATTAAAAGTTAACTCCCAAGTAAATGCGCAATCTGTACCTGAATAATCTTGAGAAATATACTTCCAAGACCATCTCGCTTGATAGCATGGGAAGCCAGGGCGGAGCGGAGCGGAAACTTATCGCGCCCCGCCAATTTTCATCCAACCCAAAATTATTTCGGTTTATCGCCTGTCTTGGAGCTCCAAAAATAAGATACCCCATTCTCCAAGCACCCATTGCAGGATAACAGTTGTAATGGCGCCATCCAAGACCTCGACGGTGAAGAACAAGCACGCTTCGAAGCGCAGCGCCAACGGTTCCGGAATCTCGAACTCGAAGTACTCGACGCGGCCCCAGAATGACGGCGTGAGCAAGAAGAAGAAGGAAGCGCCGAAGACAGCGAAGGGAACGGGCAAGCCGCGCTTCAAGAAGAGGCGGGTGTACACCGAGAAGGAACTGAATATCCCGGCTCTGAATATGATTACGCCGGTGGGCGTTGAGAAGCCGAAGACGGGGAAGAAAGGAAAAGTTTTCATCGATGATAGGGTACGTCGACCCATGAGTTTATTGCTGCAGATGAGAGATGGCAATTGGAATGCGGGATATAGTTACTAATTCGAAGCAGGAATCCATGCTTACGATCCTGGCGATGGTACATGCCGACAAGGATGGCCAAATCGAGTCGAAGATGATGAAGGCGCGCCAGATGGAGGAGATCCGCGAGGCACGCAAGGCAGAGCAGGAGAAGCGGATAGAGATCCGAAAGGCGAAGTTGGACGAGACCAAAGATGGTATGCGCAAGAAGCGGAAGCGTGAGAAGTCGGGTGGTGACGCTATGGAGGGCGTAGAGAGGATGGAGAGGCTGGGCACAAAACCGCTGAAGGTCAAGAAGAAGACCGTGAGCTTTGCGTAGACGGAAGTCGAGGTAGACGAAGCAAAGATGTATGTGGGGGTATAGCATTGTTGGGACACTGTGAAAATGGGTGGGGAGGCGTTGGCGGGGCTTATAGGCGTTGTCCTGGATTAGCTGAATTGCTGAAACCGATACCAAAGAATATGAAAATTGGCCTTATTGTATTGGATTATACCTGTCTTATGTTGATATCAATGCTCGAGATCCGCCTATAGTACAAGTTCGGAGTCATGGTGTCGGTGGCCCTCTGGCAGATGGCTACACAGTACACGGGAGCCGCTGCATTGGTGTAGTTAAGCTGGCTTTCCCGAAGCTTCAAAAACATAACGAAAAGATTGCATCCAGCGCCCAAAGAAACTTGACAATTATGATTGATTATTGAAAACTCCGTCTATATCTATCTAATGCACATCCAAGTTCCGTATGCAAAGTTATAAAGCGCTTGGAGCAAAACAAACCAACCAACTCTAACGCAGCCCATTCCATGCTATCGTTTTGGAAATGGACCTCCTATCTATTATCCCTAAACAGGGGGTCCATGTCTACCATCTCTAAGTATAACGTCTTCGTGCACGGGGTTTGAATGCAGAGCCGCCGCCCATTGTTCTTGAGGGTTGAGCCTTGCCTATGCTCCCTGGACGTGGAGCTTTCGTCGCATAGGTGTAAACTGAGAGTGTCCATTGGCGGTCTCCACGCCGACATTCACCTTGCGTGGGATCATCGAATCCATATCTACATCGAGGGCCATGCTGTTCAGGAAATTGACAGCCGGTTTGGCGTGCCAGCGGTCTCCGTCGCTGAGGGTTTCAAACCAAGAAAGATGCCCCCCTAACGACGTGGTACACAGGACTGTATACGGGTTCTGCTTGAACTCTTCGTATGGGATGGCTTCGTCAATGGCGATTGGGTCATCTTGGGCGTTGATTGCAAGGAGGGGGATGCGAACTCCCAGAAGTGAGTCGACAGAGGAGGCATCTCTGTAGTAAGCCCCTTCTGTTGGGTATCCCCATGTCGGGCCTTGAACTTCTCTGTCGAACTCGTGCAAATACGTGACTTTCCTAACACGGTCCATGTTGATATTGGTGTGCTTTTCAATTTGCTCAGCATGGCGCTCTACTAATTTCTTCATGTTGCCGGCCATCACTTTGGAGTAGACTTCTTTGCCCATCCAGGTTCGTTGCAGAGCCATACTTCCAAGTTCGAGATTCCAAGGGTTTGAAATCACAACAGCCGCCTTCAATTGGCACAACTCTCCTTCTTCTCCAATGTACTACATTGCGTTAGTGAAATGCCATAATCAGTTCTGAGGAGCATCTTACATTTGTAAGGATGTTGGCACCAAGTGAGAACCCTATTCCGAAAAGGGGTCTGTTCGGATATTTCAGCCTGAGCCACTTCACCACCTGCCGCGTATCCCATGTTGCTCTCGCATTATAAAGGATGCTGCTCGATATCATATGCCCTGCACAACCTCTCGAGTTGATGCAGCATGCCTCCCACCCCTTGCTGTCCATCAAAGGTGCCAGCACATGACGTAAATAGATTTCAAAGGACCCCCCTGAAAGGCCATGAAGAGCAACAATCATGGGACGATTGTCCAACGACCCAGCTTCGAGTTCTTGAAGCTCCTGTTTGTCATAATATATGGTTCGGGGAGGTAGGCCTTCTTCTGCGCCTTCAAAAGGTGGAACAATAAAATCGACGGCAAAGTTTCCCTCATATGCAGGGTCCTCGGCATCAAAAATCTTCCGCTTATAATGAACGGGTGGGCCCTCTGGCTTGAGGACAGTCATGGCTGTCTGAAGATGGCCATTGAATAGCCACGGGTTCAATCGGCATGGCGGTGTCGATTTCTCAACTATCCGAAGCAAATCTGTTTCTTCTCCATCTTTCGTCTTAAACTGGAGAGGTTCAGGGGAGGTAACGAAGCCAATCTTGGCATGCCCAAGCCACTCCATTTTTGATAACTTGCTGCTTATGAGTCTGACAGGTATGGGTCTAGGCTGGGTATTATAGGCCTCAACGATTAGACAAAGAATGAACTGGATAAATATCCAAATACAAATAAATTAGAGAAGAAAGACAAATTACAAACCTTGGAGATATTTTACCCGCCACTATGAGGGCGATCAATCTCGGAATAGATTCTAGTCCCGTTTGTGGATCCTCAGGGGTGGCGGTTGGTGTGCCTCGGCACAAATTAGCGCGCTTCTCGCGCTTATTCATATCCATAGCGTCCATCTCCAGCCGCACGACCCAAAGAGGAACCTCTAAATTCGATGTGAGGCAGCAAGGCAGCATGCATTGTCAACCCTGAGAAACATGTCATACCAGGGTCCGCCAGGGTATGGGAATGGATACCCTCCCGTATATGGCCATCATGGAAATTATAATGACGGGCCGCCGCAGGGCGCGTATCTTCCACACCCCGAACAACAAACGGCACCATCACCTGGTGCATACACTCAAGGACGGATAAGCATGCAACAACTCCAGGCAATGCAGGCACAGAACGAAGCAGCATATTATCAACAGAGTCAATATGGGCAAGCTCCTTATGTCCATAACCAGCAGCCCGCTTACTACCAGCCTCCACCTCCTCCACCTCAGCAGCCGCAGTCATACGCTCAGTACATAGACCCACGGCAACCACAATATGCTCCTGTCCAGAGCTACCCGACTCAATATGATGGATCTTATGACGAACTTAGCCTTCCGGCACCCATGCCACAGATGCAGCAACAACCCCGACCACAAGACAACGCACAAATTACCCATAATCCTATGCCGCCGGTGGTGAAGAAGCACAAGCCGCCTGTTCTCCCACCTGTGGACCCGTATTCACTATTACCTGCGCTGGCGGAGGAGTATTTTGCGGCTGCACATGATGTGGGACTTGAAACAGCTCAGCGCATGGATGCGAATGCCGTGATCAGCTACCAGAAGATGATTGCAACAGGGTTAGGCTGCCTTGAGGTAGCTCTAAACAGTGGAAGACTTGAGCCTAGGCTCGAGGCAAAGATACGTTTACGGTACGCAGGCGTATTGTTGGAGGATACGGACAACGTGATGGAGGCAGAAACCGCTCTGAGCAAAGGAATCACGCTTTGCGAACAGGTACGTTGCCCCTCAATATCACTTTGACACGACTAACATATGGTAGAACCGCTATTTTGACCTGAAGTATAACATGCAAGTACTACTGGCCAAACTCATGTTCACCAAAAGCCCAAAGGCGGCGCTGAAAGCGTTGGATGGCTATATCAAGGATGTTGAAGCCTACCAACACCACTCCTGGATTTACGTCTTCCGTTTCTTGAAAGCGACTCTTGCTCTGCAGTCCGGTCGCAGCTCAGACGCAAACTCGGCGTTGCAAACACTTCGTAGTATATCTAGTATCGCCAAGGACCGCGGCGATCACGCTATTGTGACCATTGCTTCCCTCGTGGACGCACTCGCCTCCCTCCATATGCCTTCTTCGGGGTCTATTGAAAGCATCGACCGGGCGCTTGCGACCGTGAATATGTACCAGTTAGATCCTGAGTGCGCAATACCGCCGTTACAAGCGCTTGGGCACATTGTAGATACTACTGCGAGCCTAACCAACTCTTCTTCAGACAAGACAATGCCCAAACTGAAGGCCATGCAGGATATGATAAATAATGCATTTACAGACTCAGAAGAATGGAATAGGTCTACCGATGCGATGAAATTACCTATAAATAGAGGTCGTGGTGATGCACATATCTCAAGTCAAGATACGTCGGGTGTGTTGAAACTGGGCCATGATGGGAGAGATATGCTTCTCGTTACTTTAATGGGCAAGTCGGACGTCTTCATCTTGTGGTGAGTACCATCAGTACAAATATTAACTATACTTCCGCGACTAACTTTTCCAGCCATCTATTGACGGGAATCATACGTCTCCACGTATCAGCTGTGGATGGCTCAGCACTTAAATACCTTCGGCAAGGGTTGCAGAGGAGTCTCGACATGAAAACGATTAAGTACTCTGGGTCTTTACCGGGCGCTTTGGCAAAGATTCGCTGGCGCGGGATGATAGCCTGCTACTTCTACATCTACATGGTGTTCTGCTCCATCTCCACCACGGATTGGACGACTGCCAAGGCGAACCTAGACGCGTTTGAGGTTGCCATTAGCGATATGGGCGCTTCTGTGGAGCCAGTAATTGTGCAGCTATACATTTACTTGTCGGCCATGTATTTTCAGGGCACCGGCGACCTCCAACGGGCATTAGAGTTGTACAGGAGTGACGAATTCACACTACCTAAGCTAGACGACATCGCACGCTCGCCAGAAGAACATGTTCGGCGAGAATTGTCTGTCCTCGCGGCAATGAACTCGCTGTGGATAATGCAGTGCGACCCGCAAGTTGATCTCGAGCAGAACGCGGGTCTGCTTGCGATGCTAGAGCCTTGGGGTGCAAATAACGCCAACAAGGAGATAGAAGCTGTTTATAACCTCCTCCGGGCCTCCGTGGAGACCAGGCCGGCAACCACACAGACACAGTCAAAAGCATACATACGAGCCGCCATGGAAGTGGCGAGGAACATGAAGAACGTGCACCTCATCTGCGTGGTGCTTAATCTGATGTGCGAGAAGTACTTTGGCGGGATCGTTGGAGACCAGGCCGAGAAAAGTGCCGTAGCCGCGTCGACGCAGGCGAAGAAGAGTGGGAATTTGCTGTGGATGAGCACCGCGGAAGGCTTGCTAGCTCGCAGCTTTGAGATCCAGGGCAAGACGCGCGAGGCGCAGACGTCCCTGGCTGAGGCGGTTCGGCTTGCTAATTTGGCTGTGCAATCGCCGCCTTGATGGCATGCTGGGAGCCTTGATTTAATGGCTACATATTGGAGTTTTTGAGGGGCGGTTTGTAGGTCCTACATGGGCCGAGTTGTATTTAAAGGGGAATTTGGTCACGAGGGGTTAGGAGGCGTCCTGATAGGTATACCCAATTTGCTCTTACTCCTTGTCACTTGCTATAGTTCTATAAAGCTTTCTCACTCAGGGTCTACTACCAAGACTCATTCTCCCTTAACGAAGCGAACCAGCTTCGTCAGACTGGGTGGACTGACGTATCCAGTATCTACCGTTTCCGCGGTGCCTTTAACAGCATAGCCGCCCTCTTCATTCTCGATCCAGACATCCCACTTTGTAACCCCACTACCCGCCTCAGCTGGTGTGCTATCCGCATCTAGTATGCTATCCGCCTCTGCTAGTATACTGTCGGCCTGCGCAAGTATTCTGCCCGCCTTTATCTGTGTTTCAGTGTCGGCTTCCGTAGAAGTCGCATCTGCTTGAGGCTGTCGCCGGACACAGATCGTCATCTTCTCGTCCGTAAAAAGCGGCGTCAAGTTCTTATAAGTGATACTCTTAACCATCTGCGGGATTCCCGTCTCCGAGCTCCCCATCTGCGAGCTGAGCACCTTCAGCATCAGGAGGATGGAAAGTGGCCCATGGACGACAATGTTCCGGAATCCCTCTACCGTGCGTGCGTACTCGCGGTCTAGATGGATGCGGTGCGCGTTGAAAGTTAATGCTGAGAAGCGGAACAACAGGTTGGCGTCGGGGACCATCGATACACTGAAGTCGGGCTTGATTGTAGCTAAGTAGAATGGTCAGTAGTGATATCCAGATAGCATCTAGGGTAGAGAATGGCTTTGCGCTCACGTTTTATGATTCGAGTCGGCTTAGAAACATCGTCGATTGCCTGCCCAGGCGTCTTTGCGGGCATGAAGACCAAATTCCTGCTCTCAATAATGGCCGCCTGGTCTACAGCCTCCGCCGCAGACAAGGCGTGTTTCTGATAGACTCTTGTAGGACCTATAGCCCTCATAATATCAACCCAGACCTTCTCATTCCCGACACTGCCTTTGACCACGGCATCCTTTATCTGTTCGCGGCAGCGCAGCGCATCGTGTTGGTGGTGTTTGGAGGTGAGGTATTTGCGCCTCTCATCGGTCCTGAATTCTATCGAACCCCCAGCCCACATGCGCCGTACCCACGGCTTGCCGGGGAAGTGCATGTCGTCGGTGCCATCGGCGAGGAGGTTCGCCGTTGGCGGAGGGAAGAAGACGAGGTGATATCCAGCAGGTAGCTGCCAAGCAGGTGTTGATGCTTCCTTCGGAAGTGTCCGATTGACAGAATCGGGAAGGAATTTGGCCAAGGTTATCTCGAGAAGTCCATATGGGCTTGACTTGTCATGCCTTAGTTTGTCGTAGATGGCGTTTGAAGGCCTAGATTTCAGACGCTGGCATACACCAGAGTCCCTTGCGTGCTTGGCGGAGTCAGAGATTGCATCGAGGGGTCGAGTTGCGCGATGGTGTGCTTTTATCACATCTGGCCTTTTGAGCCAAGACGCCATAGTCTGTTGTTGCAGGCGTCAATGCCCAAGATGATCACTTTTCAGTATCATTGTCTGAATGTTAAGGTTCCTGATGTTCGGGAACCTTGGGAGACGGCTAATGGTCCGTGCATATGCCGACACAACCCGTCCGAGGCACAATGCAAATGAACAGCCAGCTCCATTGGAATCTACATTTAGCCTATATAATCACGATCTTGTACCCATTTTCGCAGACAACTGATCTGTCCAGCTTCCTAGCCATCTCCAGCTCTGCGCGGCCTTATCAAGAAGCTCAAAAGCACCCTTGACAACTCCTTGAGGATCGTGGAGGTTGCTCCCCTCGAACTCCACGAAGAATATATACTGGAACGGGCGAATCCTGCTGGGCCGGCTATTAATACTAGTCAGGTTCAGCTGGTACTTTTTAAAGCTGTCCAAGGCGTCCGCGAGTGCCCCCGGAGATTTATGGTCGACCGTGAATGACACCAAGCTCTTCTCATGAGCTCCAGCTTGGGCGAATAGACCCGCTTCGTCCACTTTGTCGTTCTCTAAGCCCTTTCTCAGGACGAAGAATCGAGTAGTATTGTCCACCGTATCTTCTATGTTTCTCGCAAGCACATCTAGCTTGTGAACAACTGATGCTGCTTCGCTTGCGATAGCGGCGCTCGTCCCAGTTGTGTCTGCCTTTACCAACTCCGCCGCCTTGCTCGTAGAAGTGACATCGATCCTCTCGATGCCCTTGAGATATGCCCCTAGGAATAGTTCGCACTGTCCGAATGCCTGTGGGTGGGAGTATATCCGTTGGATCTTGTCTAAGCTTGACAACGGCTGCGTCCGCGGCTCCAATGGCTTGGGCACAGCAGGCGTCGGGGTAGAGGCGCCGTCTGTATTCTGTGGTAGAGAACTCGATTTATGACCCAAAAGACAGTGATGGACATCTTGATATATCTCGCCGCACACGGATATGTCGGGGTATGACAGCTCTCTGTCTGCGAAGAGGTCGAGCGTGAAGACTACGGAGCCATTCGTGGAGTTTTCGAACGGGATAACACCTCGTGAGGCTGTTCCAGATTGCACAGCTTCGAAGATATCTGCAATTCCATAAGTATCAAGAACTATCTTCCAATGTCTGGCTTAATACCTCTAATTGTCACCACGGGGACAAGTTCATAGTCGGCTTCGGGGAAGCATCCTAGCGTAGCCTGGGGCACAACGGCGTTAGCTTTGCGTAGGTACCACGAGGAAGTCAAACTGAGCCTACCTGATGTGAATACGAGGACACCGGTCCAAGGAAGGCAACTCTTTCCTTTGTCATCGTTCAGTGCGTCGTTTTGGTTACGATGCCCATATGAAAACTACCCCACCGATAGCGTAATCGACAATCGCGATAACGGCTGATTCACAGACAATATATGGGGAAAAATCGTCCAGCGCACAAAACGTTAGCATGAAACTACGGCCCGGTTCAAGTGGCGGAAGCAAGGGGCATTTTTATTGGCAAACTTGAATGGTTATTAGGTAAACTTTTTTATTGGCAAGCTATGTCGGAATGATTCCACTGTCGTAGCAGCAGAATCTAGGACATGCTATATAACACGGGCTAATGATTCACAAAACAAGACGCCTGCGATCAAAACAAATTCATGGAGCAAGCGATCTTCATCCCAGTCATCCCAAGCCGTCGTAAACTTGCCAGTACCACCTATAGAATCGAAGGAGGTCCTATTAAGTCTGTCATACGTTAGCACTGCGCAACATCTGTCATGCCATATGCAGGCTTACCTTTTTCAGCCTGTTTACTGTCATCTTAAGCCAACATCATGGAGTGTAGCGGACTGGGCCGGACCACCTGGGCAACCGGCCCGTGGCCAGGATTGATGGAAACTTGACCTGCCGTCTGCTTCGTAGCAGGAACGCGCGGCGGCAGGGCAGGCGATGACGGGGTTTCTGGTTTAGAGTCCTCGCTCACTGCGAGGGCATCAAACTGTCAATCTAGGGAGGCGAGTTAGTGTAGTTCATCGAGACGCTGAGGCAGGGTACAAACCGTCATAGTAATCATCATCATCCTCGTCGACTTCGGCCAGCTGCTCGAAGTTGACCTTGTAACGAAGCAGACCGCCAATTCCACCGAATCCCTTGACGAACTGGTTACCTTCGCTGGACCTATCGGAGACGAACTCAAGAGTGGTACCGAAGTCTCTGTACTTCTCAGCAATCCACTCGAGGAAGGACATCTGCTCGACAACTTCCATTTCTTGGCCAGTCTCCTTGTCCATGAATTGATCTCTGTCGGCCGCTTCCTGTTTCTTCGTAGTGTGGAGAATGACTTTGACTCCGTTGGAGTCTTTAAGCTCCCAGCGGTTGATTTCCAAATTCTCAAAGACAATGAGGATCTCCACAGCACCCAGCTCCAACGCCTTGAGCGTATCTTCAACACCGTAGCAGACACGGCCAGTATCCTGACTAATCTCCTCGAAGTATTTGCCGATAAGCTTCTTCTCCTGGATGAACTTGACGTTGCTCAGCGTCTCGGCCGAGAGCTCAATAGCCTGGTTGAAGCCGTTTTCGCCTCCGTAGGAGACATCGACAACCTTAATTACCTTGACCTGGAGTCTTCCGTCGAACAAATCGGATTGGTTCAGGTCGTTCTTGAAATCTGCGGAACCAGCCAAGATAATACCGGCAACGTTGACTTTGTCGTTGGTAATGAAGTTCTGCACTGCCAATTCTGCGACCTTGCGAACATAATTGTGGCGCTTCTCCTCACGAAGACGGGCGAAACGGAGAGCGGACTGACCACCACGACCGTGCTTCTTGGGGAGATCGACGGAGAACTTGTGCACAACGTCTCTGGTGTTGCCACTCAGGGTACCAAACAAGGCTCCATTACCATCCATAATAATGAATCCAAACTTTTGGTCATCCTCGAGTAACTCCGCGAGGGCTTCCGTGTGGAACTTATTGTCGCAAAGATAAAGAGAGGTGTTGATAGGCCTGAAAGGCTCGAAATCGATATTGACCTTCCTCTCCTTTCCTTCGGACGTCAAAATTTCACCACAGTACACGACCAATCCATTCGGCGGGACCTTATTGTAAAGCTTCAGCCTCTGTTGAGTAGACGTAATGGCGGACAGGACGGACTGTCTGTTGACACGCGACTTGATGTTGGAGGCAGTTCCCTGGGGAGTTGTTAGCATACACTCGGCCATGATGGTGGCAAGGCAAAGCATACATATTCTTCAGCCAACATCTTTGCCGCACGCGAGACTTGGTCCTTGGGAGCTGTTGTATCGTCAGAGATGCGATCAGCTGAACCAGAGAAGATCCAACGTACGGATAATCAGCGAAATCATGGAAGTTCCATTTCCTCTGGCCGCTTCAAGACGCCTGATGAGCTTCTTGACCTTCCAAATCTCAATGTTCTTCTCGGCCTCGTTCGCCGCTGGGTCGGACATGATGTCGAAAAGGGTCCTTCAACCGCCGGAAGTAGGAGAGCGAGAATTCGAGATTATGTGCGTCACAAAATCTCTTATGTATTCGCGATCGGATGCCGCGACTTTCTGAGTTGTTTTGGTCGTGGATTGTGGCGTCGTCGGCCAGCAGGTGTAAATTATGTGGGACGCACCCAAGCGAGCACGAAAGGTGGTTAAATGCTGCAAAAAAAGGGCTTCTGTATCACGTGAAGTTAATTGGAGGGGTCAGGAACAACCCCGCAGCTGAACTGGTCGGTCTCACCTCTGGTACCGTGGTTTATATAAGAACGGCAGATTCACTTTAGGCCGATTTATTCGTTTCTCGAGTCTTTCTCGGTAGCCTTTTTGTTTGTCGTGAGGGGAGGAGAGTGGTTATATAAGGCTCTACAGGGGTTTACAGGGGTTTACAGGCAAACGCACAAAAATGTGCTCTTTGTTGCTGAATCATGGATGGTGTATATTGCCGTCATTGCAGCTCATGGCGGGATTTGTAAATAGGACAACTTGTGCCAGCGCAGAGTCTACAAGTTAAGATGCTCACCGTCCCTAATTATTCTCTATACAGTAACGTAAGTCATGGCGTAAACGGGATAATGGCGTAACCGGGATAGTAGGGGAAGGCCGACCATGAAGAATGTGAAAAATGAGCGTTATTCATTCAATACTCGACTACAATACGGTTCTATTCCTCTTCTGGGTCCTCCTCCTCGATGTCCTCCGTTTGGTCAGGTACAGTGATATTTGTCGCTGTACTTTTACCTTTGGTAGTCGCCTTCCGTTAGGTGGCCCCCTCGGCTCGATGACTTGGGAGCGTAATTCCTCTGTAGTAATATGTAATTTGCCCTTTAAAACTGCCCGTTTCCCTTTGCTCTGTGCTCGTCATGTTTGTATTATTGATCGTAGGTTATCGGTTTCGCGTTGGTGTAGGAAGTTTCGTGTGTTAAGTCGCTCGGTTTCAGCAACCAACCGACGGATATATCAAGTAACAGGCGTATTTAGGATTGTACGCGTCTCTAAAGCCGCAACCAAGACAGTATTTGCTTTGCGCAGTGTAGAACAGCCAGGCGGACTGCTGTTCTGAAAGACAGTGTCAAAAATATCGTACTCAGTTGGTGTTTTTGGTCAGAGTAGATAGCGCACTCGCTCTCGCTTTGATGTACGCAGATAACCATTCTGCTTTCTGTATACGCGTGAGTTGTGCTTCGTTTAAGTGTGAGAGTGTAGTTGTGAGGTGTTTTTTCAACGGTCCGAAGACTGCCACATCAAGTGGTCAACAGCTTCCGCTAATACGACTTCGAGTTCCTGAGCTTTCACATTATTTTTTAGCACCATGTTGGGTTGGTGTTGGTGTTGGTGTATGTTTGGTGATACTGTCGATGCATGGCAACCCCCCACTATCCGCTTACGCCATGACTTACAGTACGGCGCCATAAGTATGAATTAAATTGCAGTAAACTAGTGTCTTTTTGTATGGGAGAAGCACAGACCTGTATGCATACTTATGGCGCCGTCCTGTACGTTAATACATGCAGCTTCAATTTCAAGTTTTGCCATCCAAACATACTCTCGGAGAATCTGTCCGAAATCGGAAAATATATCGACCGCTCGGCAATCTAGCGGTACTCTATAGTGAAACCCCATGCTCCATGTCAGGGCCTCCTAGCCAATGATATCGCTCCATTCACAAAGCTTAGCGGGGCAACTCCCTTGCACTGATAAGGAGCAAGACCCTGTTTATATTGTACTCTGAAGCTTCATATTGCATCTCGATAACGGAAAGAGCTGGGGAAGCTTATTAGCAACTCATATAACTGATACTGATATCCTTATCTTGGCTTCCGTGCCTACTCCACTCTCTCAGGCACTTGATGCCTCTGTTATAACTGATCTCTGATGCATCTACTCAACTAGATCGATCATACATCTCTTGCCCCGCGTCGTCGCCATGAGCCGTAACCCACCAAATCCGACGAACTGGGACGACTACCAGTATGGCACGTCCTACAGATCTTCTAGCAGCTCGACTAGCAGGAGAAGCGTCCGATTTGATACCGAGAGCGAGAGGATTGTTTCTCCCAGCGACACTGGTGATCGAACGGGGGTGGACTCTGGACTGCGGAGACGTCGGTAAGTTCCAATGTGTAGGGCCGTGGAGTAGCCTCAAATCCCAAGGACTAGGCGTATTTAGGCTCCTACTTATAAGGGTCCCTTAAACGTAATCGAAGATATCCTCCAAGCTGTTCAGTTCGAAGCTGTACACGAGCCTTGTCCTCGTGTGACCTTCCCGTACAACGAGAGCATATATTAACGTTTTAACTACAGATCGTCCATAAACATGCACTTGAATGCAATAGGCGAATTAGGAGGCGTCAACTCTATAAACAACTTTGCCAGGAGCTGGCAGCGAGCCGCTGCATTCCACGAAGCTGCACCACAACGGCCATCTTTCATCTTAGCTTCCGACTCCGAAGAGCAACAATTCTCGCGGTCGGATATCGAACCTCGAACCGACGCCCGTGCTTCCCTCCTTCAGCAGCATTTCTTGCATAGAGGCTCCGACGAAGCTATACAGGACAGCGAAAATGCGGGGAGCAGCCTCGTCTCGCCCTTGCTACAAGGGAACGATGAAGCGCACAAATCTCTGCACGGCTCAGACTTTGGAAGCATAGGGGGCAGCCCAAGAGGAAGAGATTCTCTATTTCCGCTACCTGGAAGCTATGGGACCTCATACGGTACCATTCCCTCAATGGTGAATGAGTCCTCAATGGTGCATGCTGGCCGCCTATGGCGTCAGGAACAGGAGACTGGTGATAAGTTGCCTGACGGAGAGAGACCACCTCTTCTTGTCAAGAAGGTTGAACAGGATGGGAAAATAGTTTTGGTTATTGATGGCCAGTCCACCTTGCCACAGACGGTTTTCAACTCAACAAATGTTCTCATTGGCATTGGTATCCTCTCTTTACCGTTGGGAATGAAATATGCTGGTTGGCTCTGCGGAACCATATTCCTAGCTGCAGCGGCGTTGGTTACTGCATATACAGCCAAACTTCTAGCGAAGTGCATGGATGTCGATGCAAGCCTGATCACTTTTGCCGACCTTGCATTCATTTCCGTATGTGTCATGTATCTTACCGTCCTAAATCGTTGCTAACACTCCCGCAGTTTGGCCACAGAGCCCGAATCGCCACTGGGATTCTCTTCTCGATTGAGCTTCTAGCCGCCTGTGTGGCGTTGATTGTGCTGTTTGCAGAGACCCTGGATCTTCTAATACCAGGAGTCGGTGTTGTGGAATGGAAGATCATATGTGGATTTTTGATGATACCCCTGAATTTTGTTCCTTTGCGTTTGCTCAGCTTTACCAGCATTTTGGGGATTTTTTCTTGCTTCTGCAGTAAGTTAAGCATGAGGGCGTGGACGAACAAAATATTCGTATTCTTAAACTAACGGTGTGGTAGTTGTTCTTATTGTTTTCATCGATGGATTTATCAAGCCGGAAACTCCTGGATCGCTTCGACAGCCTGCGGAGACGTATATGTTCCCCAAAAATTGGCTAACTCTGCCAATCTCCTTGGGACTTCTCATCTGTATGATTATACCATTTGCTTCTTGACAGGCATTGACTGACCTTTCCAGCGCCCTTTGGAGGCCATGCAATCTTTCCCTCGTTCGTGGCACCCTATTTACTTCATTTTGGCAACAACTAATGAACCCTCAGAATCTACCGTGATATGAGGCATCCTCACCGATACGGCACAGCCCTCAAGATTACATTTTTATCCACCGTAAATCCAAAAGAATACGTCAGATGGTCTTTGGGTTGGAAGCTGATTTAGCCCCTAGTATTTACTCGATGCCCTAACAGCAACTGCGGGCTACCTCATGTACGGCGATGGTGTCCTCGACTCCGTGACTAATAACATAATCCGAACCAGCGGATACCCACAGTCATTAACTGTGCTTCTCTGCATCTTCATCGCCATCATTCCGCTCACCAAACTGCCTCTAAACGCCAGACCTATCGTGGCCACTCTCGAGGCGCTCACCGGCCTCGACGCACCCACAGTCCCCGGCGAAGATTCCCTAGTAGGGTGCTCAAAGTTCGGCCGCGGCGTCCAGAAGGTCGCGATGAGAGTGTTAGTGATCATTTCTTTTGTCTTCTTAGCAATCTTATTCCCGGCATTCGATAGCATCATGGCGTTTATGGGCTCCTGTTTGTGCTTTGCGATCTGCGTCATCCTGCCGCTACTGTTCCATCTCAAGATCTTTGGGGATGAGATACCGCGGGCGGAGAGGATCATGAATTGGGGTTTGATTGTTATTTCGTCGATTCTTGCGGTTATTGGGACGATTTTTGCGTTCTTGCCCAAGTCTTGGATTGATGCGGAGTGAGCAAGTGTTTGTGCATTTTTGTTTTGTTGATATTTATTGTTTGGTATATATGTTCTGGTTAATTTGGTTGGCTATCTGCTGCATTTTCGAGGGGTTGTTATAGCATTATATAATATATCAAGTCATTATAGTACACATATGGCGTATGCCCTCAAATATATTCTCTTTTATTTCTCCAAAGCATAGGCAATATTTAGTTTGATGAAGCTGGTGGTGGCAATACGGCGCAAATCTAGAGTATCACGGATATTTCGCAAAGCATTTCAGATCTTATTCAAGTCCATTTGAGAAATCTGTTTCGTTTACACTAGCAGCAACCTCTCAGCACTTGATCAGCTGTGCGATAGTATCTAATCCCCTCTCTTCTGCCACCCATCATCACTTCAAAATAATAGCGAAATTATTTCTCGTCCCTCCAGCCCTTACCTCCACCTTCTTGAACTGCTCCCGCTTAGCCTTTGGCGTCAAATCAACGGCCCTCCACAGATAATACACCAGCTTATTCGACAACTTCTTGTGCACCTTGGTATAGCCCAGGCTAGTCAATATAGCCTCCAGATTCGGCTCATCCATGTATCGTGAATTCGACACGCATGGTGCTGGCAAGACTAAAAACAGCGCGGGGAACACGGTCTGCAACTCTTCTTCGCTCTCTCCTAGTGGGCTCCGGAGGAATTGCAACGTCCGCTTCAGCATCTCGCCCCTGGAAACTGCGTCTGGCACATAGTTGAGCACCAAGCTCAGGCTGATGATTTCAAATTTCTCATTCGACAGCTTGGGAAGCGGCCTCTCCATAAAGTCTTGCTGCGTAATGCCTTGGGCCTGGCTGTTCAAATCGATGCGCTCGATGTCGAAGAGTCCGCTCCTCGAGCACGCATTGGTGGTACTCAGCGCTCCCACCTCCAGCAGACGTAGCTTCTGCTCTCCAGTCCTCGCTTTAAGTGATAGTATAATCGGTTTCAACCAATCCATCAAAATCTTGCTGCTATCACCCCCGCGCTCATTTCCCTGGCCTATCAAGCTTGCCGTCTGGTACTTCTCAATCCCTCCCTGTTTCGCGATCTGTCTTTCCAGATCCGCGACTTTGATGGCATCGCCGGATTTTTGGGCTATGGCTTTCTGCTTTTGGAGGGTGTGGTGGGCGCGGATGAGGGTTCGAGTGGCTTTGCTTGAGAGGGATGGAGGTGGTTTGACGGTGGGTGGTCTGCCGTGGGAGAGGCTTTTGGGTTTCCCACTCTTTTTCTTGGAGACTGCCATGCACGCTTTGCTGTTGTCAAGTTTGAACTTGGCGTTGAATCTGCACTGAAACCTTTCTACTAGCTTCAATGTAGTTCAAGCGTTTTATTATCTTTACCCGTCGACGATATCAATTCTCTTAATATCCCAACCCCACTGCGCATCGCGAATTAAATAATGGGCGGTGAGTCTGGCAGAATGACCATATACAGCACTAGCTCGTGCTGCGATAAGAGTGCTGAAGTTTTTCGCTTACAGGGTACATGGGGTCGCTAGCGCGCACACAGAAATTCGGACTAAGCGCGCAAAAATTCCCAGCGCAGCACAGATATCTTCCGACCTTCAAGTTCTCTCTCGACCACAACGAATCCGACAAACTTCGACAAAATGGCCCCTCCTAGCAAGACTGGTATGCGATGACACTTCCATATACTTCTCCGCACAGGCGAAAATTGCATTCTGGCAATGCGATGAGCCCGACTCTTGACGCCCGATAAGATGGAGCGAAACTTCTTTTTCGAAATGGAAAAATAAACATGTTGTTGGCTTTTTCGGGCGTCGAAGAGGAGGGATTCATACAATGCACACAAGCAGTAGCAGCTATTGCGAGTTCACAAGAGCGAATGCTGATGCGTTGTAATTAGGTGGTGCCTCCAAGGCCGGCAAGGGCAACAAGAAGGCCAATGAAGCCGCGAAGGCCGCTCTCAAGGGCGTAAGTATTCTCTCCTTATTCCATCGTCCGGACAACGCACTCGGGACTTCAAGGCTGACAATCGACAACAGGTGCACTCTCACAAGGCCCGCAAGGTCCGTCTCTCGACGACCTTCCACCGCCCGAAGACCCTGATCCTCTCGCGCTCGCCCAAGTACCCGCGCAAGAGCATCCCTCACCAGCCCCGCCTGGATGAGCACCAGGTCATCATCCACCCGCTTAACACCGAGAGCGCGATGAAGAAGATCGAAGAGAACAACACCCTCGTCTTCATTGTCAACATCAAGGCCAACAAGCGCCAGATCAAGGAGGCTCTCAAGAAGCTTTACGATATTGACACTGTCAAGATTAACACCCTTGTCCGGTATGTTTATCCGATTGATTGAAACAGTGGGATGGGAACTAACAGTACCTAGCCCTGATGGATCCAAGAAGGCCTTCGCTCGCCTGACCCCAGATGTCGATGCTCTCGACATCGCCGCCACCAAGCTCGCCATCGTCTAAGTACGTAATGCCGGGTTCGGTTGTGGTTTTGCAAGGGATTGGAGGGATTATGATATTTGTTCGGGCATTATCAGGCTGAGGTCTTCTCGTGGCTACGGGGGACTCGATTTAAGCGGGTGTGCTATCGAAGGGCATTGTTACCCAGGCGTTTCTCCGTGGGGGAATGAATGAACATCAAATTCAAACAACACTTGCAAACCTATGTATTCTGTTGTATCGTTTGGATGTGATTTGTTGTGTTGAGACCTGTGAACTCTTGTAGGCTGATGAATTATACCCATCATAATTCTTTGATTTGTTGTGTATCGACCTGTAAACTGTAGACAAATGAGTTACGCCCATTGTGATGCAATCCTATCCATTCGATCGTATCATCAAATCTATTCATCCCAGAGTGGAAGTTTCCCCTACTCTGCCATAAAAATACACATCCCCATCCCATTCAATCCCATTCATCCATCTATATCAACACACCTTCCCCTCCAGTCTCATAATAATACACCCCCAATCTCCCATCTCCCTCCTCCCCAATCCCCCATCTAATCCCAGATCATTTATCCCCTCATCCCCTCAAGCTGCTTAATAACCAAGAAATTCGCATCCAAAAAGCGATCCACGCAGTTCCTCGCGCACGTCTCCTCGCTCTTATCCAGCTTCCCGCTCTTGATGCTGCCGGTCACGCACTTGGTCCAGCAGATGTCTGTTAGGTTGTGGACGGCTGGATACGCAATTAGCACTTGCTCCCTGGCTTCTGTTTGGCAAGGGTGTTGTGGATGGGTGAAGTGGGAGGGGAGGGGAAGGAAGGGCCCACGCGGAGGGGATGGAGGAGGCAGGGAGGTAGGATGAGGTTTGGGAGGAGAAGGGACATACACTGCTGCAACTTGCTCTTCTGCGTCTCATTCTGGATGAACTGCTGCAGCTCCTGCTTGTCGCGCTGGGTCAGGCTGTTGACGTCGAATTCGCCGTTGGCGTCCATTGTGTTTTCGGTTTTTGGTTTTTGTGTAGATAGGTGGTGTTTGTTTGGTAGGGGCCAATGGATTGGAGTGCGCGAGTTGACGGTTCGGAGTTTGGTCACGTGCTGTAGATTTTGGGTTGGCAGCGGGGGTCAAGGAGAGGTGACCAGTAAAGTTAAGGATCACAAAGTCATCGATGAGAAAACAAAAAAGGCTAGATCATATAATCTAATCAATTATTCAAAGCAGTTGGCTATCTATCGTCTCCAACTATAACTATCTCTTTAATTAAACTCTGGAACAAAAACAAGGTGACTACATCAAACAACCAAAGTTATATAGTTTCTAACAATGGGAGACTAATGTCCGTCCACACCAAAGAAGAATCCGCGCTTGAAAGGTCCGTAAACGCGTAATCCAAAGGCTTGCTTGCCATTCATTCATTCATGCCGTCGCAAAAATCGTAATCGTAGTCATACGTGCATAACTTGCAAAAAAACGGCATCGCTCATGCTTTTTTACTCTTGCTCATGCTCATCCCAACACAAACACAAAAAACAGAGACAAGACCAGATCAGATGAAGCGCATCCTCCTCGCCAGCGCGAGGGAGAGGAGGACAAAGATGAACAGCCCAGAGAGGATGGTGAAGAAGGGGTTCAGATTATCGCCATCCCTGAACGGGACCTTGACGTTCATCCCGAAGAGACCACACACCAAGTTCAGAGGCACGAGAATCGAAGCGAGCACCGTGATCTTGCTCAAGACCTTATTCGAGGTCGTGCCCTGGGTGATATTGTCAATCGACAGCTGCGCGAGGTAATTGCTATGCGAGCGACTCAGCATCTTCTCAAAGTGCCCGAGGTTGGACATCATGGTGACGACGTGGTCCTGGATGTCGCCGAGATATAGCCCGATGTCCATGCGCGGCGTGACGTTGTAGTTCTCGTTGCAGCGCTTGGTGAAGCTGCGGAGGACGTCGGCTTTGCCGCCGAGGAGCTTCATGAGGGCCATGACGGCCTTGCGGACGTTGCCGATGGTGCGCAGGAAGTCGTGCATGTCGTCGCTGCGGGCGACGAAGACTTGGTCTTCGATGGTGTCGGTTTCGGCTTCGATTTGATTAATGAGGGGGGCGAAGGAATCGACGATGTCGTCACTGGGCGGGTTAGTTGGTATTCCAAGATGTTTGGGTGCTGTGAAAACTTACATGAGCGCGTAGCAAATCCAGTCGCTGCTGAGAGCAACGTAGTCCTTCAGAGCTGTAATTCTCTTGCGAACAACTCCGACGTGACGGTTGGGAGCGAAGCTGAAGCTAAGCGTACCCTCACGGAAGACGATAACGTAGACGTTGAAAGGATCCAGCTCGGTGGCGCTATTGCCATCCTCATTCGTAATCGTATTGAACGAGCGGAAGCATGCAAAGTAGTAAGCAGGGAACAGCTCAATCTTCTCGCGAGTCTCTTGCTTCTCGATATCCTCCATGGTCAGGGGATGGATCTGGAAGGCCTTGCAGATGGCTCGGATTTCTTCCTCGGTGGGGTTGCTCAGGTTCAGCCACCATACACCATCGTCCTCGCTCTCAGGGAGGTAGAAGAGGTTACGAACATCCTCGCCCGGCATGATCAGGTCACCGAATTCAGCAGCGTGGATGGTGGAATCCCACGCAGACGAGAAGAAACTGAAGCGGTTTCCATCATAGTGCTCAGTGGCTGGCTTACCAACCTTCTCGTCAAGAATATCATCCATTTCCTTCTTATCCTCAGAGACGGAGACAGTGTCGACGATGGCAGACTTCGAGATGCTTGCGGAAGATCTGAGATCCTTGAAGGCAGTGCGCGGAGCAGGCTGGTTCTTTGGCGGAGTGTGGTCACGCTCCTCTTCGGCAATGAAGTTCTCGAGGAAGTCGAAGTCGATGTACAGCTTCCTCTTGTCACGCGGGAAGTTGGCCGTGGACTGCGGGAAGCAGACATCCTCTGCAGCAGAGCTGTGAATGGTATCAGCAACGCTGATACCATCCGTCTCATTGGTATATCGTCTGCTGCGCTGGCTGGCCTTGCTAACGCGCGAAGCCGTGCGGTGGAGGGATCGGTCATCGGCGCCGAGCTTCTTTTGAGCAGCCTCGATGGAGTGGTCGCGCTCACGTCTGCGAGCAGCTGCGAAGGCCTTCACCGAGTTTGGCGGCGAAGGAGCTCTAGATTCAACTGTTGGCCTGCGGCTACGCTGCTGGGTTGGTGAGATTCCCTCGCCGTCGTCGATAGCGGTCTCATAATCGCGGCGAGTATTGGTTCGAGCCAAGGCGTCATCAACCCATGCTAGGTCTGTCCCGGATTCGTTCATCGCTTGGGCTCCGTACAAGGTGTCAATCGTGCCTCGTCTGGATCGCACTGGCCTCTGCACGGAGGCCATCTGGTGGCGATGGTCATCAAGCTCAGGCACAGGAGTGCTGTACCGCGTATCGTCGCGGTGCATCTCGTAGAGGTCCTCCTGGTCCGACATATTGGCTGCTGTAGCGGTCTTAATTGGCCTAGTCTCCGGTATTTCTCGTTCTTCTGTCTCTTATCTTCGTATTCTCCCCTATATTCCCCTACTTTCTCTCCGTTCTAAGGCGGGTCGCAGCGACCGCCCCTATTGCGTAGGTGACAATGTGAGAGATGTCTCCCCGCACAGGTTGTCCCTGAGCGTCGAATTCGTTTAGGGCGCCAGCTTATTATCGTTCCCTACCCCTTGCGGTAGGACGCTCGAGTTGTCTATCGTATGCAGAGTTGGTTGTTGTATTGTCCTCGCTCGGAAAATCCAATTACGGAGGCCTCTTGTCACCCCCGCAGTAGGCCCAGGACTTTGGGCCGAGGAGCGGACGGATGAAGGAAAACTTGAGGAGTACGAGTCCCGCCAATTTGGTGGTTTTTGATATGGAAGGCTGCGGAGGCGCTGGTAGTCACCTAGAGAGTGCGTTTGAGAGAGCGACGGAACTCAAGCCACCCAGATCGGAATCCCTAGGAGATAGTATGGTGGCGTTCTTTAAAGTGTCGGTGTGGTGGTATGGTAGGTGTGACTATTGTCAGACGGACGGTGAAGTTATCGCTGTGTGCGAAGTGTTGAATGACGTATCAGATGCGGTGAAGCTGGATGTTTCTTTGCACGATAAGTAGTGATTTTAGTTGTTTAACAGCGGTTCAGAAGGACTCTGAGTTGCGGATGTCGTGGGGTTTTTGAAGGTGTTGGCTGCGAAACAAAGGTTTTGCAGTGGTGGCTATTGTTGTGGTAGTAGGGTAGTAGGTCAGTGGCGGGATGTGGATTGGCTTTGTGCTGGTGAAAGAACTTCGGCAAATGAAGGCCCGGACGGTAAGGTTTTCTTTTAAAAAACGAATTACGATTGGACGGGGAGGTTGATGGTGGGGGTCGACGACGGCGAAAGTTTTAGTAGTTCATAGTACTCCATAGACTTGTATTGGACTTTTGTTAGGTCTTTAGGTCCATGACCAGCTACAACAGCCTTTTCTAGGTATGATGTATAATGGGTAAAATGGCGTTTAGTTTGGTTTAATTGGTTTAGTTGGTTTAGTTGGTTTAGTTGGTTTAGTTGGTTTAGTTGGTTTAGTTGGTTTAGTTGGTTTAGTTGGTTTAGTTGGTTTAGTTGGTTTAGTTGGTTTAGGTGGTATAAGTTAAGTTGGTTTAGTTGGTTAGTTGGTTAGTTGGTTTGGTTGCTATGGGCCAGTGAAAACCGTATGCTGCGGCCAGAGTCATCGCTCTAAGCCGCTCCTCTACAAGCTACAGCGGGTGCTATGTACGGAATTTATATCGGTCGATGGCATGGAAAGAGTATAATATATAATACGTATAATACAAGATACTATAAGACTGCTGTGGCGTCTCCTAGACTACAGTTCAAGACTATCGTACTGTCTGTATGTGATCTGCGATACCCCTCTCCTCCCCTCCCCCTTGGGCTGGCTCATGAGGTAAATAAATGCCTCCTTGCATTCGCCTGTAGCCAGTAAAACGTGCGTGTTGGCCCTGTATGAAGACACTTGGCATGCTATTGGTAGGAGGGGCCGGGAACTGCTGGTATCCTTCGGTACTGTGCGTACGACTATCAGCTACGGGCATTATCAGGTTCTCAGTCATATCACTCTGTAGGTCTCTATGGGCCGTTAGATAGGACATATGGACTGTTCTTACGGTATCGTTTGACAACGACTCCTTTACACAGAGCACTCTGTGGTTAAAGGTAACTTATTGAAATGTTGCCCCCGCCGTCGCGCCAAGACATGTCACGTGTAATCCGTGTGATCGTCTCCATCCAAAGGCCACCGCATCAACTTGCCTCTCAGCCTCGTTTGTGGCCTTGTTGATGCAAGGTGTCAACTCTCATCTCGACCAAGCTAGCACCAACCAAAACCCAAGCCATGGCTGACCAGATCCTCGACAAGGTTCGCGATCTTGCGGAGGGCCAGATTGTATGTTCCATCCTCATTAACTCCCCAAGGCGCCAATATTACAGAATGAATGCATGCTAACATGCCTCAGGACTTTGAGGGCCAAAGACTGTCCGAGTTGCTTGCCACGGTTGTGTTGGCTGTAGTGGGGGTACGCGCTTCTGGTTCACTGGTAATGGGTTTGGCTAATTATATTCACGTAGGCTATCGCGTTTGTTATTGGATTCGTTCGCCAAGATATTACTCTGGCCCTCTATGTTGGTCTCGGCGGGACCGCCCTCGCGTTCGTCCTCATCGTTCCGCCGTGGCCCTTCTTCAACCGGAACCCCGTCCCGTGGCTACCAGTGGGAGGTGCAAGGGCAGCGGGCTCGCAACAGGCGACGGGTGGGATCGTGGTGGATGGGAAGCATGTCACGACTTGATGGTCTGGGGGAAGGGGGAGTCAACGGGGTTATAGGCAGCAAAAACAACAAAATATTTCCACCGCAGCTGCCTCCATTTTTGATATGTTCTATGCCTAGTACTGATTAAACGCCATGTCATTAGAGTCATTGACGTCTACGATATCCCGTTCGATATCCACGCCGGCCGCGTTCGGGCATCATCAGTTTCGTGCGCCCAAGATTGTATACCACCATCCATCGTCAGTGTCGAATATGCCGTCCCGGACTGATATATTGCTATCGTGCCACCAAATTCAAGCTCTAGCGGCCGTACTTTTGGAACTCCCAGTCTCTGTTGTCCAGGGGACAGACTTGTCGGGTCTTCAGCCAGCGCGAGATGCAGTGGAAGTGAAATGCGTGCTAGGTATAATGTCAGTTCATATTTCAAACCAGTATCTTGGAGAAACTCACGTTGCAAATACCCCAAGCCACCGTACACTCTTCACTTGTTGCCGATGCTTGATTTGCTTGACATTCTATGCCTATTGTGTGTCAGTCCAGAGTGCGGAAGAGCCGGTCAAGGCAACATACATAGATCCATGATGTGGTTTCTGCAAATAGCGCAGTTGTCAACAACAATGTCCCATGCCCATAGAGCGACTGCGTTCCACTAGTAATATTTTGTCAACTTCAGAATCGTAATATATGCCGCAAACCTGCATACCTTCTTCACTTCAAAACGCTTCTTGCCATCTACCCCTCCATCTCCTGCTGGTCCCTTGGCCTTGGCTCCACCAGCTCTCTTGACGGGCCCAGCTCCCAAAGTCGACGGTGCGTCAGTCATATCTACGTCTGCCATTGTAGCGTTGAGGTCGAGGTCGAGTTCGAGTTTAAGGCTTTATTTATATGCTGGTGTGATGCGACCTTGCGGTTAATTCGAATGAGGTGGTACGGTCGAGCAGATTCGAGTATATTTTGGCCTGGTGTATGAGAGGCGAGATCCTTGAGCTTCAGCGGAATCAAAGACTCGAAATCTATAGAGTCTCTTTCAAACGATTATGAATGAGAAGCCACTGAACCCTCGAATATCGTTCTCGACTACTGTGGTTCGTCCGGATAAGGCTGGAATCCCAGGATGATTAGACGCCGATGGAATATCCCACGCCCCTGTTTCCGTATCCTAAACTAGTTTAGCGCAGCCTCTCCATTGTGGGCGACTCGGCGACGTGACGAGTATGAGTTAGTTACCTTCGACGTCGACCACTTTGTTGGTCGTCGTTCACCTCTTGACACTCAACCTCCAACACATTCACCACCATTACCTACCGCAGTCGAAGAAATGACCATCTCACTTTCACTTTCATTTCCTCATCTATACACAAGCAAATCTTCGACCCAACAACGCCCGACCGTCCGCGACTCACAACCTTCAATACATAAACCGCCACCAACGAAGTGCCGCTAAGCCCTCGAGAGCCTTGCCCGACACGACATCTCGTCAGTGACTATTCGACTGTCCTGCTAAGACCGTTTCTATCGTCTATATCAAGTACACTTTACCTCCTTCGACTGCATCAGAGACCGCTTATTTATCAGGCCCAGCATGTCGAGTTTGACCCCGCAGATGGCCCGCCGCCATCGCCACAACCAGAGCGCTGACGTTTCTTCGTCCGGAGAAGCGCCACGCAATCCACAAAACCCTCGCTTCTACAACAATCAAGTCCATGCAGATAACTCACGTTCTTCGACAAACTACGGACAACCAACGACGCCGCCCAGGACGCCGCAGAAGGCCCCAAACGGCAAGTTCGACAAGACTCCAGGGGCCAATATGGGTCCTGGTAACTGTGCGAAGAATGCCGCAGTTACTTTCGCTGCTGCGAAGGCGAAGCCTAATCAACCTTCTGGGCACCCGTCGGTGTCTAAACCCATCTCGACTCCAAACGCGGCGGCTTATGCGGGTCCAACCTTCCATGCCTCCCCCGCACCATCAGCTTTGCCTATGCCTAGCTTCTTTTCCAAGTCGGTTCCTGAATCACCAAGCATCAAGATTTCCGATTCGAGGGCCGATGAGACCAACTCTAGCTCCAGTGACTCATCGCCCCCTCCTATTGTCAAAGCTTGCATCGCAGAACAACGGCAGAAGAAGTCTCCATTAGACTTCTTCTTCAATGCAGATAGGGAAGAGAAGGCTAGAGCTCGCAGTGCCAATTCAGCTGTAGCGCCGTTTCAACCTCCAGCCGGCCTACCACCAAATGACTATAGAACACCTGCCGCGAATAACCAAGGTCGCAACAACAACCCCAAATTTGCAGGTGGCTCCGCTAGTAGCATGTTTGCTATGGAATTAGACGGCACTCCGGGGAAGCCATATGGCCCCGCCTTTTCCACGCCTTACAGCGAGCGAATCAACGCTGCTCGATCAACTCCATCTCTTGTTAATTCACCATCTGCAAGTGCATCCGATCAACAAAAGACCACGGACCGTTCAGAAGCTCTGAAATCATTTTTATTCTCCGGCCAAAAGCCAGCGTATGCGAATGCGAATGGTCGTGCACCTGAACCCCCCTTTCCAGGACAGCAATCGCCGACTCCCAACCGCGCGGCCCTACAGCTGACATCCCCATCAGGGCCCCGGACCAAGTCGTATTCTTCTCCCCAGCAGCATCGCCAGAACGGGTTCCCTTACATCAACGATAGATCCGGTTACGGCAGCGCAACCAGGAATACCTCCCGAACTTCGGGGCTTCGTCAAGAAGTTACACCCACCAAGACGCCTCCGGAGAGGATGGATAACTCCACCTTCCAAAACTCCCCATCGTATAATTTCAAGGAGAATTCCGCTCGCCGCCAAATCGCAGGCAGTAACCTCGCCTCTAACAATCAGGCACCACCTCCCATCGCGGCGACGTCACCATCTGTATCTACACTATCATCGCACATCAATTACTCGGACATACGAACCATGGAGGACAGCCTCCGCCGCATCCTCAAACTCGAACCCTCAGTTTCAGGTTCCGGGGTCTCCGATTCCGGTATCCCCGTTGCGTCTGCGTCAAGCCCGCATTATTAGACGTGTGTGTGCTGTGCAGGCTCCTGTTTTCGGCGGGTGGGCCCAATAGGCAGGCGTTTTTTATGGAATCAACTACTTACTTTGCATGTCGAACCACGATCAAATGATAGAGAAGGGGTGGCGGATTGAGTGCCGGGGTGGGGTGGGGGTGGGATTTCTCATTTTCCATCGGCGGGCGGGCGTTCTTCAGACCTCTATGTGTTTTATTTAACATTTGTGTCTTGTTAGCATGACGGACCTCCATTTCCTGTTTCTGAGACTGCTGCTGCTGTGCTTCAACAGCCTGCTTGCGTTGCTGTGGATTATTACAGTTATGATTTTCTCGGGTTTTAGCTCGTTTTGAGCGATAGCGGCGGCATGGGCGGGGCACATACATGTTTATGTCTAGCGGCCGGGTTTTGCTTCTTCTTTTCAATCTTTAGCTTAGGAGGGATGTTCAGAGGGTGGGGGCTCTTTTATGAGGTTCGGTGGGAGGGGATGATGTATTATTTGCGGTTACGGGGCGGGGAGGGATACACGGCACATTCTGCGAGAGCTGATTTTCTTTAGTTGTTGCGGGGGTTTACCCACGGGGTGAGAGGTATAGGAAGGGGAGGGGGGAGGAAAGGAAGGGGTGGTGGGGGAGATGTGAGACTACTACCAAGTCTCGACAGCGAGATGGGCAAGGGGACGGAGGGAGAGAGAGAGAAAATCATTAAAAAAAGAATTGGGGAGATAAAGAATCTGTGGCGGCCTGGTTACGGAGGCGGCGGCGGCTTATTAATATCAATTACTTTATCCTTCCATGCTTGGGGTTTTGTGTGTGCTGTGATGGGGGGTTGTGATTGTGATGATGATCGTAGGTTTCTCTGCCAGAGTCACCCTTCTTCAGAATTCGTTTTTGGATTGAGTGATGACAGTAACTGGATAATGTTGTTTGGGTCACCTGAACGGAGATTTGTCTCTGTTGGTAACTGGATACTGATTCTGCTCTGAGCTGGCATTTAATCACATCAGTAACTCAACACTGGCTCCACAGCTGATGAACTCTGGCAATCAGTTTCTCCTCAATAGCAACTCGCTAGTATCATTGGCATCATTAGGTTCTAGTGGTATTGCATTCCCCTTCAGTAACTGAATGATGTCCATGAAATCGACAGCTGCTGGCACAATAAATCCATAGCATAGCAATTTACAGCTATCTCGACTATCTTCACTAATCAGAGAGTGAATCAACTTGATTGATTCAAGATAACGCTACAATTTTATGCCCGCTGCTCACCATGAGCAACAAGCCCGGTATCTATGACCCAAAACTCCTCATCCCATCAAATTCCACCAATGTAATACCCAAAGACCATCCTCAGGATCCCAAATGCTAACTCACGTACAATAACCCCACCACCTACTCATCAGCGCCCCTCCGCCCCTGCCAACGGCGGCGCCAGCACCGGCGCTCCCGGCGGCACCTCAATCACCCCCGTCATCTCCTCCACCTCCCCCCTCCTCCCCTCAATCCACCTCCTCCACCACCCCGGCGGATCTAGAGGCTTATAACCCCCATGGAGCGGCGGATAGACATCCGTAAAAAAGTACCACACATGTCCCACCACCACTCCCATAATCTCATCCTTCGGCACCGTGCCATGCAACACAAAACTAAACCCCATCAGCACCCACGGCAAGTACGGCGCGGTGAACACCAGCAGCCCGAGGAACGAGAGCCGCGTATCCGGGTTCCGCCGCGACCAGATGTAGACGAGTGTACTGGACAGAGGGTGCCCGAGGAAGGGCATGGAGACGAAGGGGGAGAGCGCGATGAGGCACACGCAGGAGTAGAGGAGGAGCCAGGAGAAGTGGGCGGGCGAGCGGCCGGAGGATTCTTCGAGGAGGCGGGAGTAGCGCTGCATGAAGAAGGCGTGGAAGACGAGGTCGAGGGAGAGGGGGCCGAAGTAGAGGAAGGTTGTTAAGAGGCGCCAGAGCTGTGGGAGGGGAGGGTTAGCTGGTGTGTTTGCTGGAGGGGCTTTGGGAGGGTTGGGGGGGACGTACTTGGTGCTTGTAAAAGACGGCGCGGTAGCTGTAGAAGAGCTTGAGTGAGTTGACGATGTCGCATTGGACGAGGACGCTCGTGAGGACCGTTGCGGTGGTCCAGAGGCGTGTGCAGACGGGCATTTCCCAGAACCATGCTTCGAGGGGGAACCCGGCTTGTCCGCCGAGTCCTCCATTCCCGCCACCCATCATTTGGTCCATGGCGGTGTCGACTGATAAGTGTGGCGATTTCAAGGGGGCAGCTTCAGCTATTGATGCTTGAAGTCGTGCTTGGATCAACAGAGCATCTGGCGTAGTAGATGAGGGTGTTCCTAGGATATATCGTGTGGGGGTCCTTTGTAATGTCTGTTTTGTTCATGGAGTGTGATGGAGACTGAGATCTCATAGAGCTGTCCTTTATCCGAGATAGTGCCGTTCGGTCACTGTGGATGATAGGGTAGCGGGAAGCACAGCCACAGGGACGGTCGCATTGCATTGATCCCTGTCATGTGGGTGCCATGGGAAATCCACTTCACACGAAATCGCGTCAATCAACACAACGAAACCTAACTTTTATCTCCAATTTCGCGATCTCACCACCACCACGACACTCGACACAGTTACGGTATATAATTCGTGTTTGCGCACACTTCATCTACGATAATCGCAACAAAATCACCCATAACCCGCCTCTGCGCCGAATTTACCAACGCGTTTCCTCGGCCCAACCTCCCCAATTACCAAGGGCCTGGGAAGCTGATATCGCGATTCCTCAATCACAACCCCCAAACAACAAACCACAAACCACACCCACAATGCCTCAAAACCTCGCTCGGCGCGAAGCCCACCCCTCCAGCAGCGGCGGAATCCGCAAATCCTACAGCGGCAAAACCACCACCAGCACCACCGCCTCAAAGCGCCTATCCTTCAGCGCCATCCAGCCCGGCGACCCCGTTCCGCAGCGAAAAAAGCGTCGCTACCACCCCGGCACCGTCGCGCTCCAAGAAATCCGACACTATCAACGCACCACCGATCTATTGATGCTGAAACTCCCGTTCTCTCGGCTGGTGAGAGAGATTGCGATGACGCTTGTGCCGAGGAATCAGGAGCTGAGGTGGCAGAGCCAGGCGATTCAGGCGTTGCAGGAGGCGGCAGAGGCGTTTTTGGTGCATTTGTTTGAGGATACGAATTTGTGTGCTATTCATGCGAAGAGGGTGACGATTCAGCCGAAGGATTTGCAGTTGGCGAGGAGGGTGAGGGGGATGTGGGGGGGGTTGGGTTAGGGGGAGGGGGAAGGGGAAAGAGGAGGATGGACTTGGCTGGATGGCTGGGCTGGAGTCTGCATTATTGGGAGTTCGGACTATTGTATTTCGGCGCTGTTTGGGCTAGGTTTCTTGAGGGATGGCTTGTATGAAGGGCTTATGGGTAATAAGCTCGAGCTTGTCAGAATATGTTAATATTGGCTGTCAAAGATATTCAGAGGACACTTGAGCTGAGGATGAAGCCTTGATACTTCGCCGTGATCACCAATAAGCTACACGATCCATTGCACAACCCCCAATACCGCTGAGTGACGTCCCAAAGCTTCCCGCGCTTAACCCTTCGCTCCCTTAAAATGCAGCACCGCCGACAAGGCGGCTATGTCCAAAAAAATCCAACAGGCTTCTTAAATTGCCTTTTCCCGTTCCCTTGCAATACAATATACTCTTCCAATTACTCCGTCCCATCAAGTCCCTACTTTCAATCATCGCTAACCTCGAAATCGAACACGCCAAGTTTCGCTGTGAGTTCCGACAGCGACCTCTCCCGTTTATGCGGCTTTGCCACTGGACTACCATCGGCCCTCGGGTTATCATCCATGGACCTTCCGTCAAAATACCCGTCTGTATGGCAAACTCTCTCGAATCTGGGCGTGGTATTCCGCATAACGGCATCCATAATAAACGAATCGCTCCCGGCGGTCGTCGGCCGCATAAGCTTGCTCATTTCCGCATCATCTTCATACAAGCTCCTCGTTTCCAGGCCATGGGCAATATTTAAGTTTCTCTGCAATAGCTCCAGGAGGCGGTCCTTTTGCTTCGCCCATCTCGAATTTAGGATTTGTATTGCCTGGTCAATATCCTGCGCCGTGGGTATGGGATTGTCCTTCTCCTTCATATGGACTCCAAGTGTAGTCAGCGTTTTCCGAACAGCGTGTTTCGCCCCACTTTCTCCTTTGGCGGCGCTATGAGCATCAGAGATGATATGTCTCATGCGTTTGACAGCTTCGTTCTGATCATCCTGCATCAGGGGCAGACTGAGAACAGTAAAGTTCTTAGCGAGAGCGTTGACAAGAACTGTGAAGCCATGGAGATTAATATTGTTGTGCTCGCAGTATATATGGGTGATTGTATCATTGCCTTCAATCACTGAAGAAAGAGTGTTGGCGCCTTCGAGACCGAGGTTTTGGTATTCGAGTTTGAGAACTTTGAGTGCGTTGTTCTTCTTCAACCCCGTCAGAGCATGGTTAAGCCCAATCCCAAAGCGCGCGATTTCAAGATGTGCATACTCTCCAGAGATATCCAGCTCTTCAAGTGTAGAATTTTCTTCGAAAACTCGTTGTAGAGCAATGCATGTATCCTCTCCGGCGTCGTATGGAAGCGACGCCTTGGAGATGTCCAAGCATTTTATCGTAGTATTTTCCCGCAAGGCCTCCAAAAGTTGTCTGAAGTGAGCTTCCGATTGATATTCCACCATCCGCATGGTGACATGGGATGGTGTCAGGCAATCTTTGATGGCAGAGGCAATATCGCTGTTGCCTTTCTCGAGTCTATTTGCACTGATGTGCAGCTGCATGTCTCTCCCTTCTCCTGGCACATGGCACATAGTCCGCATGAGAACAGCCACTTGGGTGCCAGTGAGATTACACTGATCCATTTGTAGTAAGTGGAGAGACTCTGACATATCGCTATGGAGGTAGGTTGAGATTGCATCGAGAGTCTGGTCATTTATCTAGAATAGTTAGTAAGGTTGTTCTCCGGTTGTGGATCATGCTGCAAAGCGTAGTGGTAACTTACTGGAACACCCGTCAAGACGAGCTCCTGAAGCTTCCAGGCCAACATGACCTCGGCAGCTATCAGGGGCTCGTCTCCAGACGTGCTGGTTACTCGTGATAGGTCCAGCTTTCTGATTTGGGAGAATCGACTCATAGTTATGGGGAAATCTGCCAGGTTCAGGCGCCCCGGGTTGTCAGCTATGTTGATACACTCCAAGGTTGCGTTTTGCTTCTCCAAGTTGTTCAAGAAAACTTGAAGACCTCGGTCAGTTAGCCCACATCGTGCAACCTCGAACGACCTGAAATGGCAGAGTCTCTCACGTAATGCGGGAGCAATCTCTTCCAGATCGGTCTCGCCAAGTTCAATGCCACTGAAGACTATCCAGTCGACATTTGTCAGTTGTGCTCGGCAAAGGGGTAAAATCCCAGCTGCAATTTCACATCCCGGGTCTTTAGATGTTCCTTCTTCCTCCTCGTATGTATCTCGTGGCCGTCTCCTCGGGAGAGTATCACCAAAGTTCATCCGCCGTGTTTTGTATGTTTTCAAAGCCAAAGCCTGCACTTCCTGGTAAAGCAAGGCCCTTCCATCGGGGACTATGTCAAAGTACTTCTTGATCGGAATCCCTGATCGAGACTTCAAAGCAATATGATCCTTTCCGTACTCGTCGACTGTCCCATGAAGACATTCTAGATCTATCCCAGCGAAGGACATTGATCGAAACGACTCATTGTAGCGCAGTGCTCGAAATATTGTCAGAAGCTCATGTGTGCTGTATCGTCTTGAGTCAGACGGCGGCAAGAGGAGGAACTCAGGTGAGTCTTCGACCTCGTAACCAATTGTATACCTAATGTTACTAGGATTGCAGCCATAAGCAAGACAGTAAGCGATTAACGTTCTGTCAAACGCTCCATTATCCTCAGTGGGGCCAAAATCGACATTCGAATCATCGAGTACTTCTTTCGGTCCGCTATACAGAAAGGTATAGTCCAGCCACTGTGGCTTGAGGTAGAGTATTGATCTGAAGATATCACGTCCAATATCCGGGCCCTGGGACGCTGCCAAGGAAATAGTAACTGCTTTCTCAAGTGGAATACGGAATCCCAGCTCCAAGGTGTCATCGTTGTTGTTTATTTCCATAGTCACCAATGAAACCAAACCGTAGCTGTTTCTATTTGCCTTAACGTTCATAGGACGCGAAGGAGACTCGTGGAAATCCGGCAGGGAAATCAAATGCAACAAGTTGATACCGATCACAAGATAGCATGCAGTCGAGCTCAACTTGGAAAAGTCCTCGGAAGATTTGCCAGGTGCTTTGTTAGCTGGCCGCCGAACTACTCGGTATATCTTGAAGTTGTTCTCGTCATAGTCCTGCGACGCTTCAAGTAGGCGTCGGATGTAGCTTATGGTCCGCGGGGGAAACGGTTCGTCTGCCACCAGTTTCGCTTTCAGGGCAGCGGCTCGGATAGAGGTGTGCCATAGGTCTGCTTCTCGGGGGTCTTGGAGCATAAGCTGGATCGAGCCGACGCTACTTGTTGCCTCGTCCAGGTATACGACTTCCGTTATGAAGTACGGCCTGCCGCCTTCAACTCTATATGCTGCCACAATCTGGTTCAGGAGAATCCCATTGTCGCCATCGCTGCTTGATCTTGAGTTCAAGGACTGGATTTCATGTAATGATCCGATCGATGCCGTGGACGAGTGCCTTGTCCCAGAGTATCGTCTATTTGCCCTTGATATCGTTGGGAACGCCTCCAGTGCTCTTGAAAGGCTCTTGAACCTTATCAAGTGGGTATCTGTGAGGGCAAGATATTCTTTCTTCTTCCGAAACAAACCAATGGTCGTCTGAACCTGCCCATGATACAGCAACTGCTGTCCATCTTTGTGAAATGCAAAGCCCACCTCTTCAGATGAGATGTCAATGGAAGATGTCTCCATTGCCTCACTACTCGCCACGGATGCCTCATCCACAGACAAAATCGATTTCCTTCCAAGAGACCCAAATGTCGAACCAGGTCTGTACCTGTGCAGACGCTGCCGAGTTGAGGATGAAATCTGGGTCCCCCCACTAACAGAGGCCGGTGAACCATCTAGCTGTGAATCACGGCCCATAGGTGAACCCTGGCGTGGTGCAGGTGAATGGCTTGCGAACCTCTTGCGTTCCACCGGTTTAGTGTCATCCTTTTGGTTTGTGATCAGTGGCGTAAGAGAGGACAGTTTCGCCCTGGAGAACCGATTTGAGGAAGTCTGCGTGCCATTGCTTCCCCCTGAACTGGAGACCATTGTTATATTAGGTTGGCATTAAGGGGACTTATAATCTAGGGTGGGCCAATCCCTCACGGGTGTGATGTTGCAACCAGTATACGGTCGTGCTGTCAAGAGACATGCAATCCCTATACTCTTTCCCCCATACCATACAATCAGAAGGCAATGTAATCCAGGAAGTCTAGAAGGTGGGGAGCTCCAGACTGTTGGGCGACCAGTTGGCGGGCAGCCTTGTAGCCACGGTTCTCTGTGTCGCTGGTGATGTTGCACTGTGAGCAGCTGGAGTCAGGGCAAAGCTCAAAGCACAAACAACTTATATGACTGTTTGCAGTGTCGGATCCAGATAACGTCAATCCGTTTCGTGTCAGATGGGGATTGACCAAACGTCAAGTTCTGCTCAGCTTCGCGTCCCGAAATCAACAGACGGTACTGGCGTTCACCCGTCGTGCGTCTGTCGCTGTCCGTGTCCAGGCTTAAACCCACAGTAGCTTAAGCAAGGGGAAATCACACACAACCAGAGCTCAGTATAGAATTGAATAAAGGGATAACAAAGGGCCTGCCATGGGGTTGAATATCACGATCACAAGAAAAGAGTACGAGGCATTTTTAGGCCGTAGTATGGGGAGAGGAGGCGTAGCTCGTATTTTTATGCCGTTCCGTTTGACCTTGGTGGGATGCGGAGATCTACCAGTGGGCCGGTACATGCAGTCGGTCGATGGGCGATAAGATTTCAGGTCCTGTGTATGAACGACCGACAGGGGATTGCACATCAATAGCATCGTCGATCACGTGATATGGGGTGTTTTTAGATGCGCTCCGATGCACAGTGCGAACAGTCGTCGTGTTCAACAAGATTTGTAATGGGTTGTTTCAGAGGTTCATGAGAAGAGATTAGAACTCGTGTTTCATGAATATAATCAATATAAAGTCCGGCGCACAGTTCCTCGCATAGCCATATTCATTCCGGCGCCTTGGCAAATTATCCAAGAACGGCCCGGACTCTCAACATATCCACACTCGCCACAGCCTTCACTTTTACGTCAGATATTAACATATATTGATCTAATATTCCTCTCAAGTCTGATTGATCTAATGCTCCTCCATATTCTCCTGCTGACGTATAACTCCACCCATGCAAATCACACACACCACACCGTCCTATGCCGCCGATAACACCTGGCCATCAATATGCATTGAAAGCGCCTCCTAGTATGACGACAAAGGTCCGCCTATCTTGCCGATATAATTTGTGCGCCTTAAAATAAATGAAAAGAAAGGGAATATGCCTCCGCAAAACTCAGGTCTCTGTTGGTGGCCTGAGCAATAGTCGATCGTACGACATGTATGGAGGATAAAGTTGTTGCGGTTGGCCGAGTATATAATATAACTTCAGCAGTTGCATTCGCCGAGTGTCCATTTACTCCTTGGCAACGGCCGGATCCTCATCACTATCCTCAAACTCTTGGTCTCCATCTGCGTCCTCGTCCTCATCAAAGTCATCGTTCATCTCAGCGTCTTCTCCCGAGCTGTCGCTGCCTCCAAAGTCGTCCTCGCCATCGCTCTCATTCCAGAAGCCGTCATCGTCGTTGAACTTCTGCGGCGGAGCATCCACCAAGGTGGTGGGAAGAACAAAGCCTTCCGGGATATCAGTCTTGCTCTTCTCAACATCCTCATGAGCCTTATCGATGTAGGCAGCACGATCGTTGCGGTATAGCACGCCAGCGTCAACATTGGCGGGTGACGAGACCTCTGGGTCATCCATGAGCAATAGGATGGAACGGAGAACGGACTCGACGCTCTGCACTGATGTCCAACGCTCTGTCGCGGACTCGCCAGACATCTCGTCTTCTCCGGCGGGGTGAAGGATCGATATGCAGATCCTGCCGTCGGGGTAGATGTTCGGGTGGTAGATTGGGCGCAGGAATTTGAATGAGGGCGGGCTCATGGGGTAGTTCGAGGGGAAGGACATCTGAGCCTGTTGTGAAGTTGTCAGTTACCACTCATAATCGGATGTTCATGTGTGATGTTACATACCTTGAAGTAGCCGCCGTCATAGTAACTGTCGGAGTTGACGACCATGAGGCCAACCGTCCATTTGAAGATGTTGGATCCATCGCAGGGCTTCAAGGAGTGTCAGCATACTGTTTGAGGGCCAGAGAGTCAAGGATTCGTACCTCTACGGTGCACCACTTTTCTTTCTGCAATGCCTGCAGTTCGTTCATAAGGCGTGTCTTTGCCATCTTGGACGATGAAAACGGCGAGAGTGAGGTCTTGCAGAAAGTATAGTCGAGTTTATGACAAAGTCAATTCCGTTCGCCGAATGAAAGATCGAGTCCTGTCGCAAAAGAAACCGCCACCAAAGTGGCACCCAGGTGAATGTGTCGGTTGATCTGTCGAAAGCGGATCGAGGGTCCAAGGTCAGGTCAGATTGTCTCTTTTGTAAGAGCAACTAGCGAGCGAAAGAGTGACAGGCGAGGGCAAAATTCCAGATCGAATCTTGAGAGAAATCAAAAAGAGCTTGTTAAACACAAAAGAAGTTGAATCTGGGAGGATCTGGAATTAAATCAGCAAGGCTACGTCAAATGGTCGAGTGGTCTGTGGCTGGTGCCCGAAACTGCTGACTATGCGTGCCGCGTCCAGCCGCTACCGAGTACCGATGGCCTCGCCTCATCAAACAGGACAAACATAACCGCTTCAAATCAACAACGTCAGCCTTGCCAAGGCACTCTGTAAATTATAACAGATTCTAGAAGTTCCTGGGCTATTTTCACATACTCAAATTCAATACCAATTCATCAAATAATTACATCCTATTAGCAAATATATGCAGTATGAAGTTTCTTCTTCAATACTTCAACGCCCTAAAGAATGCGACCCGCTCAGATCCTGACCAATAAAAACGCCACCGCACCCTCTCTTGACAACGTTTTTCACCCTATGTATAATCCCAATCAAACCATTAGGCGCCGGTTACATAACCATGTTCTCCTTTCTGTCCTTTACCCTTCGCTTCTCTGCATTCCTCAGATCCAGTCGTGCCTTCGCTGCTGCTGCCCTCTCTGGGTCCAGTGTTGTCCTTGATCTCGTGCTTGCCATACTTGACATTCTACTGGGTCCCAAGTTGCCTGATCCGGCTCTCTCTAGGTCTGCAATGGACCGCGGACGAACTGCAGCTGGTCTGGAAGTTTCATGTGTAGTGCTGTCCATGGTTGGTGGGAGTTCTGGCACAGAGCGTAAACTGAAATCCGATGCAGGCTGAAGCGTTTCTGGCGTATGCGACGCACTTTTATTATTCCCAATCTCAAGTGCATCAGACTTTGACCTCTGATGTTTTGGTCCGTCAAGAGATGTTTGGACACGCGCCGTCGCTGATCTTCTTCGTTGCAGTGTAGAGCCGGCGAGAATCGGCTTTTCACGATCCTGTGGATCTTCGTAGATTTCGCACGGCTTACTAGCTTCTGGTTCTCTCCTGCGCGTATTCCGTACCGGAGGCATTACGTCCTGTCCTGCCATCACATTCCCATCCTGTAACGTCGATTTGAACTGAGTCCTGGTTGACTTGAGATCCCCATCGTTCGAATCAGCGGCACGATTGTCCCCAGTTCCCTTTTTTGACACCAGAGGGCTTCGTTCGACTCTCGATGCAGCGAGTTTCTCTTTCAGGGCAGCCATCTCCTTTTTCAACTCTGAAACTTGGTCGTGGCGCTTCTTGAGGAGATGTTCCGCGTCTCCACGTTGTGCTTTCGCCGATTCTTTGAGGTTGTCGTACTTAGTCTGAAGACCTTGCAGTAATTGTGCTTGATCATGTCTCATCGATTCTGAAGCTTCCCGGCGTTTCTCACTTTGGTTGAGTTTCTCGTTTGCCTTCTCCAGGTCCCGAGACAATTTGGTATTTTCGTCACGAAGTTTAGATGCCTCCCTTTGTGACGTGGAGAGGTCTAGTCGCAGGCGTTGTACTTCGCTCTTGAGGTCGCTCGCGGGCTTCTTGATCTCTCCATTTCCACCTTCTTGTTGTTGATCTCGGTCCCTCAATACATCCCTAAACTCGTCGACTTGACTTCGATACTGGACCGCAAGCGCAGTCTGCCTGGCAAGGTTCTTCATCATGGTGGGCGAGTCGTCGTCGATCCCATTCAAGTATCCCTCGGCAATTTGAGCTACGAGTTCAGCAATCCTATCTTCCATCTGCAACGCCCTTTTCTGTGCTTCCTTGAGCTTGCTTCCAAGATCAATCGCCTCTTCATCCTTCTTCTTGGCATATGATTTGGCCATTTGCTTGTACTTCACAAGCTTTGTCATCTGAGCCTTCGCGTCCTCGTTGTATTTCTCGTACTCCGATTTCCAATAGCGACCTGACTGCGAATGTGGCTCGTTGAGATCGATGGTCACGTCCCCGTCGAAGTCGTCCATATCTCTTGAGTATAGCCTACATTGAGGGTCCTCGTTTCGAAGTGAGCTTTCCATTATTTGAGGTGCCGTTAGGCCCGTCTTTATATCCAACTCCAGCAGTGATTGTGGAGCATCAGGATCGGAGGTGCGCGTTTTCGATTCCTCCATTCTTCTCCTCTTTGTATCCCTCACATTCTCCAGAGTCTTCGTCAGCGCAGTGCGCCTCAGCGATCTCCCATCTTGCTCTACAGCAGCCCCATTCACAAAATGTCTGGAGAATTTCCCTGGGCATTCATCTGGGATGTCACTGGTGCTGTTTGGTTTCGCCTCCTTGTCTTTGACGGTTGCGCCAAACGAGACCGATTTCCGACTCCTCGCTGTTCCTGGGGTCATCAAAATCCCCTTCGATGGGCTCGATATACTCGTATTTTGTTTTGGGGCCGGCATGTTTGTCGACTTGGCAATTTGCTCAAAGTGAGTGTCGTCGCCTGGTGGTGCAGGAGTGCCAAAGAGGGCACTTTTGAACGCTCTCGCTGCAAATACCGGAGCTGGGGTTTCGGGCGGTTCTTGGCCGTCTATTTGGAGCTTTGTGTCAGTTTATTCGCCTGTTGTGAAAGGAATGGGCGAGTTTCTTTGTGACATACCCTCTCGACGCGTCTCCTCGCCGTTTTTTCCCAGCCACCAACCAAGCATATTTCGCGTATAAATTGTTTCTTTCTATTAAAATTGTAAGGAGCAACTCATAGCCCAAGGCAATTTGAGGGGTTGAGGGGCGACGTGGCGGTGTTTTCTCAAATCGGCGTCGGTTTTGGCATCTTTTGTTTACTCTCGTGAACGGACAGGGATTGAGTTGGGAAGCCACACTAGCGCAAGGCACAATGGTAGCCTTGTGGGTGACGGCTCAGATACAAATACGTTGTGGCAAAATATTATCTATTACAACGTCCTATTTAGAATCTGATGTAGGAAATTTTGATTCTTTTTGTGTTCCTATATGGGGCTTTTTTCTGGTACCTTAGTGGCTAAATGCATATAATATAAATATCTTCCGTCCTAAATTATAAGTTTTAGCATTTTTAATTCATATATTTAAGTTACTCAAACATATAAATTTCCTGCTTCCAAGCTGTAAAGGGGCATCCCTCTTCCAGCTGTCTGCCCCGCCATCTATCCAACATTTTCGCACCTTCTACGGTCTCATTCTGAGTCGCCTAGCCCAGCCGCCTGCACCAATGGCGCCATTTAATGGATCACATAGGTCAGCCTCGCTGTAGCTGAAAAACCACGAGACACACCGGACAAATGAACACATCAGGAAACATCCATTGGCGATTGGCTACAAACACCGAAGGATCAAAAAGAGGCGTTTCTAGCGACGAACTTATCTACTGTCAAGGAACTGCTCTCCCCCGTTAAAATGCTCCGTACATCCCTAGGCTCCCAATTAATTGGGACAGCAATCCTAGGCTTCTTAACATGAGTTCAGCTCGTTCATCTCTGTCCATCGCGATTTCTCCTCGCGCCGTCGTCGTCCTCGCATGTCTGTTGTCCCAAGTCCCAGGTGCGCAATCTACAATCTGCTATGATACGACAGGCCTTCCGAATACAAACTACTACCCATGTGAACCGGATGCCACAATCTCCTCCTGTTGCGCAGCAGGCGATGTCTGCTACAGTAATGGACTTTGCTCTCCTAGTCAAGCCCGGAAAGACGCCCATCCAAAGGGTACTTTTATAACCGATTTCTATCGGGATAGTTGCTCTGATCCATCATTTAAAGACCCCAAGTGCCTCTCGCAATGCTTCAATGGTGAGCATATTTAGATTTCAGTTATCGTAGCCCTTCGTGCATGTCTTTGTCGATAAATATTAACGGCGAAGTAGAATCCCACCAAGGCATCACAAAATGCGGCCAAAATAGATATTGCTGCTATGGGCTGCCTGGATGCAACTGCAACGACGCTAGGCAGGTTGTCACTATCGTAGATGGCTCTGTTATTGCTACGATAGATCTCGGCGTATCGACCTCTATCGCTCATACCTCTTCGTCGACCTCAACATCTAAAGATCCAACAGCAACAACCACTGCGCCAGAAAGCAGCACGCCTGCAAATACTTCGCAATCTCAAGGAAGCAAAAGCTCTGCAGTTCCGATTGGCGTTGGAGTTGGAGTCGGCGGGGCAGCTTTAATAGCGGTTGCCGCCGCGGCATTCTTTTTACGACGACGCAGAAGGCAAAAGTCGCCTCCTTTAGGACCTCAACCGAAGTCCGAGACAAAGCCTGACGGATTGCATCCCGAAATGATGATAAGTCACACTACCGCAGAGCTACCTAGTCCCCATGGAACCCCAATGTACGAGTTACCGGCTCCTCGATGAAAGGAATTGCGGCATTGCAGGCTAGGCGCACTGGGAAGGTTGGGTTGGATGTGGCGAGAATAGAAGATGGACACTGCGAGGTGATTTTGCTCCGAATTAAGGGGGGCTACCTAAGGCCATTGCAGTGGCGAGTGGGAAGGAAGTACATATATTTAACTGCCTAGTTGGCAGTCTTAGAAATGGAAATGGAAGACCATATTAACCTTGCGATACCATGTTTATCAGCAACTAAAGAAGTCCATTCAGGTAGCTCAAGGACAAAAGATGCTAAAACTACGACCGCCCGACAGATCATCGCCCGACAGATCATCGCCCGACAGATCATCGCCCGACAGATCATCATGGAGATCAGATCACAATAAGAGAGCTCATCGATTATTCCCCAATCTACCCCGTCCTACCCACACCCACCAAACCTAGAGCTTCGAGACAAACCACCCCGAAATAACCGCACAAGCTTGTGTCACCCCATTAATAGCAGAAACCCCATAACCCCCCATCGCCGCACTCTGCAAATACGCAAATACGCGGTGTGCCCCAACATTCCCCAGCATTGACTGAAGTGAAGCCGCAACGGAGCCTGGCGTGATATTAAAACGACTTTCTGTAAACGACAACACTGACAGAACTCACCAGCAACAGGACCGGTGGCGCCGAAACCCATCGATGCGAGGAGCGGACCGCTGAGAGCAGCGGGGGTGAAAATCCCGACTCCCTCAATGACGAGTATGGCGGTTTGGCCGGGGTGGGCGACGATCCATTCGAGGGCCACGGATGGGACATCTGAGATGTTGAATCGGAATACTTGGATCAGGGAAGTGAAGGCATTGGAAGGTTTAAAAGGTTGTAAGGTTGTCGCCATATTGACACAGTTATGCTCAAAGTTGCTTTGTCTTTCTCTTGTGATCGGGATGGGAATGTCGTCAATGATATTGATGCCCAACACAAGACTGTTGGTGTTATCCGACCTAGGCCTCAGATGCGGCCTGCACGGACCAATGAGGAGGGTATGCAGGTTCTTGATGTTGTTGGACTTGCAGCTGTGGGGGTCAGCCTTATTGTGTGACACTCTTGATTGTATGAAGCAACCGTGTACGGTACTACCTCCGCAAAAAGACTTGCTTCGGAGGACCGTTTAATATTGCGTCTCCAATTCATCGGTTGAGACTGGGTGAACGAACGGGGACATGCAGGAAGCCTCCATACCATGAGGCACCACCTGCGCCAATATTAGAACAACATAGAACTCTCCGTAGAAGATGGGTAACATCCGTGAATAATATCATCGATTTATGCAGTCTTGTAGTCCCTCAAAGAATACAAAACCTCAATAACAATCTGAATTCCCAATCCCCCCACCCAAACGTTAATGGTACGTACAACCCCCCTCCCCTCTCCATCCCCCACCTAACTATTGAAAATCCTCGAATACAACAACTCATGCCTCCCAATCCACAAATCCATAACCGGCACCGTCTGCCCCGCATCCTCCACCTTCCTCCCCCAATTCCCCCTAATCACCCTCTCAATCCCCCTCTGCACCTCTTGGCTCGCCAACGACTTCTGCGCCTGGTACGGCCCAAACACACTCGCTCTTACCGCTGCGGATAACAGAGCTTTGACGTGCGAGAGCATGTACACGTATGCCATCTCCCGCTCCCCAACCCCGGTGATCCGCGCGATGATCCCGAAGAGGGGAGCGAGGTGTGCGGAGGCGGGGGGGAGGTCGTCCGTACTTGCATTTGCCGACCTCAGCAAGACCGAGAACCCTTTCAAGACCTTCAGAGTCCCCTCCGAGGCATTGTTGGATGGCGGAATCGCCGAACTAAACGCCCTATCCCAAATACTCAACATCGCCCTCCCCTGCGCAACACTCGCGCGCCGACCAACGGTACACATGGTGGCTGCATCCAGCGCGTCATCCAGCTCCAAAAGGCGTTCTGGATGGCGGTGCCCGGCGAGGACGAAGGGGAGGGTGGCGGAGGCGTGGGAGGAGAGGGAGAGGGTTAGGAAGGTTGCGAAGGAGTGGGGGCGGGTGTGCGAGAGGTAGGATTCAAGACCGGAGCTAAAGGCGAAGGAGCCGAGGGGGAGGGCGGAGTCGGCGAGGAGGAGGAGGAAATGGGAGGAGGTTGTCGGGTTGTAGACTATGGGGGATGGGTTAGCTTTTGGATGTGTGGGAGGAAAGGAGTGGGAGGAGAGATACCATCATTCGAGACGGCTGGTTGGGATGGGAGGGCACGTGGAGTTGCGTTGGTGACAGCGTTCAACCTCTCCTCCGCGTCTTGGAGTTTCCGTTTCAACTCCGCGATCTCATTTTCAATCAGCTGCGGCTGCACTGCCTCGGTCCTAACACTACTATCCGCCATGAATGCATTAGGTGAATCGAACAAATCGTTGTTATTTGCGTGATGTCGTCAGACTCCCATCCCACCCTTATCTTGATCCTTATCAGTGAAAGAAAGACCGGATTAAGCTATGTGGGTCCCTGCGCGAACGTGGGGTACCTGGAGCTAACGGTTGCGGCCGCTAGTGTGCGTGGTTGACTTGACTAGTTGACAACGTGGGAGGTGCATCTCGATTCACACCTAAGGTCATATCTGCGTTCAGAGGCGAACGGAGTGTATGGCTCCTCGACAGGGCATTTGCGGATTACGGGCCCTATCCCGACTTGCGTGGCCGTCGGCAACTCTTACCCGGCCACTCGCCTCTCAGATGCCCTCCTCACCACGCCAAAGCTCTAGATCACCACACCACCGCCTCAACTCCTCTATCTCCAATCCACCAAAACCAAACCAACAAATGCCCTCCCCCTCACCAACACCCCACATCCACATCCTCGGCCTCGGAAACCTCGCCAAACTCTTCGCGCACTCCCTCTCCCTCCTCCCCCACCCCCCCCAACTCACGCTCCTAACCCATCGCCCCTCCCTCCCTCCCTCCTCCCCCATCACCCTCGTCCTCACCCGGAATTCCACACCCCTCCCATCCCCCCCCTTGGAACTCTCCCTCATCACACCCCAAGGGCCGGCAATCACACACCTCATCCTGACCACAAAATCGCCCTCCTCCGCCGCCGCTGTCGCCCCCCTCCTCCCGCGGCTGTCTGCCGATTCCACCATTCTATTTACCCAGAATGGGATTGGTGCCGTTGAAGAAGTCTCCTCTCTCTTCCCCGCTGATGCGCAACCAACATATCTCTCCGCCATAGTAACACACGGTGTTTTCTCAACCGGTCAATTCAGCGCCACGCACGCGGGGGTGGCGGATCTGAAGATCGGGCCCGTCTCGGGGCGCACCAGCGAACTTTCGACGTCGGCGCGGTGGCTGGTTGATACGATTTTATCATCTGAGGCATTGGCAGCGACAGAGGTGGGAGCGGATGAACTACTCCACGTCACTCTCGAGAAACTCGTCGCCAACGCCGTCATAAACCCCCTCACAGCCATCTTCCGCATCCCCAACGGCTCTGTCCTCTCCCCCTCCCTAACCCCCCTCCGCACCGCCCTCGCCTCCGAAACCAGTCTAGTCATCCTCTCCCACCTCTCAGCCCTCCACCCCGACTCCCCCCTCCCCCCCTCAAAAGCCGAGCGCTTCAGCGTCGCCAGGCTCGCGGCGATGGTGGAGGGAGTTTGTGAGGCGACGAGGGGGAATCGGAGTTCGATGTTGCAGGATGTTGAGGCGGGGCGGGGGACGGAGGTTGGTTATATTAATGGGTGGATTGTGGGGAGGGGAGAGGAGATGGGGGTGGGGGTTGGGGTTAATGCAGGGGTGATGGGAATGGTTGAACGGGGGGAGGTGGTTAAGATTGAGGAGGTGGGGCGGTTGCTTGAGAGGATGAGGGAGGGTGTGGAGGGAAGGTAGTTGGGAATGGAACATGGACATACATAATCACATACATCATTCACATACACATCATAATCATAAAACACATACTATCAAATCACAACACACAAGATAATGATATAAGCGGGTAATTTCTGGTATTTCCACGTCTCCCCCCCACCCCACGGCTCCCCATGAGGGAGCCCCAGTGAAAAGGGGGAATCTATACACAGAATCGCGAGTTTAAGCTGAGTCCCAAATGGCCCTGACATCAAGTCCATTGACGGCGCCATTCCTTCCCTTCCCAATTTGCCTATTGCCTCTTCTTCAATCCCTCAGTCCTATTTACACTTCCATCCATCCATATTTAATGTCCTCCCCTAATCCCTGCGCGCAACGGTTCGTCCATAATGTGTGTTAACTAAAAAATCTCAAAAAAGGCTAGGTCTCTGAAAACAGCGTTTTTTTGGGGGTGTGGTTTTTGGTTGGGTTCGTTTTTTGAGTTGTTTGGTGGCGTTTTCAAAGAGTGATAAGTGAGATTTTTTGGGTGTTGAAATATTCGTTACTTGTTGACGTCCGTCGTTGGGGTCTAAGGTTGTGTGTGTGTTGTTGTATGTATGGTTGAAACGTATAAGAATGGTAATATAAAAAAGGGTCGTCGTTCGGAAGGTAGAGAGAGCCAAACTACAATTGGAGGCCGGCGACACTGTCGCCCCAGCCCCCAACCCACTCGAGGTCTCCGAGGTTATCCTTGCAATAAACCTCCCTGGCAGTATGATCTACATTCTCTTGCTCCCCAGCAGGTGTGCGGTTATGATATACTGCCGTCGTTCGCGAAAAGATTGGTGTGTGATGAGTATCCTTGCGTAGCCAGGATGCATCCTTTGCCTTGTGCGCATTGCCGGTCGCCGCCGGCTTGTAATCCAAAACGCCTAGAGCTCCGAATCCGGAGCTCGCAGTTGTTGCTGATGATGCCATTCCTACAGATCGCTTACCGCGCCAAATCTCCGGGCCCTTCTCCGCGCTGTGTCCAGTGTATGCTCGGCGACGAGCACCAAGTGCGGCCCATTTGTCCAGGGGGTTCGACTTGCGCTTGCATGGTGGAGAGTACAGCTCCGCTGAATTCTTGGCTGATGAATTCTGGAAGAAGAATCCATCGTTGACATTGTCGCCATCGATATCGCTGATATTCTCTTGGTCGGACTCGACTTCGTTGACAGTTGGTTTGGTATTTACATCTGAAGAGCTCTTGGTTGAAAGTACAAGCTCCTCCTCGTCATCGCTGAACTGTGCAGCAGTCTCATCCTCTTCGAGCTTGATCTCGTCGTGGCTGAAGGTGCGAGCGTTCTGGGCCTGTCTGCTGAATTGATGATCCTGCTCTTCCTCTTCAAACTCCTCATCGTACATGTCGCTCCAGCTCTTGGAAACCATCTCCTTCTTGCCGAAGACAGAAGGCATAGCCTTTTGCTTCGTAACGTTGATTGGCAGAGAGCCAGAGATGGGTGCCAAGTAAGAGAACCTCTTCATCATGGGACGGCTGTTAGCCAATGAGAAAACAGAGCCTCCAAGCGACGAGTTCATAGCAGATGCCATCGAAGAAGTCTGGGCGCCGATTGAAAACCAATCCTTGGTGCTTTCCTCGGACTTGGGGAACAGGTCCTCGGTGTAGCTCTCCGTGTCCGGGATGGACAGTTGGCGGATTGGCTCAGGTGGGCTGGCATGCAAGGCCTTCGCCCATGGGAAGGCGCTGGAGGGTTCGATCTGGGGCGTCTTGATGGTTGGTGTGCGGAGAGGCTCGCGGTTGGCACTGGCAATGGGCTTGCGAGAGATGGTGTGGTAGTCATCCTCGAGCTCGTCCGAGACGGTGAAGCTGACGACACGGTCGATGGCATCACGAGCGCCTTGGAGGGAACGCTTCTTGGGGTCCAAGCTCATGCAGTTAAGAATGACTTCGAAAGTGTCCTGGGACATGTCCGCGAAGACATCGAAGAGTGCTTGGTTGTCCCGTGAGAAGTCGAGGAAAAGTGGGTCGGCTTCAGTTGGTGTCGTAAAGGGGTTGCGAGAAAACAAAATGTTAAGCAAAATGATGCCGATGGCCCAGATATCGGCCTGAGCTGGCGAATATCCAGCGCCAGCTGAGTCATATTGTTCTGGGGCCATGTAGCGGTCACTACCAACAGTAGTCTCGTATGACCAAGTGTCCTTGGTTGCCAGCCCAAAGTCGCCAAGCTTCATGCTGCCATCTTTCATGAGAAAGATGTTCTCGGGCTTGATGTCACGGTGGTACATCCCCTTGGAATGGATGTATTCAACCGCATCGATTAACTGGATCATGAAATCCCGAACGTGCTCAGTTTCTAGTGGGCCGCAACCAGTGCGAATAGCTTCGTACAAATCGCCATTGGAGCAAAACTCTAGGACGAGGTAGACGTGGTTGTCCGTCTCGAAAGAATGAATGAGATTGACAGTGTTCTTGTGATCGCCGAGAATGTTGTGGCAAGCCAGTTCCTCGGACTTCTCATCGATGGCAAAGCTGGACTGAACGTCTTTGGCGGCAGACTTCTTGGTGAGGCACTTGATGGCAACATTCTCGCCAGTGAGCATGTCGTTCGCCAGGAAAACCATGCCAAAAGAGCCATGGTTCAAAGGCGAGACGGTCTGGAACCGGCCGTCGAGAACCAAGCCATCGTAGAAGTTATCTCTTAAGCAATCCATTTTGTAGGTGGTAGCCGTCGAGGTATGAGAAGAAGGGATTGAGGATAGCGTCGATTAATTGAGAGGGGGTGGTTGATTGTAGTATACACCAAACGATTCGTAACGTATTAGCCTAACGAGGGCAATATGAATGTCGAATGCTTTTGTCTGTTGAAACAAGATGATGGATGGCAGTCTTATGCTGAATGTATGGCGGACAAGACGTAGTAATGTAAAGGATGGTGCTGAGAGTGATTGATAGTGTTGCTTAAGATAATAATGCTCCGTATAGTATTGAGAGGAAAAAAAGTTGAAACTCCGTATCGTATAGTGTCAGTGGCTCATGGGGTGGTATCGAATTGCTGGTAACAAAAGAGAAGTGATCGATTGATCGTAAACGGATGAAGGTCGACAGGTGGACGAGTGTCCGGAAAGGAAAAAAAATAATATATATCGTTATAATGACATGAGAAATCGGATGAACTGCGAACGGGGTTCGACGAGTGATGGAAGTCTCGAAAAAAAGAGTTGTTTGGTTTGCTGGAGGATGTCGAATCCAACAAAGAAGCAGTGGCGAACGGGAGTAGGTCAATCAACGGGGATGTTGGTTGTCCTTGGAGAATCGAAGGCCGCCGTGAATAGGTGTCTGGTAGATGGTGATGGCGGAAGGTCACTGAGCTGGGGGGGTATGACTCGATCGATGGTGCGGTCGGCGAGATCGTTGGGAGAATGAGCCAGCAGGCTTTTATAAGGAGGCTGATAGCAGAGCGGCAGTCATCAGCTGACGAAGTTGATTGTTAGAACAGGTAGTCGAAGATGTGACTCTTCGGCCGCCGTGTTCACGAACTTTTTCGACAACCTTGATGGTGGAGTACGCGTGGAGCCTCGGAGCAAGACGAAGCAAAACCGGAATTTATGCTGAACAGTTGCGGCTTTGAATTATCGAGCAGAGTGATGAAAGAGTTTCGATTGTTGTGACACAAAGGATGTCGAGGGTGATGTTTGTTGTTGTGTTGTTGATTCCTCGTTGGTGGTTTGTCTCAACAAGCGGTTGACGATTTGGGGGGGGGTTGAGGGTTCTAGGTGGCGATTGGGGATGCGTCGGAGGGTCGAGAGTGAGATTGGGGTGAAGAGAAGAGGAGAAAGAGGAGGATGGATGAGCAACTGCGTGCACGAAATCGAGCTGCGTCCAGTCCTATATGGAAGATGAAATGAAGTTGTGATGTGATGAGAGAAGGAAGAAGCAAGAGGAGGATGGTCGGATGGAGACGAAATGGGGTCAGTCATGGATGGGGATATCAGGGTGTACTTGACCTGAGGCCGGCGGCTGGGAGGTAATGGCAGCCTGAGGCAGGAATAAATGCGGGAACGGTACAAAAAGGTGGGTATGGTGTGGGCAATGCTGGGAACTGCTGGCGGTCAAAGAAGCGTTAACGCAGGCTGAGCACTAGCGCGGTCGGAGGGTGGCACGGTGGCAAAAGGTGTACAGTAGAAGGTGCTGGAGCAACCGCCAATCTTCCATTTGCTGCAAGGGAGTACATGCCCCGCCCGTTTGATTGAGATTGAGATGGCCGTAACCATACCAACCGTGTGAATATGAAGATGAACGGTTGGGGGTTTATGGACACGACCAAGACTCACCTCGACCTCAATCTCCACGAAGGTGCTACGGTGCTACGATACAGTACAAACATGAGGGGAAGATCTACAAGTACAATCGGCATCAATTCGTATAATGGATTCCAGAAGTAAACAAGCAAGGGATTGAAGGGAGGGAGAGTCTCTGATGATGATGAATGCATGTTCGGCATCATCGATGGGATAACTTTTACTCCTGCAGCAACCATACCTGAGACCTGCGGGAGATTGATCACAGGAGGTGTACACTTGGGGGTGTATGTATCCCCGTATCCCCAACGGTTGGTCCTGACCGTGTCCAGCACAACCAAACTACTGTACCAAATGTACCCACACGTGTCATGAACCATTTGGCTCAATGCACGTCCCCTCTGAGGTCTGGAGACCAATCGATGAGCCCTGATCAGCCACCTTGGCCCAGCAACAACAGACACGACCCGTTGCCGCTTTCACAGTCCAGTAACCAAGTACTCTTCCAGCACCTTCTACACATAAATCTGCACTGACGGCTGGGGAACAGTATATCTCCATCAACTAGCCATATCTCTACCGAGTTTGGAATCTTCGGCGTCTTGAGCGAGCGGATTATTACGAATAGGCCGTTGTTCCAAACTTAGATGACGAATGTTGCGTAACCACACGAGGCGGATAGCCGGTTGCCCAGCGCGTCTAGATCAGGAGCGCAGGTCATCAGCCAACCGTTACCTGCGAACCGCCCTCCCTACTCGCACTGTGAACCACGGAGTACTGTACGGAGTTACAGTACCTCTTACCACGCGTCTCCTGAATCGCCTCCCTTCTCCCTTCCCCTTCCCATTCAAAGTTCGCGGCGGGTAGGGGCCATCTAGAATGTGATCTATAAAATGTGGGGGAAAGCAACGCAACAATGCTTCCCATAGGCCATGGCATCATCGCTACTGAAATAGGACAAGCCAGGCTGTTCAACCATGTACTGTAGCAGCAACCAGCATGGCAAGGACGGCAATTCGTGCTTGCATCGGTGGCTGATCGCTGATCCCCGCGGCGCCTCTGAACGGCAGGTCCGACACACTGGCGTGATCGTGTGCCATCATCACGACGGCTACATTGTCTCATAGTACGACGAGGGAAGTGCAAGTGCAAAACGCTATACTGGTACAGTACTACGACTATACTGTACTATCGTATGTAGGGGCCGCGAATCCCGTGCTACGTCGTTGTTTCACTCTTCCATTGACGGGGGAAGCGTGCAATGGTACTTCCCTCCCCCGCAACGTTGGGTGAAAGACACAAAGTACCACGACGACTTTAGTCAGGCACTTGACCTTGCCCAGAAGCCGTTTCATGAGTCCGCTTCCCCAACGATCAAACACATCAGATAGAGTAACTCGCATTAAGCATCACGACTTAAACTGGTCCAATGTTTCTCTGGTCCAATGTTTCTATATCCCCTCATCCCCCTCACCTAATCTCAAACTCGAACTCCATAACCCCTTATCTCCAGACGGGACCAGAAGCTCCAACCTCCAACCAACCTCTTATCGCCATATCGGTATCGCGGGACCGACGACGGGGCAAAACCTGCTCAAGAGGCGAAATGCTGCTTCATACTTATGTAGTGCTTAGTCCCATCCTCGTTTCAAGTGTCCAAATAACCTTCAGCCCGGCACGCATGACGAACCAATAACTTCCCCGCGCAGTACACCACCACCTTCCCTCCGTCTCGACCAACCAACTCGTCCTTTGGGGCGGGCGAGGCCATGACCAGCTGTTTTAGCCAATTCTACCCGCCCTTGCTAACCGACCACTCGTTGAAGCCGCGCCAGTGCGGCTTCAACTCTCGCTGTTTCTCCTTCCCCATTTCCTCAAGGCATGGCTCAGCTTGGCCTGCTGAGACCGTTTCGAGGCCGTGAGCTGCATTCCAAATCGCACATGCCGTGCCAGCCGCTTCGACTGACGAGGCCTTGCTCTGCCGCTTAACTTAGCAAGCGCCAGGAAGCCTCGAAGGATTCAAGGGGCTACTTACTTACGTAACGTAAGTGACGGTGGAATGCGGGGGACTGGGTAACGCGGTGGATTTACCCCACCAACGTCAGATAATTGTAGATAACTCAACAATGAATCGTGAACACCTGGGTATTGCTGAACGTGAAACCTTACTAGCCCAAGCAGTATTAGATGTCAAATCTGGGAAGTACAAGAGCGCATATCACGCTGAGAAAGTGCTGGGGTTACCCAAGAGTTCCGTGACGCGTCGTGCCAACGGAGGTTTGACACGCTCTTAAGCCCGCTAGCAACAACAGAGTTTGTCAGGCGCACAAGAGGTGATACTTCTGAAGTGGATTAAGAACCTAACAATCAGTGGTTGAGAAATCCAGTCGCACCGGTCACTCAATTTTGACGACGCGACGCCAAACTCACTTCCGCCCCAACCACGATTCTCCCTTGGTTACCACTAGGTACAGCGATTCATAAAACGGCATCCCCATCTGCAGGTTGTCCGTACGCATGGATGCGCACCGCAAATGAACTCCTTACAGCGACAATTAATGATGGTGGTGTGCCATCAACACTGGTGCGGACATGCATCCAAAAACCCACAGTTGCGTCGGAGCAACTTCGAGCCACCAACCTGATGTTAACTGCGATTATGAAGCGACGTACAGTCCGTACGAAGGGTAAAAGGGTTGTATGGAAGGGTCATTTTCACATTACTACGCAAGAATTATGTGATGCGGTGATGGAGGCGGAAAAAGCGACACAAGACCTCACCAAAAAAAGGACAAGCGCACATCCATATTGAAGAAGGAGTTGCGTCGTCTTCAGAAATCCACCGCGTTACCCAGTCCCCCGCATTACGTGGAGGTAAGTTCATGTACCGTACGGAGTACACATGCCCAACCGGGAAAATAGCATACATACTCCCTTTCCCACCCTTTCCCACATTCAAGCGTCGTTGCACAGCGGGCTCTGGACCCGCATGGCTGATGGATGCCGTTTACCAACCACCTCGCCGTGCAGCAACATGGGGATTGGGGGATTGGGGGATTGGGGGATTGGGGGATTGGGGGGAATTGGGGGGATTGGGGGGCCAATGGATGGGGTGGTTGGTGGAGGCTAAGAGCTGTAGGCCAACGTCGGGCTTGTGTGTGTGGCCAGACTACCAGACTGCCAGCCATTTATCTCGCCCACTCTCAACTCCGGCAATTGAGAGAGGGTGAGGTGGTTTGGAAGGGGGTCCTGGTGTCGTGACACGCACTGGTGGCTCTGACAGGTCATCTTCGCTCCGTGGCTGGTGGTGTCTCGAGAAATGGTCATGCAACTTTAGTGACCATCGCTCCTGCCATTTAAAACAACACAGACGCGATACATCATCTCGTTTCTATTCAGTAATCTTTCACAGTCGCGTTGTTACCTATGGAGTCAAGCCAATATTAATCATTATGTTATACGTGAGTATGGTCTGACTTGAAGTTTAGCGCAGTAGTGCCTCAGCTTTTAAACCTTGAAGCATCAAAAATTCTCAGTGGAATCAAGCATATCGGAGAAACGATCGGGATGGAGAACTTTGCCGCCAATTTCCAAGCCCTTACACGGGGCCGCGACTCGACCCGCGCATGCAAACCCGAGACAGGCCTCGGAGGCGTTCGCAGGTGGTTCCCGAGGCGTGACTGGCGGCGTCTGGTGGTTGGTGTCGTTTGGGGGGGTTGAATTACTCGATTGGGGATTGAGGCCGGATGATGGCTGGTGAACAGGAGGGGCACGCATGGAGGATGGGGTGCTGGGGCACGCATGGAGGATGGGGTGCTGGGTCATTCATTCATGATGGGGAGGGTGGCGGTGAGACATCGTGGCCGTTTGGCTTCTTACAACAACTTCAACTTTGCGACGACCGTGAGTATCGCATTGGAAGAGGTAGTTTAACGGCCACACTATCTGGTATCGATATCCAACATCCCATACCCACCCTCAAAAAAATATCTTCAATCCTTTCTCAAATAACTTTTCTTGACCGCTCCTGCAATCTCATAGTAAACAACCCCTTCAAATCCCCATCCCTCCACACCACCCATAAATCAAACCCACACCAGCTCTCCCCAGCCTCGCCGCGCGCGGCCCCGCTGTGGGCCAATGCGATGCCCTCCGCCCTTGTACCTCCCGCCAGGACTCACGCATAGATGTGTCGGCCTCCCAACTTAGCGCTTGCTCACCGCTACGTTAATCTCGGCCTGCATCTGCACTATCGAGCCCTTTTCATCCACACCCCTTCCCTTTCTCAGCCGTAAGGCCCTTCCTCGCATCATCCAGGCCCATCAGAGGTCGATGAAGCTTGCCTAATACGAATTTTTCCCCAGCAGCACAGAGTTTTCTTCGGGGTTGGACACTAACAGTGTCCAGAGGGAAGACGCGATTCTTACGTGTTGCCGAGGGGGGGCCAAGAGCGTTTATGGATCGATGCACGTGGGAGGGACGCGTTCACCGCTCAATTGGGCATGGAGGTGAGAGCTGAGCTGTCGTTTCTGGTGCCATGTTGGTAAACGGCACGGATCGTAACGGGGAGGAGTGGAGGGGGAGGTTGGGGGAGTGAAGAGTTTTCAAGGGAGGATTGTTGGCGCTTCATTTCTGCTGCTTTCGGGTCTGACCGCCGCCATGGTGGGCTGTTGAGTCGTCGTCGCTGGTTTTGAGATTTTTGAGAAAATCTCTTGATAGTAAGCACGTGATGAGAGTGGTTTTTATATCACGTGGCTGGTTGATTACGAGAATGGTTACGAGGTAAGTTGGTAGAAGTGGTGAGTTTCAAAGGAAGATTGGGATCTTCTGGAATTTCTTTCTATAGATGAGAGATGCAACAGAGAGAAAATATTAAAACAATTGATCACATGACATATGAAGCTCACAGTACTCGCGTGCTGGCCAAGGCGGACGACGTGGGGCAATGTGTGAGAACTCATGAAACTTGATCCGTTTGGAGATAGTTATTTTTACATTATTGATGCTTCTTGAGGGTATCAAGTTCGAAAATAGGCTCGGGGATTCAGGTATTGGTTTTATATCGAATTATTCTCCATGTGGTGAGGCATTATCATTATGTTATCTCAAATATAATACGGATATTTCTCAGACGAGTTTTATATATTCCTCAGATAAAGGGAGTGGTGTTGAGGAAAGGAGTTTGATACCACCCCAATAGCTGAAAAGCCACACCTTAATCACCTCGCTGCACCCTCTCTAGATATCCGCCTCCATCGTCATGTCAGAAAGTTATACAAACTCCGCCCAGCAGCGCCAAAGCAACCGGTCTTGGTGACCAAAAAAAGCATGGCAATGTTTTGTGCGTGCCTACTTCTGCCCATCCTGTAGAGCCACCTTTACCCACCTTCCAGTACTCCGCAGAAGGTAAACGCCACAGCGGGGTAGCGGGGGCGGAAGGGAGAAGGGGGATGGGGAAGGAGGGGTGGCGGGATGTCAGGAGAGAGAGCGGGGAAAGGGGCAGGAGGGAGGTGCCGAAGGGAGGGGTGATCGGACTTCGAGGATGATTAATTTCGGGCTGTTAGCTTGACTCGTAACCGTGTATATTAGCTATGAATGGCTATGCAAACTACATCTGGGCCTTGCTGTAGTGACTGACTATGGGCTCGGTGGAGGCGTCTTGTGCTCTGATGCATGATTCTGATACATGAGGCCCAAAGTCATTAGATCATTGAGCTGCAGAAAAACGCCAAATACAGTAAATTTAAAGTAAATACCCCAGCCATCTTTATTCTTCAATATATAATTTTATGAGGCTTATCTCCAAATCGAAGGTCATTGTAAGACATCCGTGTCTTACCTTCCCATCATTCACAAACTCCCAGCCATCAGAGTCTGAAACATCAGCTATGATCTCTATAAAATTTGCAGCACTCGTGCCCTAGATATATAAATGACACTAAACCATGGGAGCATCGGGCCGTAATTACCCGCGCGGTGCAATATTCTGGAGAAAAACCCCCAGCCATCATTTCTAGCCGATATATAAGAGCTCTAGATGGTCATGCTAAGATAGCAATGTCTCACCCAGCCCATTATTCGGGAAATATCCCAGCCATCAGGGTCCGAAACAGACGGCCAAGATCCTGTGATCTCTATCAACCTCGTGGTGTTCGTGCTCACTGACCAATTCCTTCGGTGGCCGTCGGCGTTGGTATTGGCGGCTGGTCTGCGGCTACCACTATCCAGCCTCCCTCGCTTGCGCCTGAATCTGCGCTGCAAGGCGAAGGAGCGCCTAGTCACTCTCCCTGACCGGGTGATCTTACCAAAATACAGGAACGCCTCATTTCTCCGTCGTAGGATCTGCGCTTGTCCCGATACTTCGTTTGGGATATTATCTCTGTGGCTAAAATTTCTTATCCCAGAATGGCCAGGAGAACCTGCCTACCACTGGCCCTTCTTATAGTGCTGCATTGTTGTCAAAAGTGCTTACTGGCGGCCACTGGAGGAGTGTCGAGTAATCATCGACAGCGTTCCAATTACCATCCACATGCCCTGAAGAATAGAAGGTCAGCAATCTAGTTTTCAAGCTTGAGGTGAAGAAGATAGAGCTGTATCTTACCCATTCAAAGCCCGTAACATCTGGTCCGCTCCTGCGGCAGGACTACCGGCTCCAGATGATGCACAGCATCATTGATCAGTTGAACCTTTGTATCCCCTTCTTCCGCAACTGACCATTGCGTTGCCTTCACTTTATCCAGCACAAACGAGAACACGCCATAGCCTTGGCGGCATCTGCAGACTTATCCTTTCCGATCCTCCAGAGCCCAATGGCTGTCTCCAGCGCATTCACCATCTCGAATTTTCGATTAGAGCCCCAACGAGAAGCGTCACTTGATATCTGGCCACTGGCGCCGTGTTAAACTTCCGCATATAAATCCACCGCGACTATAATCGCAGCAAGGAAGAAATCGTGCGTCGTTAGCCTGTGAAAGTGTCGTTTCTGGACATTTCGCGGACAGGTAGCACCGTGGTCCAAGGCTAGTGCAGCTTGATGGCTTAGCAAGATCATGGCTGCGTCTATGCAGTTATCACGGTATTCGATCGCTGCTGGGTAGCGACGAGCTTGTGGTACAAATTTCCTAAACAGGAGACAGCGGCCTAGATGATACACGCTGTCAACATCGATGCGTGATCGTTGTAGTTTCGCAGTTGCTGTGTCGCTGGCCGTGGGGGTAAATGGTTGGACAGGGAGATACCGAGGTATCAGCTCTCTGGCTTCTAAACGGGCCTCGCCGTGTTTTTCAAGGTCCTCGCGCCGGATTTTAGTACGAGATCCTATAAGTTCAATGATACCCCCAAGAACAAGTATGAGTCTTCCTTTGACTATTGTGTAAGAAGCCTCTGTTGCTTCCTCCAAAGCTTCTGAAGGTGGGAGCTCTGTTGTAGGATCGTCGAAGTCGTCGTCGGAGATATTTCGTGGAATCGCGCAGGTATAGTCGTATCTGCGAATTGTGGTGGGAAATGATAGTTTGAATGAGTAGAGTAGATCGGTGCGGAGTATGACAGCCCTTGTCGACTACGCATTTCTCCCTGGAACGGACTGAGTCTTCGATGGTCGCTTGCGTTGCGATGTATTCCCATTCACATGGCCAGACGGGTGGTGACGCCAAGTACCAGATAGCCTTCCATGCCAGTATCCTGGGCAGTCATCCATTCGACCTGGATATACGACATCAGAGTTTCAATCGTATAATGGATAATGGACGGGATTGGTATAATCCGCAGCTAGGAGGCATTCAACTGTGCGTTTTCCAAACTCCCAAGGCGTGCGAAGGGCATCGGCTAAGACTGCGGGCATTTCTGTCGGTCTCCATAAGATAGTTCTGCTAGATGCAACATGGCAAAGAGGAGGCCAAGCCACACAATCCGCCGTTGCGTAGGATCCTTCCCAATAAGCTTTATACTAATGCAGACTTATTAGGCATCAAACTCCAACGGGTCCAGTAATGGAAGCTCACCTCTTTACGAAATGTGCGTTCGTGTATTATAGCTGTTGAGTATCAGCAACGATCAAAAAGGTGACCAGGGCGACATACGCATTATCCAGGAATAGACACTGAAGTAACGATCAACAAGTATGTCGACTACAGGTCTCGGAGGTAACTGAGCCACGAGCTCTTCTTGGCTAACTATATGCCTGTCCCACGAAGAAGGCCCGATCTGCCTTTAGCATCCCATGAACGCTCCTTATACTTTAAGGCATTGCGCTCGTAGTCTTCGTGGTTTGACGCAAAGAACATACGGATTTCGTCAATCTGATAGAGGAATAAGCCAACAAAGATAATGATATAATGGGCTTTTTGCTCAGGGGGTTGACACCAACCTCAGCCAGTATTGATACCCAGTGCGAAGAACCAAGGTACTCGGTATCATTCGACTTATCAACTTTCATAGCCCCTAAGACTCAGTAATGCCATCAAATTCCTGGTCTTCGACGTGACTCGAGTCATCGGACTGAGGGGTTTGGTCTTTGGCCCCCATGACAGACCGCAAAATGGACTCTAGTTTGTTAATACGAGCAGTTAGAGCATTTTTCGTGGTTCTATCCATAACGACTTGGTCGTCTCTGGTGGTGCCGCGGGACTCAAAGTGGCATGTGGAGGCATCTCCAGATTTGGAGCAAGCCCCGCATGGTTGCACGCGATTGCACTTCAGTCTGGTACGACACAGTTAGTATCGCGTATGCCGGATACGAATTGATGGAGATAGGGGATATCTAGCCCCTCGAATTTCTCAAGAGCCATCTTACTTTCTGATCCGGCAGTGGTTGCAGGAAACAGGGGGCCTGTTCCGTCTCCTCTTTCGGGCCAGCCTTTATCGGCATGTGTGGCATCCATAGAATCCATCAACAATTAAAGTGCCCGAGGCTTAAACTATTTACAATATGGCATGAGATGGCCAACAATTTATTCTGATTAAAACAAGATATCCATCCACGGTTAAAGAATCTATCTGTTTTGCATCCTCAGGAGCCAGGTGAAGTGCCATGGATTTGGGAGCCGCACTAGCGTGCTTTGCAGTCAAGGGCCCCCTCAATTCTACCACACAACTTCAACGACGTCACGTTGTCAAGAGAATTCTACGACCAGAGCATAAAGGGGTTTCTGTGATTGTTTACTTTGTCAGAACGTGGATATAGCACGTATAAGCGCCTTCTGGTTGCATATGGATGCCGTAGCTTACCGTTTTGGCTTGTCCTGGCGGCACTTTCAGCTTAGATAAGTGCCATCTTCATTGGTTCCAAGGCTCTTTGGCCGTTTCCTTTCGCATTACTATATTTATCTCAGATTTCGCTGTTTTTCTTCTGTTGTATTGTACATGCGAACGGGAAGTTCCACGCATACCTCTCAATTCTGTGGCGGTTCTGGGTATTTAGCCATCTGGCTAATTACCACGTTGTCACTGGAATACATTACTAAATTTTGTTCAAAGATGAAAAGGATAGTTGTTGACAATGAAAAAGTTGAGGGCATGCCAGATATCGATATACTACCCGGTTAAATGACTGTTGCTCTAAGCCTCGGGGGTTGATTGGACTTTGCGGGAAAGCCCTCGTAAGCCATCGCCTTTTAGCAGAGGATGCGAAGACTCAACACCTGTACGCGGTGCATCCTACGAACCTCCAGCTCTCTTTTGAGAGTCTGCAGAGCCAAAATTAAGTCACGGTTGGAGCTGGGAGAGGGTTGCGCCTCAATTGGGAGATAACGTGTTACTTAGAAAGCCTTTGTGTTTAATCCCCTGCCTCCTCTGTCAAGTCAACCTTACGCAAGAAACCTCTATGTCTTCTATCATTTAGAAGTTAGCATTACACCCCACTTGCCTCTGTTATATGTAGTACTTGTTAAGCTTATTCCATGCGTCATTAGCCATAGATTTAATTGCATCTGAATATTTGATTTCCGTTTTTGACTCTGTAATGTCTTCGAAAAGCTTAAGCAAAAAATCCATGGTCATAATCACCTTGCTAAGAGAGCCAAACGAGCCTTCTACATTAGGTGTAGTTTGTTCTAGGATCTCGAGAATCCTAAATACTTTTTCAAGATGAGACCACTCATTAGTAGTCAAAGTATCATCCCAAAGCTCGTCCTTGTGCTCTAAGCAAAACATCCGAATTACAGGCTGAACACCAGGCCGTAGAGCGTAGCCAATCATATGAGACCATGAGTTCTAACGAGTTTAGTTGTCCCATTCAAGCCTTCTGCCTTAGCTATACTCTCTAAATTTAGCAATTCGTTACAACAACCGTTGTACAAAAACAACAATGTTGTGAAGCTTTCCAAGAGCCCCATTTGTGCGCCAATTGGTTAGTTCAAGTGGTGTTGGATTAGGTGAGACGTAAATAAATATCATCATAATCATCATCGTCGCCTTTTAGCAGTCAGGATGTACGTTATTTGGCGACGGTCTACGCGGCAACAATTGGACCTCTGACAGAAACATTCGCGGGGTAAAGTATGATTCTGTGCAAATCCTCAGTCAATGCTTAACTTCGTCTTCAACATTGGCTGAACATTGGCCAGTGGCTGATGGCACCTAAGCACTCTCGACATGGATGATCTATATTAGCCACCAAGAACCAAAGTATGTTTTGACGCCCTCTAGTGCCGCCTCTGCTCTATCATATTAGAATGACCGTGCTTCATTCTTTCCATTTCAGTTTCCTATCTTCTTAATCAAGGGTTTGGCTTCATCATTTCAGCCTAAACAATCCGGTGCTCTTAATCATGTGGCAATATTAGGCCTCTTCCTTTCCTGCCTGCCGTGTCTGCTTTAACACTGTAGCCAATAGTGATGTCTGTCTATTGAGACGGAGACCTATAGAAGCATGGTAATCTTTCCTCGAGGAATAGCATCAATAAAGAGCATCTCCAATACAATGCAAACCATCCTTCTTGAAGCCCAACAAACCACCGTCAAAATGAAGATCTCCTCTGCCACTATCGTCCTTGTTATTGGACTCGCTGTTGCCGCCCCTGCCGCTGAACCAGTTGCTGAGCCAGCCACAGCTGCAGCCCTTGAGGTTAATTATATCCTACCACCCATCTTTTGGTAGCTTAATGTTTTCCTTGGCTGACTTGAACCCATAGCACGTACCTGTCCCGCTGGTCCTATCGTCGAGACTTGCTGGAATACCTTCAAGAGTCAAGACAAGACTGGTGCTGCATACACCAAGTGCTGGAAATGCTGCGGTGCAACCTACACCACCTGCTAAATGAGACCCTCACTGCGCCGTTTTAAGGTTAATGCCTTGGTGATAGCATTGGAAGTGATATGTAAAGGCCCGAAACGTGGTAGATAGCTTGGCAAATTTGGATACTATGGATAGCTACAACTGTAAGAGCTGCAATTAAAGCCTTTATATTCTCTTGGTGGACATGGAAATCGAAGTCATTTTGTTTGCCTAATATTATTATTAAATCGTGCCCGTGCTCCCACCCCGGCAACCTCGCGTCTTCATTAAATGGCAGTACATATCCCAAACACAACAGTCTAGGTATAAGGTTCAGATCTACCTATCCAGGTAGACCTGAAGAGAATTTGTGCTTCTAACTCTCGGTTCCATATTGCGAAAGTGTCTTTCCAGCCCACTTCTCCCCATATGCATTCGTTCCAGCTCCAGCAAAAAACCTATCGTGACTTCTCGCAATGACATCTATCCAGGACCCTTGTTCGTACACCGCATTCCACTATCCGCCGTTAGCTCTCCCGTGTCATTGACATGGAGATTCTGCGACAACATACCTGATTATGCATATGGTACGCCCATGCACCGCGAAAGAAATTCTCCATCGTCCGGTTGTTTCCATGCTCCGACTCGGGCGCCATGTCTCCATCATACGCACTCCACTCATCGTCTGAGATACGGGCTTTAAAGACATCGCTCCAGCCCTTCAAACAAGGCACCAAACACCTCCCAGTCGCCATGCCATCCATAGCAGGCCAGGAGGGGTCAAAGAACGCGCTCTCGAGTTTCAGCAGGCCACGCTCAGCGTCAGCCTCGTTGCGGCCTTCACTAACCATCATTCTACCCAGTATCATGAAGTGATACATTAACCCCATCCGCGTCCCGCCCGTCAGTAGATAGGATGACATGCTTGAGTTCGCTGGGAGAGCCACTAGAGCATTGTTGTACAGTGTCGGGTCGGCGTGTGCACCCCAGCGCTCTGAGAACGGGCGGCCGGTTAGCAGGAGAGGACGCATGTCGCGTAGAAGCAGCATGTCAATGTCGAGATATACCCCTCCATGGAGATGAAGGATGATGAGGCGTGCAGCGTCGGAAGAGGCGACGGTATAGAATGCGAGTTGGGTTTGATCGCCTGGTTTGTAGAACTGAATATACTCCTGTCCTGTAGTATCTCGGACAATTGAATCTGCAACAAAAACCTCGCCCTGGGAGTTTGGCTGGCCAGGTTGTGCGTAGTAGCGTGCTCTGTCGAGAGGGTCGATGGTTGGGGAGATAGGAACACGGGAGGGGAGGCGCCACTCCTTCAACTCGATTTCGCCGGTTTCGATAAATGAGAGGAACTTCGCGAAGCTTGGATGCTTGATCCAGTTTGTTAAGGCACCGGGGTGATGATCGACGTTTATCCAGATCCAAAGCCTAGAGCAGGCAAGTCTCTGAGTGTAGAAGTAGGATTTTATAAAGAGTTCTGTGCGCCATGATGGTGGTCCAGACCACCAGACATGGTATAGAATGATAGGACCTCCACAATTTGAATTATCAGGACCTTGTTCAGGAACTGTAGCAGTCACCGCTTGGCCCGTCTCTGGAACCTGGAAATACGTATCTTGCTGGATAGCTAGGTAGTCGATACAGCTTCGGACGTCCCGTAACTTTTCTGGTTTCTCGTAAGGTCCTCGGCATTCATCCACCAGGAGGTCTAGGTTCGCCAATATATCTGGTCTAGCACGTGGACCAAGGTAGGCGTCATGATCTGGCGTTGGAGGGGAAAAAGTAGGGGGTCGGGCTTCTGTCCTATAGAAGCCTCGAATTTGGAAACCAGTATGGCAGAATACCATAACTATAGCTGTGATGAGTACACGCCGGAGAGTGAAGAACCTGAAATATTCTTTGTGTCGAGGAAGCGACGGCTTCTCTATCCAAGAAAAGAGAGTATCCAAGGATTGCATTTGGTTCTTTAAGAACCAAATTCCGGAAGCAATGCAGACAGTGATCCCGAACTTCTGCGAAAACAACAGACTTGAGAACGTTAGGACAGTCATTTGTGACGCGTATGCATGAACAATGACGAAATTGGCTGTAGTCGCACAGGTTGCCCGGATGAGCAGAAGTGTGGTGCAGAAAAAGATCAAGCGAAAGAAGCCAACTTGTATCTGGAGTAGGAGCCATTGAAAGAGTACGCCGTTGACATAGAAGTTTCGAAAAACTTGTTGTGACTCTGTTGAGATAAGAACCGCAGCAAATAAGAGGGTTACACATGATAATGATACGTAGCAGGTATACTTCCAAAAGGTAAAGATGCTTTGTGGCATGTCTTGTGGTTTCGAGCCTCTAGGAAGCTCAAAGTAACCATCAACGTGCCTGCTGTCGTTCTCGGGCACCGGAGTACTTGCAAAGGCATACTGTGTAAAAACAGGCCAAATGGCTCCAAGTATGGATGAAAGAAATGCGCACCAAACAGCATCGGATGGCCAGGGAAGATCATGCCGATAAGCCGCGACGACGGTCCCTAGTGACAGCAAAAGTGATGGATATGTCTTCCCCGTTATTGTTAAGATGTCTTGATTTGAGAACACGAGTTTTGATATCGATATCGATATCGGAAGAACAAGCGAACGAAAAATGACATATATCTCCAATGGAGCAAAGCAAAAAGCGTAGCTGGTCAGAGCATATTCAGCAGCAATAATCCCAGCCAACGCAACAATTCCTCGAGCATCATCAGGGTTCCATGCTGGGCGCAGGACTTCTTTGGTATTATCAACATAGGAGTAGTCGTCTAACCTGGTGTCGGTTGGGGGTATAGGTTTATAAAATGCCGATAGCAATGTTCGTTGGACCGGCTGTAGGAAAACGAGAATGCAACCGCTCAAAAGTATAAAAATGCTCACAATCAATTGCTGTAGTAGTGTGGTTGAAAGGGGAAAGGCAAATCGTAGGACTTCAGCATATGGTAACTGCACTGCACCAGCTGTGGCGTATTAGCATTGGTGGACCGGAATATGCAGTGATAGGATGCTTACTTTGAAGCATAGGCCTGCCGATAGAAAGTCCGTAAGTTGATAGCACAACGCATACTATGAGGGCGCAGTTATATTGGTAAAGCCACGTCCATATTGCTGAAAGACTGTTCGACATCCTTCGTGGACTATGTTTCAACGCAGTCGTCCATCAAGGAAGAAGGAACTTCTTGAGGAGCCACGCAGGGAAAGCTATACTCCTAGAGGCACTCCCGTCAAATGTTATTGATCGATGCGAAGCAAGACGCGATACAATACGAGAAATTATATATCGTGATATTACCGCGGAGCTTCCTCCACATGTGGATAGTGATTTACAGGACTTTTGGTCGCCAATCATGTACGGCCCTATCCCCTATCGCCACGATTGTTCCAGGCCGCGCACTGACCAAATCCTATTTATACCACATAGTACAGTTCAGCTGGAAGTTTTCGTCACGTTTTTATACGGTCTACAAAATACGGGGCTTAAACGATTTTAATGTGCATGACTTGGCGATTGAAACCTTGAGGCTAAATATAGTTGTTGAAGGATTCCCCCAGCATTACGAATGCCCCGCCTTATGAACCCAATGTGCTTAAAAAGTCAGTCATGCAAAACTGCACTGTCTACTCCGTCCTATACTGTGATATATCACTACTTTCTTGTGGCTGTTGACCATGGCTTGTACGAAAGAGACGGTTAAGTCTCATGGCCTTAATATATGGTCTACGGGCGCTCTGTCAGGGTCCACAACAGAAATGGAGTAAGTCAGCCTACAAATACCAGCATGTAACCTGCCAACTCGTCATAGTATTATCGGCGTCCAAGGATTAGGCTCTCATCCGTTCTTCACTTGGGTCAACTTTCCGTTGCAATCCCCGGAAAGTAAATCGTCGAGGAAACTTGTGGATAAGCTATGGACCAGGAAAGATAAAAAAGCCCCAAAACAAAACGGGCAAAATGAGCCGGTAGAGTTTATGCCTTTATTCACGAATGTTATCGACATTAGTGACACAGAGGCAGAAGCAGGAGATCTCTTCGATGGCACGCCTTACAGTTGCCAGAATTTATGGAAGTCGAAACGAACGAACGGGACCCCCACCGTCTCAACAAAGCAAGTTTATTGCTTGTTTCGCTTTCTTTCGTCGTGCGAAGCGATCTAGCTGGGGAATGACTAGCCTATCTAAGCATCCGCTAGCTCACGCCTGGGCTAAAGATCGCCAGGAGTTGGTCCAGCAGGGTCAAACCTGGATCGCCGCTGCCTGTATTGTTGCACTATCTATCGACGATAATGATGATCATAGGGATCTCGTACTGCATTTGCAATCCTTGCTCAATAATATAGAAGTCAAGACAGCGTTCTCTCTGGACCAAAACACACGGTGATCTCGATTTCTATCGCTTGGGGCCATAACCTGGCAATAAACAGGGACAACGCAAGGCTTAATACGCTCCTTCAAGACATATTCGGCACTCTTGAAATCAAATGTGATGAGCCATCAATGGAGTACCTACGAATATACGAACTTTATTCACTGAGTTTAAGTTATCTCGGGGAGTTTGCAAACTACCTTCAACTACAGAATCAAATAGTAAAGATTAATGAAATGGTACTACCTGTTGCCCATCCTAGCCGACTCAATTCACAACACGAGCTCGCAAGCGCATATGTTGAGCTCCGGGAAACCGAAAATGCGATAGAGCTCCTAGGGCAAGTGGTGAAGCTTCGAGAAGAATTGCCCGTTGCTGACCCACTCCTGCTCGGGTCACAGCACGAGCTCGCACGCGCATATCTTGTGAATGACCAGGCGGAAAAGGCGATAAAGATCCTCGAGCAAGTAGTGAGGATTCGAGAAGAGGTCCTGTCTATTGCTAACCCTGGCCGGCTTACATCACAACAAGTGCTCGGAGTGGCATATTATAGGAATGGGCAAGTAGATAAGGCAATGGAGCTCCTAGAAAAAGTTCTGAAGATTAGAGAAGGAGTACTGCCTATTACCCACCACGATCAGCTAATATTACAACATGAGCTTGCAACTATATATCATACAACTGGGCAAGTGGATAAGGCTACCGAGCTCCTAGAGCAAGTAGTAAAAATTCGAGAAGAGGTGCTACATATTGGTAACTATTACCAGCCCTGGTCACAGCACGAGCTTGCATTCATATACAATGCAAATGGGCAAGCGGATAAGGCTATCGAGCTCCTAGAGGAAGTAGTAAAGATTCGACAGGAGAGGCTATAAAGCTCCTAGAGCAAGTAGTCAAGATCCGAGAAGAGGTCCTGCCTATTGATAACCATAACAATCATGTCACAGCACGAGCTTGCGCGCGCATATGCTATGAATGGGCAAGTGGAAAGGGCAATAAAACTTTTGGAGCTAGTTGTGAAGATCAAAGAAGGCATACTACCTATTACTCACCCACATCAGCTCATGTCACAGCACGTGCTCGCACGCCCATATCATAAGAATATGCAAGTGGATAAGGCGATTAAGCTCCTTGAGCATGTTGTGAAGAATGGAGAAGGCGCACTACCTATTACTAACCCTGACCACCTCTTGTCACAGCATGAGCTTGCATGCGCATATCATGCCAATGGCCAAGTGGACAAGGCGATAGAACTCCTAGAGCAAGTAGTTAAGATTCAAGAAGAGTGCTACCTGTTGCTAATTCTGAGCGGCTGTGTTCAGAGCACGAGCTTGCACACATATATCTTGCTAAAGGGGGCCGAGTTAAAGAGGCAGTAGAGCTCTTTGAGCAAGTGGTAAAGGCCCGAGAAGAGGTGTTGCATGTTACTGATCTTGAGCGGCTCGCATCTCAGCACGAGCTCGCACGCGCATATTATGCCAATGGGCAAGTTTGCAGGGCGATAGAGCTCATGGAGCATGCGGTGAAGATTAAAGAAGAGGTGCAACCTGCTACTCACCCTGAGCGGCTCAAATCAGAGAATGAGCTTGCTCGTTTCAAGGAGGAGGTATAAATATGTAGCTTCAGCAGATTTGCGAATGTTTCTTATCCTACATAACAAGTCATATTACCCCAAATACCCTCATTCCAATGATATATATGTGTTTCGGACCTAACTCAGTCTCGTGAATGAATGATGATGGTGACGAGTTGGATGATATAACGTTCATCTTCGCAGGGTGGCCTGACTTTCCAGCGAGAAGTTGTCCGAAGGGCTCGAAAATGATGTAGTGGCGGGGTAATTGTTGTGATTTCATTCCAGTTCTCGATGCAAAGTCGAAGGAGCGTTGTGAGACCGATGGATCAAGGTTCTCACGTGGAGATCTCAGAGCGACCAGAAACGGCCAAGGAAGAGGTTGTCAAGGGAGAATTTTGGCACAAAGGTTCGAGCGCGTTGGCCGGAATCCTTCAGTGCCTATTCTTAAACCTCGGAGGTCTCGGAGCTGTTGTCGATCGAGAGGTTTAGTATTGCGAATATGCAAGCATGAGTCATTCTGAGTGTTCCACGCTGTCAGCTCGCTCAACCCAGAACAAAGAGTAAAGGGGTTACTTGAAAATTCCTGTTCGCTCACTTCGACTCATTATGATACATGATGACCGTACCAAGTGTTTGGGTCTGGCTGAGGACTCTGGTGATAATGGAGGATAGAGACTCGAATCTCGACTCATTATGGCCCATTGTGATATTGAATGATTTGAACTTCACGCAGTGTAAAAGGTGAAGATAGATAGAATAGCGCTCACTTGGATAGTATATAATGATCGTAAACTGTATGTAGTATCAATTAACAGTAAGCCATATGTAATTGAATAACGCGACTGCAAGTTTTATGAAGTAAGTCAATCCAGCAACTCTGCCAAAATCCCCATTCATCTCCCAACCGGGACTGTCGCATATAATGAAAAAAAAAACACTATTTTGCCAATCTAATTCCATTTCAAAAACTGGAACTTGATTAATAGCAACCGACATCGTTTGAATTACTGTCGACATGCCCCTATATTCTAAATACACTTGTCAAACTCCATTTGTTCCTTGGCTAACCATAACCAACACTACCAGTACTACTTCCCCGAATTCAACATCTGTCGCAACGCTCCCAACTCGCCTTCCAACCGCGCAACCCGAACACTTAGGTCGTCTCGTTCGCGCTGCGTATTCTTCAGTGCCGTTTCTAGCTCGGTGACTTGGTCAACGCGCTTTTGGCGGTACCGACGAGCGGCGAGGGTGTTCAGTTTGCGCTTTCTGATTGCGGAGTTGGGCTGAGTGGTTATTGTGGTTGTGGTGGACATGGTGGAGCCGGGAGAGGTGGTGGACTTAGTTGTGGGCATGTGGGCCGGGGAGTCTGGTGAGATTGACTGTGAAAATGGAGAAGGGCTGTTAGCGACCGTCTGTAATGAGTGTTGTGAGAAGTTGGCTAAATATATGTTAGACTGGATCAAAACGTTCCATGACTTAAGAGACTGACCTTGATATGCATATGATATTTGGCGTTCTGAAAAATTGTCCGACGTTGAGTAAGGCTCCGAAAGATTCCCGAGGATCGAGAGGGCCTCCGGAGGAGTATCTAGGCCGTTTTGGTTGTGAGGTGTGCTCGTGATTGACTGGTAGGTAGCGCCACCGTCGAATGCGAAGGGGTCTATAATGCAAGCCGGGTCGTGAAAGGCTTGGTCATCGAAAGAAACATGGTATCCCGGCTGTGGTATCAGGTCACCGTCGGTGACAGAATTGTCATTTTGAAACCAATAAACTTGCTCGGAGGCTGGACTTTGAAAATAGCTAAAAGATGGTGTGTTCGAGTACACGGGATCGATAAGGTGGGGTGAAGGAGCGTAGGGTAGATTTGCATTGAGCTCGGGAGTGAAAAGGTTCTGAATGGTATCTGTAGCCAAGTAAGGCTGTTGTTGTTGGCGCTGGTCTTGTCTATGGAGGCTCGACGACAACAGCGAGCTGTTGCGGTTGGAAGTATAAGGTCTGGGAAAGACACGGTGCGCACATGGTTCTGATGTTGGAAGGGGGCAAGGTGGAATTGCTTTTTACGGGCCCTTATGACCCGTTGCGGTTGAACGGCGATCGAGGTTTGAGTAGACTTGGTATTAGTGAATGATCAGTGAGGGGTATGAAGTCGAGGATGAGGGAGGATAAGGTGGTATATCTTCGCTTGGGGCTGCCTCTCGATGCCTTACATAATCAATTTTTGAGGGATGCTCCACAGGCCCAACACGAGGTTAGATGGGTAGAAATACGGTCCAAACAATCGGCCTCATTGCCTCTACACTTTTAGCCATAGTACCTAATAATACGGAATTCAGTGGCACTGCTTTAATTTTAAGCTGCTAAAGGATCAAGTTGTCCATCAAGCTAAAGTACGTTGTGAACAGACAGAAGGTGCATACCCTGCTACTCCGTTACCCCTCCAAGACGAAGGTCCGTTTCCGCGATTGCAGTTTACACGATGTACATTTATACGCGATATGTGGCGATGAGCTATTACTGACGTCTTTCTGTTAAAGGGAATATAATTTACGGTGTCCTTTTTCACTGTTCTCAACTGCTCAGAAGAGGCAGAATGGCCGTAGCTACGGGAAAGATAGATGTTCCTGGGATTCAGGGAGTGATTCTGGATATTGGTAAGTTTTTATAAGAGCTAGGGCAATTAAAATAACATTTTATTTGCCTAGCTGCCCAAGAAATTAGAAGGCTAACCCGTTATCAGAGGGAACAATTTGCCCGATATCATTTGTTAAAGATGTTTTGGTAAGCTGAGCTTTATTACTTTTTCTTGAGCGTCCATATGTTATGCACTAAGGTTCTCTGCTTCACGCCTTGGAGTGTGCTGAGCAGGCCTTCCTCTATTGAAGATATCACTTTGTTTCTGCTTTGAAAACGTATCTCACCATCATTTTTGGCGTTGTCTTCTTCGGATTTCCCTTTAATATCAGATTATCACTTTCTTTGTACCCCTAACGTTCCTGGCACTGACTTTATTAGTTTCCCTACGCTCTAGAATCTCTTCCCGGAGTTCTTGAGACGTCATGGGACTCTCCATCTTTCGCACCCTTCCGTGACGCCTTCCCGGCTGACCATCGCGGCAGCCCTTCGGCACTCCTATCGCACGTCCAAGACCTTATGGCCAGAGACGTCAAGATCGCATATCTAAAATCTTTGCAAGGCCATCTCTGGCTCACAGGTTACCAATCAGGCGCATTACGCTGTCCTCTGTTTCCTGATGTTGCACCTGCAATCCGGCAATGGCACACTCAGGGGAAGAAAATCCTGATCTACAGCTCTGGATCTGTCGCGGCGCAGAAGTTATTACTTCAATACACAACAGAAATCGAGAATGGAGGTGATTTGAGGGAATTCATTGAGGGGTGGTACGACACTGTTAACGCTGGAATGAAGAATGAGGAGAGCAGCTACCAGAAGATCCTGGAGGAGGAAAGGAAGAAGGGGGTTGAGATTAATGCCGACGCTTGGGTGTTCTTCAGTGATAATGTCAAGGAAGTGGAGGCTGCGGACAAGGCGGGGATAAAGACATTGCTTACGGTGCGTCCTGGCAATGCAGAGGTCCCGAGTGCTGAGCTGGAGGAGTATAGAGTAGCAGAGAGGTTTGATAATGTGAACTTCGTATAAGCTGATGGACGTACGCACTTAGACCATGCTCTGTCTTCAATATAAGCCTTGCCATCCATCGTGAGCTTCCTGTTATACCATAAAAATACATAAAATAGTACGGAGCCCAGGCAATCTAAACCCCCTATTAACCACCCACACCCAAGAGACGCCATACCCATCTATCGATCTTACAAATCCGCCCTCGGCAGATAATACCTCACATTCTCATACACCAAAAACGTAACCCACGTCGCCGGCAACACCCTCACCATATTCAACCCCAACCCCCTATAAAACCCCCTCACGCCCTCCTCCCTCCACAACCGCCCCACCACACCCATAATCCCCTTCCCAAACCTCGCTTCCGCATTATACGTCTGCAACCGCGCCCTCACAACCTGATACGGATACGTCGCGCACCCCGCCACCATCTTCGCCGCCCCGCTAATCGCTAATGTAGCTTCGTATCCTATTTTACCCTTCTCCTCTCCCTCCCTCCCTCGCCGCGCCGCATATGCTAGCCACGCGCGCTTCATCGGCTCGTAGACTCCGAACTGCACGGCCCCGTGACTGACGCCGAGACAGCTCGCGCCCATACCGCGATAGAAACCTCTCCACCCCTCCGTCTGCGCTATCGCCCGCGCTCCAGCCCACATACTCGGATACGCGCCCACCGCGCCGCGGTCTGTCGACAGCATGCGGGTTTTCAGCACCCATATCGGATTCGTGGCGAGGGTTGTAAGGAGTCCGGCGCCGAGGGACGCGAGGAAGTAGTCCGCTGGTGTGAGGGCGCTGGCAAGGCGAGCGCGGTGCCGGGAGAGTGGGGTTTCGACGAGGGATTTGAAGTAGAAGAAGAGGGCCCAGGAGGCGCTGTTGCCGAGGAGGTTGGGCGTGAGGCCGCGGTATAGGGAGGTGAGGGGGTGGGGGTGGGTGAGGAGAGAGCGGGCGAGGGTGAGAGAGGTGGTGGGGGTGTGTGAGGTGTGTGTGCGGTGGACTAGGTGGAGGGTTAGCTGGGGGTTGTAGGAGGTGGGAGAGAGACGGAAGGGATGAGAGGGGAAGTTGAGGGGGGAGGGGCGTACTTTGTAGGCGTGTCTTGATTATGTCGAGAGGGTGGACGACGAGGGTGGAGATTGCGCCGGCGCTGAGGCCAGCGCAGGTCTCGACCAGCGCGGGGGAGAGGCGCGCATGATTTTCATTCATTCGAAGGGTGTGGAGCGGTTCATGGCTTGGGGGTTGGCGGTGTTCAGAGGGAGTCTAGAAATTATTTGTCGACGACGGAGTTGAGGCGCAACGTTTGCCGAGGCGGCCGATGCAATGCGCCAAAATAAATTACCTGTTATCGATCGACAACTTTTTGGGAGCAATTCTACTGCACTTGGGTATAGGTTTGGTTTACGTTTGGGATATACAATGGCATTGGAAGTGCCAAATACAAGTTTGGCACAAGTGGTGATTCCGTATTTTCGGATTTTACAATACAACTTTCCCACGAACGACCGTATGTCCACTGCCTCCCGCCCCCATTCGATAGCCATTGACTAGATATCAAAACGCCTCTGATGCCTGAACAATCGTACAACCCGCTTCATTAGAGCCGTTTCATCCCCATAATCCATCCATCCATCCGTTCATCTGCCGCCGTTCGTTTATGCGAGTGGGGAGAATAGTCTGCGGAGGTTAGCATCGCCCGCAGCATACACACAGCAGGTAGACCATACCTAATCAGAGATGGGCGAGGCTGGCTCTGAGTGTATCCTGGTATATATATCAGTCCTGTCCGTCAAGCTCGTCTTCGTATGTCAGGCGTTCGTACCGATGTAGACAACCAATGGGAGGAAGCCGCTGCGACGAGGTTAGCAGCTGCTACAATGCTGCGCAGTATGGGAGAGGATAAACATACTAGTGAATGACCACGCGGGACACATCGATGAGCTTTCCGACTCTCTCCTACAATCCAGTCAATATCCATCCGGGCGTCTCAAACTCCAGGGCGCGCGCACCTTCGACTCCTCGGACAGTTGGAATGAGTAGGCCATTTTGATTTGGTTGAACTACACAAACATCATCAGTATCCCCATCTGCAACACAATCCCATCCATCGACTTACTGTGAAGAGGAACGTTGTATTGTCGGGGTCGTGATGTACAATTAAATCTACCCTTCTCCTTCCTGAACAAAAGTTCAATCTCACCCCCGATCCAAACGCCGCCTTCCTTACGTAAGCGAACTTTTTTCCAGAACACCACAGCTAACCACCACACGCCTTGAGCTCACATACCACGGGCAATTAATCCGCCCAACATTCCACCACCGCCGTCAAGATGTCAGGAGCAAGGCATTGGTACCCCCCCCCTTCCCCCCAGCTATCTGGCGGCATATAACTAACTTGAACGCAGGGAGCAGGACAAAGAAGCGACGGTGTACGTCGGCAACATCGACGAGCGCGTCACGGACAGTCTGGTGTGGGAGCTCATGCTGCAGGCTGGTCGCATCGTCAACGTGCATCTCCCCAAAGACCGGGTGACGCAGTCGCATCAGGGATATGGGTTTGTGGAGTTTATCAGCGAGGAGGATGCGGAGTACGCGGCGAGAGTTATGAATCAAGTGCGCTTGTATGGGAAGCCAATTCGTGTGAACAAGGTACACCACCCCACTCCCCACCTCTTCCAACAGCAGCAAGCAGAAAGCTAACCTAACCCCCCCCCTCCCCAGGCCTCAGCAGACAAACAAAAACCCCTCGACGTAGGCGCAAACCTCTTCCTCGGCAACCTCTCCCCCCACCTCGACGAACACTCCCTCTACGACACCTTCTCGCGCTTCGGCGCCCTCCTCGCCCCCCCCAAGATCGCTCGCGACCCCACCACCGCCCTCTCAAAAGGCTATGCATTCCTCTCCTACGCCTCATTCGACGCCGCCGACGACGCGGTGGCCAATATGCACGGCCAGACCTTGCTCGACCGCGCTATATCAGTTCAATACGCGTATAAGAAAGACGGCAAGGGAGAACGCCATGGTGATCCGGCGGAACGTATGTTAGCCGCACAAGCAAAGGCGCATGGTGTATTACCTGAGGCGCCCCCGGCACAGGCGATGATTGGAATGCCGCCGTCCGCACCACCGGCCCTCGCGCCGCCGCCGCCGCAGCAGCAGCAGCATTTCGATCCCCAACAGCAGCAGCAGATGATGCACCACGCACCACCACCTCACCGTGACCCGTACGCGCGCGGTCCGCCACAGGGCTTCCCGCCGCCACCACAGCGTGTTAACGCTCCCCTCCCTCCCCCACCATCTGGACTACCGCAAAGGCCGCCGCCGAGTCGGGCGGGGTATGGAGGGCCGGAGGGCTTTGGAGGGGCGCCGCCTGGGCCGCCACCGCCGGGTTTTGGGGGGGCGGGGGGGATGCCGCCGGGTTTGGGGACACCGCCGGGTGCACCGCCACCTGGGTTTGGACCGCCTCCTGGGATGGCACCGGGGATGGGGGCGCCGCCGGGGATGCCGCCTGGGTTTAGGAGGTAGATTTATTGTGAGGAGGGGTCTGGGAAGGGAACGGGAGGAGGGTGGGAGGGAGGATGGGAGTTTAGGTGGGATGTATGGAGGGCATGGATGGCGTTCTTTGTTGAGGAGGAGTCTTGTATACTATGCAGCGTGTTTGCATCGGATTTATTTCGCAGGGATCGATGAGAAATTGGAGGGAAAGAAAGGGGGAGGGGGATGTGTGGGAATGTGGATGAGCAGATGGATAGATGGAATGGGCAAACTGTTCACATCAGCGTCGTGCTGTGTTGCGTGCCTGCGAATCCCTTAAACCGCCACCGCCACCGCCACCGCCTCTAACCGACCTTCCAACCCCCCCCCCCATTCTCCACCCTCCAGCCGCACTGCCAATCCCGTCACGCCGCCGTCTCTGCTCTCCCAATACTGTGGTTGTGTCGCTAGGTTCGTAGACCTGGGTTTCCAATAACGTGGTCGTGCCGTGTTGGTAGCCGGAATGATCCTGGGAATATTGAACGGCGGGGAGTCTCTCCGGTTCCCCGTTTCCCAATGCCATAGACCATGTCAAACTAGCTGTGCTAGGATAACGGCCCCTTTGTCTTGGAGGATACTGAATGAACGAACCAGCGTCAGTTCGTCAATCTATCGCGTCGTTGGTGCCCTGGTTTGTGGGTTCCAATGCCGTGGTCGAACGAGGGTTGACAGCCGGACGATCAGGGGATTTATTGAACCAACGTCACGTCGTCCGCGCCCGTGGTCTCGGATTAGCTATGCTGGGTTGACAGCTCTTCTAACTTGAAACCCCCCCCCCGATCTCGTAATTATTGAAGTCTAACCCCCCCTTTTGAGAAAGTACCGACCGGGATATACTCCCGGTGCTTATCCAATATTCCCAATTTGAGAAATTCCCACCGGAGATAGGTGGGTTGCGCCGTTGGTACCTGTTGTCGATGTTTGGGCGATATGAGAATCCTCTCCCCCCTCTCCCGGAGATACCCCAGTGGATAAGGGGTCCTGGGTGAGACATACTACTCTCTCGTCTCGCGGCACCGGACCACAACTGCCATCTAACGTCTACTCTACACGCGTTAATTCAGCCCTGGATCCGGCTCGGAGAACCGAGGGTTCTGTCACAAAAGCCCCTTCCCCGTCACGTAGCGCAAGCGGAGATGGTGAGGCAGTGAGTGGATATCGACGAGAGGCGGGGAGATGTGCGGTGCTCCCCGAGCCGTTGTATGTCTGACGTCTGGGTAGCTCGCCACACCTCACGTGAACTCGGCCCAATCAACTCGGTGGGCCTCAGTTTTTGCTCAGTATCTATCGGTATAAAATAGTTCTCTCGCTCAGCGGAGAAAGTGAGGGACTGGGTGGATGGAAAGTGAGACACCCTACTCTCCCCTACCCACACCTAACGTCTCTGGGTACTCTCTCTCATGATAGCAGCTTGGTTCAGTATCAATCGTATCAATCGTACCAATCGTATCAATCGTATCAATCGTATCAATCGTATCAATCGTATCAATCGTATCAATCGTATCAATCTATCAATCGATATAATAAAACCATCTCGCTCAGCGGAGAAACTGAGTGAGTGAGTGGATGTCGACGACATCCACTCGAGACACCCCACTCTCCCCTTCCCCTCCAACACCAACGCACCTCGCCATACCTCAATCCAGCGTGCCTCTGTCCAGCTCAGTGGGCCTCATTATCTATCGAATCCATCGATATAAAAAACGATCTGCTCAGTAGAGATAGGTGAGTGAGTGGGTGGATGGGCGACCGACGCAGGGACTGAGACATTTACTCTCCTCCAAAGCATACGTGTCTCTCCCCCACTCTCCTTCCCCCAATCTCGCCTCTCCAACGCCTCCCACTTCATGATCCTCAGTTCAGCTCGATGCCAGTCGGCGCAGTGTAGATCAGCGACATCCCTCTAACGCCGTGTCTCGGATGAGAATGAGAAAGTGAGAGGTGGTCTGGAGCTCAACTGGTAGGGGGGGGGTGGTTAAGCAGTGATACATACGGATAGCCAGGGCTCCATTTCCATTCCCCCCACCAACTTTCCCCCTCCAAATCTCCTCCATTTCCATTCCCCCCACCAACTTTCCCCTCCCTATCCCCTCCTATCCCCTCCTATCCCCTCCTATCCCCTCCTATCCCCTCCTATCCCCTCCTATCCCCTCCTATCCCCTCCTATCCCCTCCTATCCCCTCCTATCCCCTCCTATCCCCTCCTATCCCCTCCTATCCCTCCTATCCTCCCTATAATTACCCCCCTACACCGACTCCCTCACGTGCCTCCTCACACGACCAGCCCGTACTGTACCCCAATCCTCAACCCCCGCTAAGGCTGATCCAACTGCAGTGCATCCTTAACCCCCGCGAAGGCTGATCCAACTGCAGTGCGTGTCGTACATGCATAGCTACAATTCGATGACTACGGCGGCGCGGGGGTTCATCGGCTGTACGGTAGTTACAGCAGCAGTTTGGCATCTCCCACGTCGTACAGAAGGGTTGGGTGGTCGGTGGCGGTGTGGGGGGTATGTATTGGGCTTGATGGGGAAGATGGCGGGGGGTAAACTTTGTCTCTCTCTCTGTCTCTCTGTCTCTCTGTCTCTCTGTCTCTCTGTCTCTCTGTCTCTCTGTCTCTCTGTCTCTCTGTCTCTGGAGATGAAACCTGCACTGTAAGGGTAGGGTTGTGCAGTAAATAAGGGTATAGTACTCTGTACAGAAACGGAGGTCGCGATGGGTGTTTAGACTTTAGTTGCATTGGTTGCATTGGTACTCCGTATATTAGCGGTAGAAGGCTCCCATAGACGTCCCAAGACGATATTGCACAATTTATCAATTACGTGATTGGTCGGCAACCACTTATTCGCCTTGCCGTGCGTGGGGGATTCTCGTTAGTTGGGGGTATTAGTTGGGTTATTTCTGTACTGTCGTACCTCCCCCGCACCGCTCCCCCGCACCGGTGCTGGTCCTGGTGCACGACAGGATGACGGCATCTACCATCGCCCCGTGGGGGGAGGGTGGGTGAGATGGATCGGGGTGAGAAGGATCGGGGTGAGATGGATCGGGGTGAGACGGGGGGTGGGGATCGGGGTGAGATGGACGGGATGGACGGGACGGACGGGATGTGTGAGATGGACGGGATGTGTGAGATGGACGGGAGATGTGTGAGATGGACTAGACGGGGGAGTGCACGTGTGGTCTTTGTTGGCGGTGTTGGATACTGCTCAGTGACTGCAGAGAAAGGGATGTGATGGGGTGGCGAGAAAGAGGAAGGAGGGAGGAGAGAGAGGGAGGAGAGAGGAGGGAGGAGAGAGGAGGGAGGAGAGGTGTTCTGGATGTCTCTTCGCCAGCAACACGGCCATGACGAAACCTCCTTTCCACCGTCTCACTCATCCAACGCCGACAATGATGATACATACAGTAGATGTGATGTGACCAACAGCAGGATCGGCGACAGGGAGCGGGTCGGAGCGGAGCGAGGAGGGGGGAGGGAGAGGTTGTGAGGGGGGACGAGGTTATGCTGTGGGGCTGTGAGGTGAGGCTGTCCTGGTGAGGCTGTCTTGGTGAGGCTGTCTTGTCGTCTTGGTGAGGCTGTCTTGGTGAGGCTGTCTAGAGGGGAGATGAGGTAGGCACGTGCGTGTAGGTTGAATGCGGTCTGGTGGAGGAGGTGGGATGTTCCTGTAGTATGATGGGATAGAGGCCACCGTCTCTTGGCTGTTGGATGTTGGATGTTGGATGTTGGATGTTGGCTGATGGCTGTTCCTGTTGGCTGTTCCTGTTGGCTGTTCCTGTTGGCTGTTCCTGTTGGCTGTTCCTGTGCCTGTTGCCCCCACTCCCGTCCCATGCCTGTTTCCTCCCACGCCCCGTCCCACTTCCCACTCCCTCCCACGCCCCGTCCCACTTCCCACTCCCTCCCACGCCCCGTCCCACTTCTCACTCCCTCCCGTCCCACACCCATCCCACTTCTCACTCCCTCCCGTCCCACGCCCATCCCACTTCTCACTCCCTCCCCACCCCACTTCCCACTCCCTCCCCGTCCCACTTCCCACTCCTGTTGCCTCTCTACTGCTCACCCTCAAACATCCTTCACCCCTTCACCCCTTCACCCTTCACCACCCTCATCCTTCACCACCCTCATCCACCACCACCTCATCCTTCACCCCTTCACCACCCTCATCCTTCACCACCCTCATCCTTCACCACCCTCATCCACCCCACCCTCATCACCACCACCCTCATCCACCACCACCCTCAAACATCCTTCTTCATCCCCCACCCAACCCCCACGCACTGGCATAATCCGATCGAGTGGGATGCACCACAAGGGTTACCGGTTACCGTACCTCCCAACCCTCTTCGTGTGAGTGAGTGACGTGAGCGACTTTCTCTTCCTTCGATTGCACGCTACACCACCCCCCAATCTCTACAGTTACAGTGCTGTACCTGCCCCAACCCGCCATCATCCATCATCCATCATCCATCATCCATCATCCATCATCCATCATCCATCGTCCATCATCGTCCATCATCCATCATCCATCATCCATCCATCATCCATCACCACCACCCCCATCATCCATCACCACCACCCCCATCATCACCACCACCACCCCCATCATCACCACCACCACCCCCATCATCACCCACAACCCATCACCCACAACCCATCACCCACTCCACTCCCCATCCACTCCCCATCTCCACTCCCCATCTCCACTCCCCATCTCCACTCCCCATCTGCCCTGTTTCACATCAGACTACTCCAACTCCACCCCCCGTTCCCTCTCCCCTGCCGCCCAGATCCCCACCCCCCCCCCCCCCCCAAATCCACATCCCACATCCATCCTTCCCCCTCCAAACCACCCACAAACCACCCACGCGCTCCATCTCTGCTCACAAACCGCCCACCGATGGACGACGTCCGTGGGATGTCTGTCCAGGCCAGACGCATATATACCCCTTGTGTCTCCATCTACCCCCCTTCCCACCTTCTCTCCTCCTCCTCTCTCTCTCCTCTTTCTATTCTTCGATATGTCCGCTTCTGTCGTCGTCGTCGCTGTCGTCTTCAAGGGTGTCACTACGAGCGTGAGACGGTTACCTCCTTGATGTTTTGAGTCGTGCTTTGCTTGGTGCCATTGCCTGTCTGTCTTGTCTTATCAACCCAATCAACGACCAGCCAACCAATCAATCCATCATTCTCACTTCTCTCACCTCACCACCAACCTACCTACCTGTATCTCCAACCACCCACCTCCCACCCACCTCCCACGACACCACCGCAAACCGCAACCCTGGCTCTCACATCCCCCCTCCCCCCCTCCACCTGGGGGAGCACGAGCACCACCAGCACCACCAGCACAACCAGCTGGTCCCACCCCGCCCAACCCTACACAATGGACCTCCGCGGCCTCCTCCAATCTCACCCCCACCACCACACCTCTCACCAACAGCCATACGACCACCGCCTCCCCGCGGCGCAACCCTACACCTCCCTCCCCATCTCCTACGCCTCGCCCTCTTATATCGCTATTGGACACCACCACAATCACCAACACCACCAGGCGCAGGGCCAGCAGCAGGGACAGGGGATGTATGATTTCCCATTCTCTCACCCGCAGCAGCAGCAGCAGCAGGGGGAACAATCGACGTATCTGAGGCGCCATCAGGGGTATCAGAATCAGATGCCTACCTCTGCGCAGCAGCAGCAGCAGAGCAGCTATCCCCAGCAGCAGCAGCAGCTTCCGAGGAGCTATCAGAGTGGAAACGCCCAGTCGATGTATGGGAAGACTACGGCGATTGCGCCTGCGGGTGAGGGGTGGGGAAAACACCAGCAGCAAGTAGGGGGGTATCAGCAATCCCAAATGCAGACACAGGTGGTGGCGCAGAGTACGGATGTTGATGCGTTGATGCGGGCCATTCAAGCTAAACCCGCCGGTGATAACGGCAGCGCCAGCGAAGTCGCATCAGCTGAGAGGACAAGGGATGTCAGCGCGGAGAGAGAGAAGAACGCCAGTCGTGGAGGAGGCGCGACGGGGATGAAGAATGGTGGAAACGGGAGGGAGGAACCGAAGAAACGGTATGAATGCCATCTTGGGGAGTGTCGGAAGGCGTTCTTCCAGAAGACGCATTTGGAGATTCATATTAGGGCGCATACGGGGGCGAAGCCATATGTACGTTTTTCTCCTCCTCTTTCCCTTCCCTACTCCCATCCCCCTCGCCATCCCCCAGGATCACCAGAAGCCACCAGTAGAGACAAGAATCGGAAGCAGGACTGTAACTGACAATCCTCCCCAGACATGCACCCACCCCACCTGCACCCACGCCTTCTCCCAACTCGGCAACCTGAAAACCCATCTCCGGCGCCACACCGGCGAACGCCCCTTCGCCTGCCCGACCTGCGGCAAAACCTTCGCCCAGCGTGGGAACGTGCGCGCCCACGCTGCTGTCCATGATGCGGGGGGGGCGGCGAAGAAGTTTGTGTGTCGACTGGATGGGTGCGGGAAGTGCTTTACGCAGTTGGGGAATCTGAAGAGTCATATGAATAAATTCCATGTGGAGACGTTGAGGGGGTTGACGGTGAGGTTTGGGGAGAGTGAGAAGCGGGGGAGGGATGGCGGGGAGGGAGAGGGGAAGGAGGAGGAAGATGATCTCCTCGATTACTTCAGGAGTCTCTACCGCAACGCAAACAAAGGCATCAAAGGCCGCGGAAAAGGCCGCAAGGTCGCCTCCACCACCTCTACCAGCTCCACCCCACCCTCACTCAGCTCTTCAACCTCCTCCCTCTCCTCCCTCGCCTCCCTCTCCTCCCTCGCCTCCCTCGCCTCCCTCGCCTCCCCCCCTCTCTCGCCTCCTACATCCACATCCTCCTACATTGGCGGTATTCCCGCACACTACAGGATGGGAATGGGCATGGGTATGGCGCCGGGGATGGACGGGATCGAACTGTTCGACGGGAGCAGTTCTGGGATTGGGTCTCCCTGCGCTAGTAGTTTGGGGAGTTTGTACGAGGTGGGGGGGACGTATGAGGAGGAGGAGGGGGGGGAATTGGCGTTTGGGGATCGGATGTATTGAGGGTCGTGATGGGTGGGCATTTTTTTTTACATACAGGACGGTTACATACGCCGGGGATAGGGGGGGGGAGGAGGGGTTGGGGGGTTTTCTTTGGGTTGGTCTACTTGGTTGGTCTGGGGTTGGTGGGTGCAGGTGGTTGAAATTTTGGTTGCATGTCCTCACGGACGAGACGATTTCTTGTTTATATGTTATACCCCTTGCTCATGACACTTTGTTTATAGATGCGTTTTGCTTTGGTTGTAGCGTTGGGATTTAGTGTGTGTACATATACATATATACATAGAACGTGTGTTGTTTATACCTTTTGTGTCTACGCCCTTGTGTACGCTGGCGTCTTTGAACAAAAGGGGGAGATGTATAGTGCGGATATATAGATATATGCCATTGATCCCTGACATGACAGGCTCCCCCCCCCATCTCCCGCCCCCATACCCACGCATGGATGCATCCGCGCAACTAAACCTCTCGCCATCGATCCAACCCCCGCTAGCAAGTTGTGAGTCGGCTTCACCCGCCGTGCAGAGTACTCACGAAGAGGAAGTTATCCCCCGGCTGGACGAGGTATGACTCCCCCCCATCAAGCTCCCAATCGGCGTCGTTTATTAGGACGAGGATCCCGGGACGTCTGGAATGAGCGTCAGTCTGGTGTCCGGTTTGTATTGTGACAAAATACGGGAGGGAATAGGAGAGGAGATGCGGAGGCGGGAGATGGTGAAGGATGGGGTAATAGCGAGAGAAGCTTTGGCTGGGGATTTCCCTGTGGCATCCTTGCAACTCCATCTGGTCTTTCGTTGAAACGGCTCTTCTCCTGGCTTCTCTCCGCCTTTCTCTTTCCGTAGCAAAGAGTGGTGAGGTGTGTTAACCCCCCCCCCCCCCCCCCCCGGGGTGGAAAATCACCCAGAAAAACAAAGAGGAGAATACGTACACTCCTTCTCCTTGGATGAACATCTCACCCCTATCACCACCCATTATCTCTCTCGCCACCCACCTTACTAAGCCTGCTACGTCTGTTGGTCGCCCCTCGAGAGAGGAGGGGATAGAGACTTTGTGTGTGCGTTTTGAAGAGGTGAGGGATTCGAGACCGCCACTGGGTTTGTTAGTTTTGTGTTTTTAAGTTTGAGGGTTTGGGGGGGGGAGTGACGAGGAGGGCAGCGAGGAGGGCAGCGAGGAGGGCAGCGAGGAGGGCAGCGAGGAGGGCAGCGAGGAGGGCAGCGAGGAGGGCAGCGAGGAGGACAGCAAGAAGAGGAAGCAGGGAGAGGAAGCGGGGAGAGGGAAGGAAAAGAGAAATGGAAGCAAGGGCAGAGCAAAGGGGAGAAGAAAGAGAAAGGATAGATAGAGGGGAAAAAGGAGGTCAGAGAAGGACTCACGTGAACTCGAGGACTACATCCATCACCCCACCATTCGTTTCCTTCGTCGCCATCCTGTCTGTCTTCTTCTACTTCTCCACCTAGTCACGCCTTCCGACACCGGATACAAGATGGGTACTGGTATATTTTAAACCGGTAATCAGTGGTGCTGCGTCTTCGTTGCTGAGTAGGAAGTATAGGAGAGGCCGATTTGCACCCCGCCACGAAGGGGGTGCGCGAGGTGGTGTGGTGATATCACGTGACCTCTTCAAACTGTACTGAGATTTTTTTGGGGGGGGATCTAAGTTTTATACGGGGTCTCTTTGGGGGGGTGATGGGAAATAGGGGTTTAATGGAGGGAGGGGTAAAGATATTTGAAAGGGCATTCACACTTTATATTCACTTTTTCACGACTTGCATGTTATGTTGTGGAATGGGAGATGGTAAAAACAAATCCATTCCCGTCTGTCCCTCCCCCCTCCCTCCCTTCGTCCCCTTTCCCGACCCATCCAAGTGAGTGCTGAAGAAACCGCAGGCGTGAGATGTATCACGCCCCCCAGCCTGCTTGCCTGCCCTCTCACTCCTCACGCAGATCCGCCGTCCCCCCACGACCATCGAGGCAGCCCGACCACACACACACATCTCACGTCGCAGCAAGCCCCACAACATATCACAAAACACATCACAACAAAGCTCCCGCATCAACAAAAACCCAAGAGCACTCAAGCCATCAAGAGTGAGAGAAAAACACAGTCTTTTGCCCCATCATCACGCCCTAATAAAAAACGACACGATGCACCCAGCTAACCCTACCCCTCTGGCCTAATTCATCCCATGCCCATCCTGTCCATCGCAAGCCCTCTTAACATCTATCCCCCCCCATCCGCACAGCTCAAATTCAGCACACTCCCGTTCGCCAATCTCAACTTCCCATCCCATCCCGCCGTTTCCCATCCACCCCTCCCACCAAACAAAAAAAAAAGATCAATAGAAAAAAAAGACGACAATAACCCCTGAACCAAATCCCGCACGCAACGTTTTCGTTAGCCAGGTATTCCCAGACCCCCCCAACCACAAATCGCAAACGGCAATCGCAAAACGATGCGCCCCACGCGCCGAAGTTGAGCAAAACAACGAGCAAACGACCGAACGAATGGTGGAGCCACACCAACCAACAGCCAGTAATCAGCAGCCCGACGAACAATGGGCGATAACCTTGAAAACATGGACAGCGAGGAGACAGGTCGAATCACAGACAAAGAGCACATGACCACAGCTCTTCCAAGGTCTGATTGACGTCCCAGCGCGTAATTATTTCTGGCTTTAGACTGTAAGAACCAAATCGTAGGAGAAAATCAAGTGCGTTGCGTTGCGTTGTTTAATTCGTATTCCGGCATCGTTGAAGCGATCGAGCGAGTGAGGGGGTATGCGTACATAAGCGGCGTTAATCGAAGCGTAAGCGTTTATTGCGTTGCGAGTTTGCATTGGTTTCAGTCCCGAGGATGTGAGGGGTACCAGCAGTCTGATTGGCATTGTGCGAGAGTTGCGAGACGAGAACGCCGTTGTTTGTTGCCGTAGAAGAAAAAAAGTAAGAAAAATCATAAAAAGAAGAAAAAGAGCTTGCGCGATCCATGAAGGGGGGTCATGTTGTTATGCGGATGAAAAAAAAAGGTCTAACAAAAAAGCGCTTTGAAGCAATGAAGAGGGAGGCCGCGGACGGGCGTGCATCGATAAATACAAGGTGGGCAAGCGGGGGTAGGACGAGACGAGACGAGACGAGACGACTGGGGCGGTTGCGAGAGCGAGAGTGAGTTGAGTGCGATGATGTTATTTCCATTTCCTGCATGATTCGGGGATCGAGAGAATTGATTGAACTGTTCCCCATTGGAACCACCCATTCCCAAACACCCCCAACCAAAGGTCCATCCGCGGCGACGCGCAGCCCCCAAAGAACCCAAGCAAGCCCCCATTCATTCATTCATTCATTCTCGATTCATATTTTTTTTGGTCCATAACCGCGCCCCCCGCCAACCACAACCACCATCAATCATGTCTCCAGATCCATATCCAGATCCAGATTTTTGTTCACAGGCTCTTTCTTCTTTCTCCCCCGCATCTCCGCAGCCTCTCTCCCCACCAAAAGCTAGGCCGCCTCTCTCCCAAAAGGTATCTGTGCGTTGTCCATCGATCAAAAGGGTGGGTGGGGCTGCCGACGTTTTTATTTGTGTCAATACTCCGGGGGGTAGTTATTGTCGTTATTGTTGTTGTGTGGAGAGGAGAGGAGGCGACGGGCGCGGGCGAAGGCGTGATTTTCATAAACGTCGTTTCTGAGGCTCGGGCCTTCAGTCGAGGCGGGCCATCATCTCCTCTTTCGGCATGGGCGTGAGGTGGTCGATGTCGAGGCCCTTGGCGGCGAGCACGGAGCGCATGTGAGCCGGGACGAGGCGGTGGTTGAGGTGTGGGGCGATGGAGAGTTCTGGGGGGGGTTAGCAAATGCCTATAAAAGGTGGTTACAAGACATACCATGACGGGAGAAGTCGAAGAGGACGGGCATCTCCTTGATCGGGCCGTTGGGGTGGCGGGAGTCGGGGAGACGCGTGGTAGGGTCGCGCAGCTCGTCGAAGAATGGGTGCACCATGGCGTCGACGGACGACAGACGCTCGGTTGGTGTGTACTCGAGCAGGCGGGAGATGAGGTCGATGGCGTTGGCATCAGCCTTGCGGAAGACCTTGTTGAATGGGTGTGGCTTGATCTGCGGGAACTTGTGTTCCATGTAGTTCGGGTTCATGGTGCGGATCTGGTCGCGGGTAGGCGTGCCCAGCACCTTGATGATCTCGACGAGCTGGTCGATGCCCGACTCGCCGGGGAACAGGGGCTGGCCCAGCATCAGCTCGGCCATCACGCAGCCAGTAGACCACACATCTATATATAACCGTTAGCCGGATCTCAAAAAACGTCCAAAAGCGTATTTTGTCGGTATTGCTTACCAATCTTGGTCGTGTAATTCGTCGCTCCAAAGATCAGTTCCGGCGCCCTGTAGTACCGCGAGCAGATGTACGAGACGTTTGGCTCGTTCTCAACCAATATCTTGGCGCTACCGAAATCGCAGAGCTTCAACACGCCGGTGCTGGGATCCAGCAGCAGATTTTGTGGCTTGATGTCGCGGTGACAGATTCCCTGGGAGTGGATGTACGCCAAGGCGCGGAACAGCTGGTAGGTGTAGAGCTTGACCTCGAGGATAGGCATGGTCGTCTTCATCTTGTTGAAGTACCTCGACGCGCGGTAGACGGTCTCGGGGACAAACTCCTGCACCAGGTTCAGGTAGACCTCATCTTTCTGCGAGGGGGAGGGTCAGCAAAGCAGAACAGCGAAAATAAACTATGGGTGAGCTCTTACCCTCTCGCCGTTTGAGTAGTAGAAGGCCTTCAGCTCCACGATATTCGGGTGTCGGACAATGCGCATAATCTGCAGTTCACGGTTCTACACAACAACCAGTTAGCTTATTTGCCCGCTGTAAAAGAGCTGATATGCTTGCCTTGAAGCGCTTGTCTTGCAAAACCCTCTTGATGGCCGCGTCCTCACCCGAAGGTGACAGCTTGGTCTGGAAAACGACACCAAAGGAACCATTGCCGACAATCTTGCATTGTGTGTACTGCATATCCCTCGTCTCGCCCGTAATGCCGTCCTGGACCTTTTCGCGAATAACCTCTGCAAGATAGGTGTTAGTGGTGGGGGCTCGACAGGAATGTAGCTATGCAGAGAGATGACGTTGTGATCTTACCTCCCATCCTCAGGCTCGAGAAGGCGGCGGGCCGATTTTGCGACATGGCTGAGGGCCGAGGTAGGTGGTCGTCGGGAACGGGGGAGCGGAGCTGAAGCTAGGTGTAAGGTGGTGAGAGTAAGGGTGGTAATAGATCGGGTGTGTTGTTTGAATCCGTGGTGGGCAATTGAGGTGGTTTCGAGGTTGGGGTGAATATGTTGATGATGATGTCCAGGTGCGCAAGATGGAATTACTGGGATGAGGGTGCAATTTGGTAACGTGACAACCAGAGGAGGGGGGTGTGGTAGATGTAGTTTGGTTGGGGTGTGGTTGGTGTGTGGTTGGTGTGTGGTTGGTGTGTGGTTTGGTGTGTGGTTGGGGTGTGGTGGTGGGTTTTTTGGTTTTGGGGTGGGTTGTGGTTGTGGGTGGTTTTGTGGTGGTTTTGGGGTGGTTTTGGGGTGGTTTTGTGGTGGTGGGAGGCGATTGAAAGAACGGGAGGGATGTGTTGGTAGTATGGGTTTCGCAGGTCGACTATTCCTCACTAAACCCGCTCTGGTTGGTGGGAGTTGAGACAGGCGCTGTATTTGTTCGTACAAGGAAGGTACTTCGTAGTGCAGGTACTCGTACTGTATTGTACAGGCAGACAAAGAGAGAAGTACTTGAACCCAAGTAAGCAGCGTTGGTGAAGGAGATATAGTAAGGGAGAGAGTATCAGAGTATCAGAGTATCAGAGTATCAGAGTATCAGAGTATCAGATTTGAAGCTGATGGGATCGGGTGTGTATAGACGACAGAGTGAGCTTTGGCGTATACACGTAGAGCCAGAGGGGGAAAAAGGTTCTTAGTTCCGTCGTAGTGGTGGTGAAGGGAAGTGAGTGAGTGGCTGTGGTAGTCGCAGAGCAGAGCCGTAGCGTACGGATGTAGTAGAAGAGAGTATCGTAGAGTCAGTGGTCTCGGGGGTTTTTTGCTGGGGATCGAGCTTCGGTTATTGTTGTATGTATGGGTTGGTGGGTTAGGCTGGATGGAGGTGGGTAAGATCTCTTAGCTGTATACTCTCGGCGGTTGTCTGAGGGTAGGGGGATATAGTCAAGTGTAGTGCAGGGTAGTTCAGATGTGTAAGTTATTCGAGGGGAAAGGAGGGGGAGAGGGATGATATGGAGGAATGGGATAGGCTGGGATATGTTGGGATGAATGACGGGCGGGGGACGGCGGAGCGAGTCGATTCGGGTGAGTGTGGAGAGGTATTTATTTTTTGGAGCAAATCGAACCCGTAACCGTATATTGGAGGTCGGGGAGGATGGGAGGATTCCCACACATTCCCACGAGAGTGGGAAGAAAAGGGAGAGTGGGGATCCTTTTTCTAGGGGAGAAGAGAAAGAGCACTGTTCTGGGTGGCAGGTGGATGGCAAGGTGGGCCAGGGAAGAAGCTGGGATGCTCACGCGCTCCCTTTTTCAAAACGAGTGAAGGCGCTTGCTTGTCTGGTACAGTACAGTACTGTATGCCGGACTCCAGCGGGCGCGAAGCTAGGGGGCTCCCCATGCCCTGTGGTCGGATTTAAACGTTGGCGATGACGATTGGAACGGCCAGTGGCAAGCCTGTGGGAGCCCGCTGACAGTCCTGACTTGCATGCCAAGTACGTGCCACTGCATGGATGCGCATTTATATCTCTCTCTCACGGCCTGACAATCGAATGTCGCGGTACAGTAGACCAGTAGGCAGTAGGCAGTAGGCAGTAGGCAGTAGGCAGTAGGCAGTAGGCAGTAGGCAGTAGGCAGTAGGCAGTAGGCAGTAGAGTATCATAATCCAGAATCATAGACGAGGGAGACGCACGCACACACAGGAAGGATGCCTGAAGATGCCTCAGATATGCACACTCACCTCCCTCAGCATATGTTGTCTCTGTTGGCTCCTGTACAGACAACTACATACACCACATTTCACACCCACAATTCCTGCACTCCGTCTGACCAAGTGGAGCAGAGACGCACGTAGAGGGTAACAAACACACCAACACCAGCCAGAAGCGCGGCCGATCACCCAGCTGAGCGACTCCGACTCTTGCTCTCGTTTTTCCCCTGCGACGACAGGAGGGGGCCGGACACAGCTCGACCTTGGTCGCCGCCCAGAGGTACAAGAACAGTAACTTACTGCCCCAACCCGTACATAGCTCCATCTCCACCCCGCCAGCGAATGGAGCGGCTGGCAAGCAAAGCGGGCCAAGGCTGGCGCTGAGCAGGTGGTGACCCCAGCGATCGTCTGAGCATCTTAGTGTGGTGGCGTACACTGGACAGGGTTGGATGACAGCTCCTGTGCAGTACGGAGTATATGCTCCTAATCAGCATCGCAGGTCCTGGGGTTGGAGGGAACCAGGGACGGGGGGGAGCTGGGCGGCTTCGGATAATTGTTGTTCGGCGCTGTGCCATGCATGTGGCTATGAATGGATTGTACTACGGTGGTTGGTCCTGTACGTGCACCAACTGAATCTACGGCGGTCCTTCTCTCCCGCCTTGAGAGCCCTTTCAGGGTGCAGATCCAGCCCCCTCGCAAAACCCCCAGTGACTCCAACAACTGACCACAAGGCCTTGGCGCGAATCAAGAGCCGGAAATGCATCGCGGGATCGGGGGCGAGGTTGAAAGAGGGTTGCGCGCCTGGCCCTTCCCAATGGGCACCCAGCTGATCTGAAATCTCGCTCGCTCGCACAATGGGACGCCGCAGGATCGTAGGAGTGATTCCGTCCCGGCGCGGGATTAATGGCCTGGGCCACCGTGTCACCCCACTGCTGCAGGACATGATGCTCCAGCTCTGTTTGTTCCTCTTCCTGCTCCTCCTGGGGGCTTTTGGACAGTTAGCGTGGAGAAGGGCGTCATAGCTGTGTTTGTTGGAATGTGGGTTACTTGTAGTTATTTTTGACCTTCGTTTGTCCTACGGAAAACCGGGAGTGGAGGGACTTGGACGTTGACGTTGACGTTGTCAGATTGAGTGGAACGGCGGCCAGCCAGGCGGCCAGGCAGAGCTATTGCCTGGCCGCCTGGCTGGCACTCGAGCAATCCGGCAAAGCGTCAGCGGCGCCAATGGGTGGATGGCGCTATTATGTCTTGCGCCTATTGAGAGAAAAAATAGGTTTGGTCATGGGACGGCTAACACGAGTTGAGACTTCTTCATTCACGCCTTATTATTGTTCCATCCAGGGCCCGTGAGACAAGACTCAGCGGAGGGTCAGTTGTCTCAGTAAGCGAGAGATGTCTCTTGCTAGCCATGTCTTGCCCTTGCACGGAATCCAGTAGAATCGCACGACGTCGAAAATCGAAAAAAGTGTGTGCCTGACAAGCTCTCCTTCCACCGCGCTTGCAGACGTTGGTAGCCTTGCATCCAACAGCATCCAACAGGCCACTCGATTCGACAACGATGAGCTCTGCATCCAACAGGTTTCCAACAGTTTTCCAACAGCAGCTCCAAACTGTCATGCCCCATCACGTCCCATCACATCCCATCCAGAGACGGCTAAACCCTTTGCATATGGCTCATAGGAGCAATGCCATGTGTCCCCAATAACGCCGCGACATTCCTGTGCGATGGGCTGCGGGCGCTGGTCTGCCCAAGCGACAGGGGCGCCGGGCCCGCACACAGCGTCATTGATCGGCAGCGATGGAACCCCTACGGTGGGGCTGTGAAGGAAATGTCCGGACAACAGCTAATCAGCTCCCTCGTTTCTGAGGCTCCCCCCTGTGACTACTCTAGGTCGGAATCCATGTCCAAGGTCGGTTTTGATCCTGGGCAATGCCAAATCGGACATTGGAGCAAACAAACCAGCGGTTCGTGTTTACGAAGCCGGTCGGTCACCTTGGCTAGGTGGCCGCCGCCGCTAACCACTTAGCTCGCGCACAATGGGAAATTCAAATACGGTATATACAGAGGTGGTGAGGCTATTGAAGAGCGCTGTATGTCTGTTTGCATGGTTGGTTTTGGTGCGATGCTTATAGATGCTTATTGGGCATAATCACTCTCCCTCCCCTCCTGCTTCACAACAGCAAAGCAAGCATTCAAGTAAGGAAGCAAGCAAGCAAGCAAAACGAGGTGTTACTACTGTTACTACTACTCCTACTACTCTACTACTCCTACTACTCCTACTACTCCTACTACTCCTACTACTCCTACTACTCCTACTACTCCTACTACTCCTACTACTCCTACTACTCCTACTACTCCTACTACTCCTACTACTCCTACTACTCCTACTACTCCTACTACTCCTACTACTCCTACTACTCCTACTACTCCGACTCTACTACTGCACGGCATGCACTCACGCACCACCCCAAAACAGCCGATTCGCACGCCCACAGACCCACGACCCACCCAATCACGGGGCCGCCCCATCCTGCAAATAAGCCGCTAAGACTCGCTCCGCTCCCACGCACGTCCTCGCACTACAGAGTTAGCAGGGAGTACGTACAAAGATACTTTCGGGGTACACAGCGCAGTACACAGCAATAGTAAAATACTGTACGCTGGTACTGTACATACGACATACAACATTCAGTACAAAAACACGCATCTACGGCGGCCACCAGCATCGCCCACTACCACTACCACTACCACTACCACTACCACTACCACTACCACTACCACTACCACTACCACTACCACTACCACTACCACTACCACTACCACTACCACTACCACTACCACTGCCACTACCACTCACTACCACTACCACCACGACACGACCGCCCATCCGGCCAGCGGGGTGCCGCCCTCACTGCGATGCAGACAGCCCGATGCAGTCGAATCCAGTTCTGGGACATTCCAAAGACGGCTACCTGCAACTGTGCGTGACCCTTGGGGCTGAAAAATAATAAACGCACAGAACTGCAAGTTATGGATAAGTAGGTACTCTACGCAAGGGCACGGCGGGAGGGAGGGGAGGGTACGATTACGGAGGGTTGGGAACTGCTGAGGGCGTTGAGGATGGGATGGGTTCCAATATTGGATTACGCCGGTGGCAGGGCGGATCCGTGTCGTCGCCGCCTCATGCGAGCTAGCGGCGCGGATAGGGGGCTCGTGACCGCCCTGCCCTCGTGCGCCGATGCACCCTCGCCAGTTCCTCATCCATCGGGGCTTCGTGTGCGATAGATGGAGGGGACGGAGGAGGCGGAGTGGAGGGGCCCTGGCCTGCGTGTACGTGTACTGTACGTACAGAATACAGTACACGTACACGCACGTACACGCAGGACAGGGCCGTTACTACTACTGTACAGCACAGGATGCATAAGCCTGACGCGCGAAGTATGCCCTGGGCAAGGGGGGAGCCAATGACAACACGTGAGGATATGCAGGTAGGTAAGGGTGAGGCGTCGATTGTTAAGCGCCAGAGCCTGCAATAAAAGATGGGCTTCACTATTGCTGACCAGATCCGGGGAAAACAGGCACGGTAAGCCAGGAAAGGCATGGAATCCCCTCTTCTGCCCGCCCCTTCGCTCCAGTTCTATGCTAATATCTAAATCTCCCCATCCATCCCCCTCATCCCCCCCCTTCACCCTCCAACGGCGCTTAGCACAACCACTCACAACACTCGCTCTCACCCAGGACCTCAAACCACACACCCGCACCCCCAACCCTCCCCTCCCGCAACAACCAACAGCCCGTATCGTATCTACGTACGACGCCCTCCCTCCTCCCCCCCTCACAAACTCTCCGCTCCAAACCGCCTCCCTCCCCCCTCAAGATCCCAAACCTGCGCCCACCCGCGCTGTTTCGCTGCCGACATGTGAGCCCCGTGTGCCACAGCGTCGCACTGGAATGCGGGCTCACCTCTATCTCGCGAGCCCGCGCGCGTGGTGGCACCGCCGGGGTGTTTGGCAGTGCCCAGTGCGAGTGCCGCCCCATGCCGACTCTGGCCTCGAGGGGGTCTCAAATCCCGAGGACTGCAGTTTTTATTTATTTTGGGCACGCTGACATGCGTGATGGGGATGGATGGGGGTGAGATTGTTATTCCCGAGCCGTTCCCATAGCACCTACCTGATATCCAGCGGGCTGGGAGGAGCTGGGATGGGACAGCTTATGGCGCAAGATAGGGGGGATGTATGTACTGTACCTACAGCACAGCACGTATTGTGTATCACCCTCCCCCCCCATCCCCGTTTCCTCACCGGGGAAAACAATCCTCACATCACACCTCCCTCCTACGCCCCGTGCACCTTGCCCATCCTCCTCGTAACCCCCCCTAAACCGCCATGGCAGCGGACGACGCCTCAGCCCGTATCCCAGCTCTCTCCCGATTCAAGCCACTCCTCGGCCTGACAACTCGGTACAGCTAGGTAATCAGTAACACAACCCGCCCACCCCGAAACACACATAACACACCCACCCCCATGCCCCAAGATCCCCAGCATCCCTATCGAGCGTCCTGCATGGCGATAAACCAGGTGAGAATGAAAATTCTTTGCACTTCACTGCGCTGTATGCACGCCGCGCACGGGGCGGGGGTGGCGCCGGTTGGGTGGCGGACGACGGGGGATGGGCTAGGGGTGAGGACTGGGGGTTGGGGGGTGGGATCGCCGCTGTAAGCGGGTTAAAGAGGTGTCAGGTGGGAAGGGGGTCCGGGCTTTGGGGGGGAGTCGAGGGAGTTGGGGGGGAGATAGGGTGAGGATGGGAGGTGAGGATGGATACGCTGAGTGCTGTGGGTATGGATGGGGTGTTGGTAGTTGCCCAGAGCTGGAAGGGGCGGGGAGTGAGAATCGATCCCCCCAGCCGCCCCAGCCGCGTGTTCAACGGTCAGTCTCTGTCAACCACCATATCCCCTCTTCCCTGCGATCGATCGTGATCCCCCTCCTCCTCTCACCGGGTGTGTGGATAGATCGGTCTCGCCCCCTCCTTGCCACGGGCCGGTGAACCAACCCTCACCTCAGCCGACACCGTCAGCGCCCGGCCGGAGGCCACGCCGTGTTTCGGGTATGGCATGGCGCGGCCAACGTGGTGCGGCCGTGGCGCGGACGGGGAGAATCTAGATCGCGGACCGCCGGGAAGACACGGAGTGTAGAACCCTACTATCGACGCCAGGACCCAGACGGGCTCGGGTCGCGAGCGCCATCAACGCGAGGGAAGAAGGCGATGAGACATGAAGATGACGAGGCTGGGCTGGGCTGAGCTGACGAGAGCGGTGGGGGGGAGTCCCGATGGGGAAGGGGGGAGGTGGCTGGTCTCGGGAGTGGGAATGGGAATGGGTGGTGGTGGTGGTGGTGCCGATGGATGGAGGGTCGGGGTCGGTGAGAGAGGGAGGAGGCGGGGAGTCGCTGTGCAAGGCTGGGGGGGGGGGGAGGTGGAGAAGGGGGTGGTGATGAGGCGTGCATGCTTGTGCGGTCACTGGAGTCAGAAGGCTGGGCCATGTAGAAAGCTGGGTTGTTTGCCCAGGTACCATCACATCCCGATGCAGGGGCAATCAATATCCAGAGGCAATATTTCGTTGCTATTCGTACAAGTATCTATCTACAGGCCGCACAGCACCACCCCCCGCCGCCTCGGCCCACCCATGACGCGCAAAGCAAGAGAGAGCGAGAGAGAGAGAGTAAGAGAACAAAAAAAGTACCACAGGCGCGCGCGCGAGGCCACCAAAACGTAAAGCTAGTATACAACCAAAGATTCGAGAGCGTGCGTGCCGGCCCGTCCATGTCAACTATTGAGGAAGATGGAAAATGATGTGTCGTCAACCCGTCCGTATCCCGTATGCAAACCCTGATTAACCGAAACAAAGAGACAAGAAATGGATGATGGTGGTACGAGCGCGCGCGCCTTGTGATGTTTTTTGAGAGGTAGGCGTGAGGCGGCGAAAGGGGGGGGGGGTTATAATAAGACAGGTTGAGAAGGCGGTTGGGGGGGGCCGCTATGTGAAGAGGTGGTTGTCGAGGTGTTGTGGATGAACGAGGGCGAGGAGGAGAGTTGTGCGGGAGGGGAGGTGAGGGGTGAGTTTAGAATGGGATTTGAATCATTGACTGTCCCTGGGAGAGTTCTTGCTGCTCCTGGAGCTCCTCATTGCTAGCCTCGATGGAGACGGAAAGACCGATCTTGGCTTGTTGCTGTGGGGGAGGCAGTTAGCAGATGTAATTTATTGGGTAAGCAAGGGGTTAGAGGGAGGGATGAACTAACCTTGAAGTGATCCATATCAGCAGCGAAGGTGATCTGAACTGGTGGTGCAACACGCTTCTCCCACAGGCAGCTGAGCTTGCCTGTCGAGTCAACCTGTGCCCTGAAAGTAGACATGTGGAAGGCGTATTTCACGCCAACGGTCGTGACGCCCTCCTTGCTTGGTCCTCCCATCATGGGGTTTCCGCCCTGGAGGGCAAGGTTGAGGTCAACACCAGCCTCGACCTTCTCGGACAGCCTCCTCCAGTACGATGTTTGGAGGACACCCTGTGCTTGGAGCTGGGCAGACGCGGTCCAGTCGCTGCCCTTGTACTTGGCGCAATATGAGATCGCTGTCTCTGGGCCCTGGTTCAGGGCTGCGCGCTGCCAGACACCCTCGAGTCCGAGAGCAAGGCTGGGGGTAACAGATTGGAGGTAGCTGGCGATGAAGATACCGGTAAGACCACCCTCGATGATCGACGGGTTGACGGTCTTGAGGGATGCGGTGAAGTCGCTGCCGATGTACTCGTTATCGATTTGTGCCATTGTCTGGCTCTGGCCTGGTGCAATTTGGATGTTTGTCTTCGTAGTTAACTGAGGGCTCCAGCGGTAGTTGGCGCGTGCCATCAGTTGACCTTCATTGTCGACGTTTCCCTGGAGGAAGACCTATATAACAATCGTCAGCATCATGTCATCAGAGTCGTCATCACGACAACTAAATGTTAATTATTGTATCAACATACCTTTCCTGTGCCGTAAAGGGCAGCAAATGTGTATGGGGGGAGCCCCTGTGATCCCATGGCAAAGGCATGGGAAACTTGGAATAAAGGCGCAACGCTGAACGCCTTCGTGAGATCCGCACGTAGACCAGTGAAGGTATAGTTTGTGAGGAACACTTCCCTTTGGACCTCCTTCGCAATGTTATCCACCGCACCCGGGTTCGATAGCCCCAGAGCCTCTCTCCTGGCGGAAAAGGTCTGGTAGGAATCTAACAGGGCGTTGGTGATGGCATTGTTCTTGAGGAACGCCAGAGGCGACTCCTTCTCCAGCCCAATGGAAGACATTATCGCACAGCTGAAAATTAAAAGAGGGGGGTGGAAGGGCGGAGGTGGTCGTTGGATAGAAGCGGGTGATCGTAATATGCTCCGGCCTTGAGGTCGCCAATATCTTTTTCTCAAGCAGATGACTGTTGTAGCCTGAGGCGCCAAGGCCAACTACGTCAGGACCGAAACGTGTGTGGCGTATTTACCTAAAGCGCTAATCATCTCTATCTTATCGGGTAATTGATAGCTCGACCATGGCAAAAGCAACCCCATTGACCTCATAGATTCCTCATTTATAAACAAACACCAGCTGCCTGTCCTCGAATTGCTTGTGTTATTTATCTTGTGAGTCCTTTCACCAATTAGCTTTCTCACTACTAATGGCCGTGAAGTTACCTCTATAATAAGCAAGTCATTGCTCTTCTGAGTATGAACCACGACTACGACTCCTTGTAGACTTGGTCAATTGCCGTTTGAGGATCAGTCTTGCTTCAAACTTTGCTTAGTTTGGCTTTGCTTTCTAAAGAGAACCTATTGTTCTGTTATAGAAACTAGTGTCGTCATCTGGCGTCTGACGAGGGCTCCAGGTCCTGTAACCATGGACACCTTACTGTGAGTTATTTTCCATCACTCACTTAACCTCGTTCTCGACTTTGAATATCCCATCGACACTGTCTGTGTTTTCCTCTTTTGTCCTGGCCATGGTTCTAGTTAAGAATTTTCCTCAAAGTGGCCAAGCCTTTATCACTTCAGCTGAGATCTTGGCTGTTCCAAATGGCCTTCTCGGGGCTGCTTTGACGCGGGAGCCACGGTCTTGAATGATAAAGGCTACCTAGCCTCTTGCATTGGATCTAGCAGAGACCACTACGTGTCTTGTTACTAACATAGACACAGTACTGCAGAGATAGTTGCGAATTCTCCAAGGTACCGGAGAAGGTCAAGCACTTTCATCGATGGCGTCCACGATCTTCCAGATGAGTCCGAGAAGACCGAGTTGGCTCCGGCCCAACTTTATAGCACGATGTCTGGCCGGCTCTTTCACTCTGGTAGGATTGTAATTGTACTAGTTGGACCTCCTGCTCGTGGGAAAACGTGAGTTCATTCTGCCCATGCCCCGTGATTGTCACTAACCTACCAGGCATATTTCTGTTTCCCTAGCAAGATATTTGAGATGGTGAGTTTAACACATGCTATGCAAGCATTTTCATACTAAACTAAATATAGGTTGGGCGTGAAGACCAGAATTTTCCATTTGGGTGATTACCGCCGTGCCACTCTTGAACCCGGCAAGGAGCTCCCGGAAGATTACTTCTTCATCCGTGCGTCTCCCGAATCTGTCCTTTTGCGTCAGATAATTCTCAAGAGGTGCCGTGGAGACATCTATAACTGGCTCAACCATGAGAATGGCCAGGTTGCGATTTATGATGCGGTCAACCCTCTGGCATCCGGTCGACGTGCTCTAGCAAAAGAGTTTGCAAAGCACGATGTACAGGTATGTGTCTATAGATAATGATGCCCGTCCTGCTTTATTTTGAAGACTCTAACCCAGAATAGACCTTGTTTCTTGAATCATATGTGACAGACGAGTCGATTCTCGAGGAAAATGCTCGTAGCGTTAAGATCTCTTCACCAGACGTAAGGCAATCTTCTATTTTGTTTATCTATTAATGCTAATTCACGGAAGTTTGCGAACTGGGACCCAAATGATGCTGCCAAAGAGTATCTGAGGAGAATTCTCACAAGAATCCCCGACTTCCAGACCATGGCGGAAAACGAACTCAACTTTGTGAAGTTAATTAATGCTGGTCAAAGGATTGAGACAAATAATGTGAACTTTGGCTACCTCTCGATGAGAGTTGTGTTTTATTTAATGAACTTACACAACAAGAGCAAGAGGACATTCTTTGTTCGGGCAGGCACTTCGCGAGAGGAGGACTCCTTTAAGGCCGATGCACACCTATCCCCAGAAGGCAAGGAATATTCAAACATTATGGGAGAAACCCTCTTGAGGCATAGGGAGAAGGATCATGAGGCCTATCTCGAAGCTGGCGGTACTGAAGCCGACCTGAAGCCCCTGATTGTATGGAGCTCGACTCGGAGGAGAACTGTTGAAACAGCTGACTTCTTTGGGCATCGTGGATACACAGTCACCCAGAGGCCCCAGTTGAGCCAACTAAACCCAGGCGTCTGTGAGAAGATGCCAGAGGAGGCACTTCGCGCACAGTATCCCGAAGAGGTCGCAAAACACGAGATTGACCCATACCACCACCGCTATCCGCGTGCTGAGGTAGGATCTATACCCTATGTGCATCAGCTCATATTAATATTCTATAGTCATACCACGATGTCGCTGTTAGAATGGAGCCCATAATTCTGGAGCTAGAGCGCGAGAAGAGTGACCTCCTTATCATTGCCCATGAATCTGTCCTCCGAGTCTTGTACGGATATCTCATGGCCTGCGACGCAATGGCCATTCCCAAACTTCGCTTCCCCCGTGATACGATTATTGAGGTTAGCCAACCGCCTTCCCTTTGTCAGATACTTGCTAACTCGTCCGCAGATTGTACCCGCGAGTTACCAGAATGAAGCCAGGCGCATCCACATTCCCAATCTTCCACCTCATATCATCCCCTCCTCGCCCGAAGACCTGAAGCTTCCAGTTGTCATGAGTGGCATTGTCACTCCGAGCTCTGGCATAGGGTCTCCAGCTGAGCCGATCAAGACGAACCTTCATAACAATACCCTTAGAAGGATCCATGAAGGGGCCGTTAAGATTGTGACCCCCGAGAAAGCGAAAGACTCACTTCACGATACAATTCTCAAATCATTCGATGAAAAGACCCTCGAAAGGCTCAGGAACAAATAAAACTGCGCGCTAATTTATTATGGAATAAGCGTTGCTGATTATTTACGATAAGACGTTGAGAGACTGTATACGCACCCAGTCCACGTATGTCCGTTCGCGCATCAGGTCCAGAATTACACGATAACGGAGTCTCCAGCTCTAAGGCTGTAAGAGAACAAAAATTGCTTGGAATAGTTTTTGGAATATAGTCTTAGTTTATTAATTTCCTTAGAGTCGTCCTTCAAATATTACACATGCTGCACGGGTGGCTTGCGTTTTGATGCTTGGACTGTTTTGAGTGTAAGATAGCAATTACCGTAGCCCTTGCTGAAATACGTAGATAATGAGTTTCAGATTGCTAGCCTTGTATTATTATGATATAACAGGAAGCCCTTGAGCTTAGAAATCTTTATTCCTGCCTATGTCCGTCCGAATGTGAGAAATTCTCGACCAGCCAGGTCAGCCTGAATTAGTCCTAGTATACAATGCAACGATCATCCCTCCCCTTTACCAGAATAAAACTAAACCCCCCCTCAAAACCCATCATACATCAACCTCGACCTCCATCTCCCCCGCTTCAGCCCCATTACTCTCATTGGCCGTCTTATTCCCGACTTCCAGCAGGAACGCCTCCTCAACAGCCATCTTCCTCCTGAAAACCCTCAACCATTTCTCGCCCCACCTCTGAATAAAGGCCTCGTCAGTGGTCTCTCCAAGGCCCGCTTCTATGGCCTGGTCCTTGCTCCCACTAGCCCAGCTGAAGAGCGCATCCTCCATGACCTTGAACATATCTTTCATAGCCACCCTCTCCCTCAGCAGCGTCTCGTCGAGTAAGAGGCGTTGCTCGTGTTCCAGACCCGGTGCGTTCCTCGACGCGACGATCTGGCGGATTCGGTTTGTGACCTTCTGCACTGTGCCTGCAACCATCTCGTATACGAAGGGCTCGGCGAGCTTATCGCCTGCCTTGGTGTCGTCTAGGAGGGCCCACTCCACGACACTGAGCGGTGTCAGGATGGTGTAGTTGAGCAGCTTGTCAACGATGTTGACGCCGATGCCGGGTTGGTCGACCCAGTAGGCCATGACGGATGTAATGATCTGGCGGCGCGCAGTCTCCGAGGTGTTCCCGATCGATAGAAGACGCTCTTTGCAGCGCTCGATACAGGACAGCACGTGGGAAAGCGACTTGGATCCAATGTAGCAGATAGAAGTGACATACACATCTGTGGATGATAAAAGGGGCTCGTGGATGGCAATTGTGGTTGCTTGAGTGTGGATCTGGTCAATCACGGTCTGGATTTCTGGCTCGGGAGCTTTACGCTTGAGCAGGGTGTGAATTTCCCGCCCTTCGGCAGCAAAAGGGGTATCTAGTTTGGTTAGCTTGGTCTCTTGTAATAGCGCATATTTATTACCTTCATCGTTGTACTTGAAGTCTGGAGTATCTTTCTCTTTGCCTTCAGTGATAAGCGGTTGGTATGGCTCAGGAAGAGTTCCCTTAATGCGCTGTGCAAAGCTCAGTCTGACCTCCTTATCCAAAGCTCCCGCGATGAACGCTTTCTTTGGGTGCAGTGGTGAGAGTTCAACGTCGTCAATCCACTCGGTCCACTTCCAAGTGAAACCGAAATTGCTCAAATGGTGCGCAAACCAGTCCATGAATCTATAACCAAGTTCCAGATCCATTTTATCGAAATTCCTGTACAGATAACGAATTGCACGTCCCAAACTCGGTGCAATAGCCGCAGGTGCGATCTTGCATGCCTCTGTGAGCACAGAATGGTAGTAGACGAGCTTATGCTCAGGGGTTGGCAGTTGAAAGAGCTGCGAGAAAACGGCATCGACAGCCACATCCTCGGGCTTCCAGGTTGATCGGTCTCCTTCAATATCCTTTAACCTGTCAAAAGGCGTGGCTCTCTTGACAAAAGTATCCGCTGTGAAATAACAGTCGATATCAATGAGATAACGCGCAGTAGAATTTCTATTAAAGTCCAAAATGTTGATGGTATCGATAATTGAGTCTCTGAGAATGCAGGACGCGATGTTTGTGATCGGTGGCACCGTCTCGATATCTTGGTTGGCGTAAACAGAGAAGTAGATTTCTGGGAAAAGAGGCTTCTCGCCAGGGATAACAGCCTCTGGGATAGTAATGGGTGGCAATGTGTGCTTCGTCGACGCAGCAAGAGGGTCCTCTTCGTCGCCTGTGACTGGCATCTTCCACGGCCTTGGGATGCACGCGAGCACCCACCCATTGGCCGCCTCGTTCTGCAGCTGCTTCTGCAATAAGCTGATGACGCTTGTTGGCTCGGCCGCTTCATCAATGCCATTTCCTGGGTATGGGTCGACCAATGCCTCCAGTGGTGATGGTGTACCAGCCAGAATTTCAGTCTTGTCGAGAAGGCCGGCGGCGTGCTCCTGAGATTCGGTGGCAGACGACGCCATGATGTACGGGATTGTAAATAGGATGACCTTGACTAATTCCATTCCCAAAGTCTTTCATCGTATCGTTAGCCCCTAGCCTGAATAATTGTCGACTTATGATAACTCACATCTTCAGAGGAGGCAGTCTGCAGATCGACAGCTCTCTCAAAGAGCTCTGATAAAATGGGCCAGACTCCCTCATCGTTCAGAAGGCCTTGCAAACTCCCCAGAAATTTCAAGAGCAGTTTCACCTCTCTCCACTCCCCGAGGGCAACCTTCCTCTCAGTTTCTTCAGCCGCCTTTGTAAGGATCAATGCGACCGCCTCCTCGCCTCTGTTCATGCCGTTGAGCACAACGACAGTCGCCGCGACGAATGGAGTCTTAAAAGGCTGCTCGACCACAACCTGGAGAGTGAGGTCGATGTAAGAAGTTCGCATCTCGACATCGTCATAGTTGTCGGAAACCAGCTTAGCCAGTAAGTGGACTTCCTCTTCGACGGGCTTCAGTGGGGACTCGGCGATAGAGAGCAGCTGTTTGCGCACCCTAACTGGTAGGGGCTCTTCGTAACGCCTGCGCTGAGGTCTGCGATCGAAGTCATCGTCATCTAGGCGCTTTTGTCAGAAACCGCTTCTCTCTCTCATTTATAACTCCATTCCAGGGCGAATATGCGCTTCTTACCTCTATAACGCCTCTTCCTGTTATCATAACCACCACGGCCACGAGGTCTGCGATCGTAATCAGCCATTGCGATAATACCGTTGGCGTTGATGCGTGGAATGTGAAGTCGCGTCAGGTCAAGCTTCCCAGATTTATTGACGTCTCGGGTTTAGATCCCTCCTAGCAACCGCGAAATTCGCCCAACCCCAATATGGGTTAGTTACTTTTGGTCACGTGCTTCATTTGAATCCACGCTCGCTAATTTGATAAGGAAGGCTCGACTCTTGGCACGTAAATTGGCGCTAGCCTCCCAAGCGCTTGTCGCGGCTGTTCCCGACAATAATTTTATAGCATCGCGGACGTGCCACGATCGAAGGACGAGGATCTCGACCATTCCCCCAGCGTCCCACCATGGCCTTAAAAGAGGTTCCGTCGACATTTAGTCGCTTAGTATTACGAGGTGCTCGTCCTTCTGCTCAAACACTCTCGCACAATGGCAGGCGTGCGGCCTCCAATGCCGCAGAACCAGCTCAGGAGCAATCCGAGGATTTCCAGGACCTCGAGTCTCAATCGTCGTTCTTGACCGGCAAGCCGAGTGCGAAAGAGGTCAAATCTTATGATCCGATCAAGAGAGCGGAGGCGCGCAGGACACAACTCCCTCGCAGTCGGTATGGGTCGCGAATCGTACTTGACGGCGCAGAATGCTAATTTGAACGTGCAGATATCAATACAGGCCTCCACGATACTTCCGTGGACCTCTGCATCCGCATCAACCGCCTCCAACCTCCGATCCAGCATCTCGTCTCTTCGTTCCAGGTCCATTCTCCACACCCCGATTGGTCGAGACATACCAGTCCACTGTCGCGGCGGATCTCATGACCCTCGCATACTCCCACACACCTCCTGGCACGGTTAAGGAGCCGAGAGCAGACCGTCTGCGATCTTGGGACGATTCGTCTCCATATATGAAGAACAGACCGAAGCGTGGGCCCCGTGGTGGCGATACTCTGAGGCTGCTCGAGAAGGATATCAACTGGAGGACCATCCCCAAGATCAAGGAAGTGACGGTTCACTGCATGGTGAAGGAGGCCGCCGGAAACTCCGCTCCGCTACATGTTGCCGGTATGATGCTGCAGGCGATCACCGGAGTGAGGCCCGAGGTCCACAGAGTGAAGGAGACCGTCCAGAACTTCGGAATTAGGGCGGATATGCCGATTTCTCTGACGTGCACCATGAGAGGAGATGATGCGTGGCAGTTCGTCGATAAGTGTGTCAACCTTGTCTTACCCAGGATCAAGGATTGGCCAGGTGTCAATGGGTCTTCCGGAGACAACAGCGGCAACATCGCATGGGGTATCGACAAGCACTCGACGAACCTGTTCCCAGAGGTCGAGGTCAACTACGATGTAAGTTTTATGTTTGGCAGTGATATTATTCGTGCGCAGGACTAACTATCTATAGATGTACCCGCCAAATTATATTCCCGGATTCCACGTTATTTGCAAGACGACGGCGACTTCCGACCGTCACGCTAGACTTCTCCTTAAGGCTCTTGGTGTACCATTCCATGGTAAATATGTGAACTAGGGTGGTTGGACAAATTTGTATGAATAGCATTGGGAGCGTTGATGTAGGTTATATGTATCTATATATCTATCTATTGGAAAGGCCGAATAGACAGAGCCATACACTGAATATACCTGGGATCCAAGACTAAGTGTATTCAGGATTATCATTACAATTTATTTACAAGCTTCGAAGATCTGGCAGCAATGGCATGTATCACTATAGCATCAGTCAGACAAATTAGTTATGACAAGTAAAAGTGCATGATATTGTATCCTGTTGAATCTTTATATCTAGCAGACCCTGCCAACCAGGCAAACAGCCTTTGGCATTCTAATGCCCATATGCCATCATTCATATTCAACCGCCATAAAACTCCCCAACGCCTCTTTTCGCTCTCATTTATAAAGCTTTGGTCTTAAGCAGATTTCGACGCCTCCTCTCTCAAGTAATTGATAATCCCATCAACAGCATCCATATCCCCCGCATCCACAATCCCATAGTTCTTCTGGCCCTTATCCTTCATATCATCCACAAACTCATTCATCGCCTCCTGAAAATTCCTCAACCCCGAGCTGAGCGCATACACCGCCTTCCTCCTGACCTCCCTCGTCTCCTTCTCACTAATCGCCAAATCCACCAACGGCGGGATGCCCCCCTCACTAAACAGCATCTTCTGGCTCTTCTCATTATTCTGCACCGCCGTGCCAATGCACCATGCCGCCATCATGCGCAGCTGCGACTCGTCGCTGGAGAGCAGGCTGATGAGCGGCTGCCACAGCTTCAGCGGCTCCATCAGGTTTGCGTTGTCGAGGTTCTCGATCAGCTGCTCGAAGTTGTCGAAGGCGATCATGCGCGCCTCCATGGTCATTTCGGGGTCGGTGGAGAGGATGGCGGACATGGAGTCTTTCATTAGGTCGGCTTCGGAGGGGCCGCCGAAGAGGGAGGCGAGGACTTCGGGGTCGAGGGTGCTGCGGGGGGGGGCGGCGGAGGGGTCAGCGCCTGGGGCGGGGGCAGCGGAGTTTTCGACGCTCCATTTGAGGATCTTGTTGAGTTGGGGATTCATGGTGGGGGTTTGTAGAGGGAGGGGTTTGTGAGGTGAGGCTTGTGTGGTGAGGCTGCGAAATAAAGTATGAAATTCGCGGGACAAGGCTTTGTGGCTCTGAGAAAAATCCAGGAACTGATAAGAGCGATAAGGAAGCACGTGGAAACGTTGCACAGCAGCGTCCGTCCGAACAATGGCTGCCTAGGTAAACTGAGAATTATTGGTAGGGCGCAGGTTATATTCTCGGTGAGGAAGGGGTATAATGAATTGTTTGATTAAATTTTAATCCTACGTGAAATTCAGCTTTTTACATATTGTTTTGAAGCCGAATATCTCGTCCCTTCCTGTAGGTTCCGAGACATTCTGTAGGTATAGGCGTATACGTCAGGTTGGTGCCTGATGCCTGAGGCATTAAATAAAATACCTGGGTCGATGATGACCAGTTATTTATTGGGCGATGCGTCTAACCAACCCACCGAACCAAGTTGGTTCAAAAACGATGATGCGCCTTCAAAGTCCAATATAGGATTTGACATACATACTATATGCAGCATTGAATTGACAATTCCCATAGCATCTAGCATTATGAACGGATCGTTATATGGCTGAGCGCGTTCATCTCGATACTGATACTCAATATTGCGCCGGACAGCTTACTTTTGGGACCTTACCCCACTACTGGCTGCCCCTCCCTTATCTACGGAGGTATAGTTATACCTCCGTAAATTAAGTGCTGGAGGGTCCGTGTAGCCCGTAAGAACAGCGTGCCATCTGTCCATTAAGGAGGCAGGACGCAGCCGATCCGCCAAATCTTGAAGCCTCCTTTATAGTTACACTGAACAATATATATATGGAGGGGTACTATCGAGACATGACGTTGCTCAATGGGCTGAAGTTGTTGGTTGGGGCTGAACGGCGATACATTACAGTACACCTCCCCCTCTCTCTGCCTACTGAGTCGGGGTACGCGCGTTCGTGGCAAAGTGGACAAAATGGTGCTGCCTGCTACGGGAGATTCTTATTTGGAAGCCTAAATGAACAAAAATATGCTGTGGTATAAAAGATATAAGATTAAAACGTAGATATGTATGAGAGTGGAATGTTTTTTTCAATTGGAGTAGGATCGGAAGAAATGTTGGTTACCCCCCTTCTCTTCTAGGATCAACCACCCCAACTCCCCAGCCAGTAAAGCGGCGGCAACTGCCCTTCTCGCCTAGCCCACACTACAACACTACTACAACATCGTCACGTCGCCGACGACTTCCTCCTTCCCTCTTGCCTCTATCTCTATTACATCAAGAACTCCTCCCATCGACCACGAATTCCTTTTCGTGATCTTCGTATATTATTCACTTGCTCTTATCGAGGAAGTGAGCTCTTTTTCGTACCTTTGCACATATTGCACATTTGTTGACTGTTCAACGTAATCCGCAGCCATGGAAGGTAAGCTGATTACCATCTCCCCCTCCCCCCAATCTTGCGCAATGCGCATATAGACCTCTTCGAGATCTCAGGGAGCTCATGCTAATACGACTCCATCGCAATAGAAGAAGTAGCAGCCCTCGTCATTGACAATGGGTGAGTTGTCGCATTAGACCCCTTCACCGACTTGATTGTGGGGTAGCTTCTACCCAACAACCTCCGTCACCATCCCGCGATATGCCCTCAACCACCACATTTGGCTACCCTATTCGGCATTGGGCACCATACTGACGATTGTTGCAGCTCTGGTATGTGCAAGGCCGGTTTCGCTGGTGATGATGCTCCAAGAGCAGTTTTCCGTAAGTACCCATCACATGTGTTTGTAGCGTCAGCACCACCCCCAAGCCTGTGAGCGCAAATACTCGTACTCAGACACTTACGAACTTTCTAGCTTCCATTGTTGGACGTCCTCGCCACCATGGGTAAGTTCATTTTCATTTGCCTTCGTCTGTTAACGCAAATGAGTGCTAACGGTTCCAAAGTATCATGATTGGTATGGGCCAGAAGGACTCGTACGTAGGAGATGAGGCACAGTCCAAGCGTGGTATTCTCACCCTCCGCTACCCAATCGAGCACGGTGTTGTCACCAACTGGGACGACATGGAGAAGATCTGGCATCACACCTTCTACAACGAGCTGCGTGTTGCCCCTGAGGAGCACCCAGTCCTCCTTACTGAGGCGCCAATCAACCCCAAGTCCAACAGAGAGAAGATGACACAAATTGTTTTCGAGACTTTCAACGCCCCAGCGTTCTACGTCTCCATCCAGGCCGTCCTGTCCCTCTACGCTTCCGGACGTACCACCGGTATCGTTCTCGACTCCGGTGACGGAGTTACCCACGTTGTCCCCATCTACGAGGGTTTCGCTCTTCCTCACGCCATTGCTCGTGTCGATATGGCTGGCCGTGATTTGACCGATTACCTGATGAAGATCCTCGCTGAGCGCGGTTACACCTTCTCCACCACTGCCGAGCGTGAAATCGTCCGCGACATCAAGGAGAAGCTTTGTTACGTTGCCCTCGACTTCGAGCAGGAGATCCAGACCGCCAGCCAGAGCTCCACCTTGGAGAAGTCATACGAGCTTCCTGATGGACAGGTTATCACCATTGGTAACGAGCGTTTCCGTGCTCCTGAGGCTCTGTTCGCCCCAAGCGTTTTGGGTCTTGAGAGCGGTGGTATCCACGTCACCACCTTCAACTCCATCATGAAGTGTGATGTCGATGTCCGCAAGGACCTTTACGGCAACATCGTTATGGTACTTATTACACCCGGCCCGTTTAATTTGTTTCATGCTAACATATGTCACAGTCTGGAGGAACCACCATGTACCCCGGAATTTCCGACCGTATGCAGAAGGAGATCACTGCTCTTGCACCATCCTCCATGAAGGTTAAGATCATCGCACCACCGGAGCGTAAATACTCCGTCTGGATCGGTGGATCCATTCTCGCCTCCCTCTCGACCTTCCAGCAAATGTGGATCTCTAAGCAAGAGTACGATGAGAGGTATGTGCATTCCTAACCCTGTGTGTATTGATGCATTTGTTAACGGCTTTGCAGTGGACCATCCATAGTTCACAGGAAGTGCTTCTAGATAAGCTTATTATTCGATGGTCATTGCTGGTGGAGAGCCTTTCTTAAAATAGGTGAATATGCCTCGGATTTGATGCTTTCGGCGCGAGTTGTTCCGGACGCTTTGCTCCTCTTGTGATTTTAATGGCACAGCTCCATGGTGTAGTCAAAGCGCTCATAGAAGTATCAATGCAACAGTTCTCTAAATATTGTGTTCTCTGGTGTGATGCTGTGTTCTGTATGTGCTATAATGTCACCGAATAATGGAGTGAGGAGAATATTAAAATATATGTTATCCTGTAATTCGCTGCTGTGTGCTTTCGTGCATGACTACAGCTCGCGCCCCCTACTTCACCTTTTTAAAATATAGGGATTACATGATAAAGCTCGAGGTGTGTTTGTATTTTAAGAGAGGTGTGAAGTTGCTGAGAAATAAATTAAGGCACAGTGTATAGTAAAACTTCAGATGAATACATGAGGTATCTGCTCGTCTAAACAGTATATGGCCCCAGTATTATATTATTACAAGCTGATATTACAAAAGAGAGCTTTTATATAGACCGTGTATTGCATAGGAATAAATAATTGTACCATGGTTATAATTTTTTTACTTTACATATTTATTTTTTTATTTTCGAATTCATGAACAACAAACCAAACTTCACTTCCCATTGTAACGACAAAGCCTTATTCATTCACTGGTGGAACGTAAAATAATCGTCATACTCAGATATCGAAGATGTTGCTGCCAATGATACTGTACTGGACCTATAGCTTTTGGGGTAGCTGTCATCACAGCCAACCCACCTGCACTACTCGGCAACTCCCGTCACCCATGCCACCTATGTAACTACCACCATAGCTTCAGCACCGTGACGAAGCCCCCCAACCAGTCCAGCCCATTGCGCGCGAGAATTGCCCACTCGACATGCCCCCATCGCCGTAAACACCCATCCATGGCACAAAACCCTTACGCGGGCTTCAATGCCTCCGCCGACCCGTACACCAAGAGCAGCGACTCCCTCGCCGCAACCCCCAACCCGTCGCGGGAACGCAGCCCGGGTGCAACATCAAGCACAGACGATTACGACCCGTACGGCGACAGATACGGCACGCCGCCTCTAGGCACCCCACCGCCGTCCCAGACTGCGAATCGCGAGCAGAGACAGGCGCCGCAGCCGCCGGGGCAGGGGCGCGCGGGGGGGTATGGAGGGTTCTATGCGCAGAGTATTAGTCCGGCGGCGAGCGCTGGTCCGTCGCCCAAGCAGCCGTTGCCGGTGCCGAGGTCGCAGACTCAGCAGCAGCCGTATGGGGGGAGGGATAATAGGTCGAGAGAGAATTTGCCGGCGCCTGCGCAGCAGTCGCAGAGGAGACCGTCGGATGAGTCGAGGGGATTTAGGAATGGGAGGTCGGATGGGAGTATGGGCCCGCCTGATGGGCCGGCCGCGAGGGAGTTTAGGAAACCGAGTATGGGGGAAAGGTCGTACTCTGGTGGTCCTAATAATTCGGTCTCGAGGGATAGGGAGAGAGCTGTTACGAGGGGTGGTGGTGGGAGTGGGACGAGACAGATTGAAGGTTAGTAATGTTGTCACTACCCCTTGCTTGGAGAGAACACCCCCTTCAATGCCAGGGTACATATAGTGAAGCTGCTCCTTGTTGTGAAGCTTCATGTTGAAGTTGCTACTTGTTGCAAAGCTCCATGTCGTCACGAAGGAAGAAATACAAGGCTAATCCGTGGTTCCGCGCAGATGTTCTCCATTACATCCAGTCCGAATGGTCATTTATGGCGCAAGACAAATGTGTTCCCGTCCAGGTCGCGCTTCAACTCATGGACTCGAGCTCCCTCGGCCGAGCGAACCAATACAGCGAGTTTCAAGCAACCCATAAGCAATTACAACGGGCGCTGAAGGCTATTGTCAATGAACACCATCAAGGTTTCAACAGTTCGATCGGTACATTCCATAAAATCCAATCGAGCATACAGTCGTCTCAGACAAGGTTACGGCAACTGAGGGAATCACTGTCGCAAGCTAAAAGTGGCCTGTCGACTACACGCCCAGAATTGAAGGGGTTGGCTTCGACTTCACAAGGCTACGACGAGATGCTCCAATGCCTCGCTCAGATCGAGCATCTGCGGCTGGTGACGGACAAGCTGGAGGCAAGGATATCAGAGAAGCGATTCCTGACAGCGGTTGATGTGCTTCAAGACGCGCTCAGACTACTCAGAAAACCCGAAATGGACAATATTGGCGCCTTGAGCGACCTGCGGGCATATCTAGCGAACCAAGAGACGAGTTTGACGGACATCCTGATTGAGGAGCTGCACAGCCATCTATACTTGAAATCACCTTACTGCCAAGACCGATGGAAGGCCCATGTCAAGGAGATCAGCAATGGCGCCAGCTCGGAAGGTCGTGACACTTCCGTGCCTGAGTTGCCACCGTTATACTATTTCCTTGACGAACTCGACACAGAAAACCCCATGGTAGAAGACCCGACGAAAAATTCGGAGGCTGACAGTTTCTATTATATTCAATTACTTGTTGAGTCGTTGAACAAAATGGATCGACTAGACGTCGCTGTGAACGCTATTGAGCAGAGACTACCTGTTGAGCTCTTTAGGGTTGTGGATAAAACCAATAACGAAGTTGACCGACGACACCCCAACGTCTCCCGAGGCACTGGCAATAATCAGAAAAGCCGAGTTGATCTTGGTATTGAGAATGACGATGTCAGGCACGTTGTTATTAGCGACCTTCTATGGACACTATACGCAAAATTCGAGTCTATTGCCGAAGGACACCGCGTTTTCCACGATGTTGTGGTGGGAATAGCGAAGCGCGAGAACATCCGCGAACCGGAATCCTTGACGGGTAGTTTTAGGGAGCTGTGGATGCTGTATCAAAACGAGATACGCTCCCTACTACACGACTATCTCGCGACAGACACCAATATTTACCGAATGAGCCAGTCAATTAGTCACGATGCGGACGTGTTCAAACGGGGGCAGCGAAATAAGGGGAAGAAGATATTCAGCCTATCGGATATTGATCCTAAGTCATCTATCATGAATATGGAATTCGATGACCTGGAATCTATCCTGAAGACATCTGTACCTGGATTAGTTTCGGTGTCCAAACGTCCAACGGGCACTACTTCGGACGACAAAGCTCCTAAAACCGATGGAGCTGCTACTGGGCATAAATTACTGATCGACGCGAGCGTTTTCAATATGGGTGCCCTCTTACCGCCGTCGTTGGCCTTCCTGCAAAGGCTTAAAGACATCGTGCCTCCAGCGCCAGAAATGAAGATGAAGTCGTTAACGTCGTTCCTTGACGATTTCCTCGTCAACGTGTTCCTTCCTCAGCTTGACGAGACCTTGGTGAAGTTTAGCAGCCAAACGTTCGAGGAAGGGGATGCGTTTCAGGAAGACCCCAAGTGGGCGGAAGTTGCACGACGCCCTATCCTCAAGGGCTGCTCAGCATTCTTCGACCTTATCACAGCGTTCTGTCGCATGCTGGACACTATTCCGCACGACCAAGCGTTCAGTCAGCTTATTATTACACAGATGGTCAGCTATTATGACAGATGCTGTGACTGGTACCAAGCGCTGGTGTCGCGCACTCAGGACTTAGAATCATATGGCCCATCACCGAAAGCGTCGGCTGCCATCGCAATGGGGCCTGGCGAGATTCACGACACCGTCAAGAAGCTCTGGACGGATGGAGAGGAGAACCGCAGCCTTTTGGATAAAGAGAGCGGTCTTTTAATATTGCAAACAAATGAGAACCCTCTGACTGACTCTGATATCATACTGGATCGGAAGATAATTACATCTCTTTGTCTGCTTTATACGAGTATGAGGTGGCTGGCTAGCAAGATCAACCAGCTTCGGAATATCACGCATCATGACGCTGATTCTTCCCGACGGACAAAAATGCGTGCATCACAAAGCCGTCGCTGGACTTTACTTCAGGCCGCAGGGGGGCCTGGTGACAAGGGCTCTGTATATATACCGATGACACAAGAGACTGTTGTGTAAGTTCTACCAACTGATTTTAAATGATTGTATATTCTAACAGTTCTAGTGCCTTTGACTCAATCGTCTCGTCATATCAAGACCTCGCGGGCACTGTCCTGTTGAACTTGCACGTAGAAAGCCGATGCCAGATTGTGCAGACCCTCGCACTCGCTCTTTCCCCCTCCAACGCACCTTACCTTCTGGAGCAAGTCGTCAGCGACCCCGACCCTCGCATCCTAGCCCTCAATGCCGAGCTTGTGTCCTATGACGAGACGACCAGCCACTACCTTCACGACAAAGAAATAAGCTTTCTCCGCACAGGCCTGGCCTTCCTCATAGACAACTACCTCGTCACCAATGCTGGCATGGTAAAACCGATGAATGCGAACGGCTGCGGACGCATGCAGCTTAACATCCTCGTCTTACAGCAGAACCTTAAAAACATCGAGCCGGATTCCAGTCTCACCCGCTCCGCAGACTACTACGACCTCTTCATGGACGGCTCCGCCGCCGTGCTGAAGAAGGCCAAGGAGCCGAAGGGTAAGGACGGAAACCCGGAGTTCACCTACGACGAGCTGAAGACTCTGATTGAGCTCTGCTTCAGCGAGCAGATGGCCGACCCGGAGCGAGGGGTTAGCACTGTAGCGAAGCGGAACATGGGGGATCTCCTGTTGCAGCTCAGCGAGTATATGTGGCAGAGCTGATTTGATGGGACATCGGTGTTGGAAGCATTTCAGGGGGAAGGCGGGCGTATGGGCACGGGTCACCTGGCGGATTGATTGGGTGGGATTGTACAGTACATTATATATATCCGATGTGATATTTGGCAGGAGAGCTGGGCGTGTAACATCTATTGGAGAGCGGGCATCATTCAGGATACAGTACGGATACAATAGCAGGCAGCTGGCGCTTCCTTCGCACCATGCAGAACTTCAGATTATTTCCCATGCCAAACGCGTGCTCCACTCCACCGCGCCCCCTAAACCATCAACCGGCTCGCGGCTTGATCAGTGCGACGGTGGCTGACACAGAGGCTGAGCAAACGCAGACGCACCATTTATCAGTACGCATTCCTCGGCGCCACAATATTTAGCCCACAACTGCATCTTCCCCTTGCCTAGCTGCTGTGTGGAGAACTTCCTACGTTACGAGGGTAGCCGAGCTAGCCTGTAAATTATAACTGGGACCGCCGCCCCCCTTTTTAGTGTACTCCGTACTTTTGTTGTTCCCCCTTTCGGCGCGCATCATGGGGATTCTGAGGCCTTTGCCACGCTGATCTGAGCTGGGTCTGTCTGGGCCGTGTGTGTGTGCCGTTTGTTTGGTATGGAGGAGAAGAGGAGCTGGGAAAATGGGGTTGCGGAAATGGGGATGGATGGTGGGTGCTGCACATCATTTGCTGTTCCTAGTTTTTGCGTGCCGCGATGGGTTTTTTTTGCAGGGCTGGTGGGAAGTCAAAGTCTGATATTCGCACTGCCTCAGGAGAGATGCTGTCCTACGCCGAGCTCAATGGAAAGGCCAATAGCTTTGCTGCCTGAGGATCGTGAAGAGGGAATGTTTCTTCTGTTGAGGCGATTGGGAATTGGAAATGATTTCGTGCTGTGATGTAATATGTAGGGAATGACGTTGGGGTTTGAGAATAGCCCTTCGCCGCTCTTGGATATACATAAGTTACAGCGATCTATACATAGAACAACTAATATGTAAGTTACATGGGTAAGTGAGACGGGCAAGGAACGAAACCAGTTTTGGCCCTTCTTCCATATGCTGAAATATTAAATCCTCATTTTCTGTAAATGTAAGTTGACAGAACGAAGAAACCCAGTAACAAACCCGTCAGTAGTGATTGAAGTATCAAGCATTCATTAGTTATTCCCCCATACAGTACCAAGACCCTAAGAATAAACCAGCCTGTCGCCCTGTGGCTAATTGTCGGAGCAACCTGGTGTCCCCGTCCCCTTTAATCATCTACTCGTACCGCGCCGCACTGAGATGAAGCGCACTCCCAAATATTTATTTCGTTTCATGTTTAAACTCACTAAAGTATTTCTGCGCCTTCTCATTTCTTTTTTATACATATAGTAAATTACAGTATTTAGATTAAGCTGCTGAACGTTCCAGGTCGGACCGTTACTGTTTAGCGCGGAGACCCTAATAGAGCGATAGGTGGATAGGCACAGAGGGAAGGAGGAAAGGATATTATCTGTAGCCGACTTACTCCCAGTTCCAAACTCCTAAAGACGCGACACCCAGAGGGCACCCTGATTCTCGATCTTTCTCTAACTTCCCTCTCAATACAACACTCTTTTGCATCATTTACAGGAGGCACAAGTAAGATTATCTGCCAGTCAACCAACGCCATCACTGGCAGGCAATCTACGATTGAACGACTTGGTGTTCGCGATACCTCCCTCCATCAACAACCTCCGCTCCTGCAGCTCTTCCCGATGGCTTCGTAAGCTCTACCCCATTTCTCATCCCCAACCTCCATGTCTTGCCTGTACTGACTCTAGCTTCTGCGATATAGGCTTGGATTCGGAAAAGCATTCCGATCTGCTTGGCACAGTCTAACAAGTTACGATCGCCGTACGCTCACCCCTGAATCTACTGTGGCTACTGCGACGTTATGCTCATGATTTATATACAGATTCCGATTTTGACTCCCCATATCGCACTGGACAGCATGTACCACTCGCTCAGAGTCGACACGACCCCCTTACCTCCGTCGCGACCGATGGCTCCGAGTCTCGCGCTGATATCTCATCCCCTTACCTCGACGACCAAGCGAGCTCAGCATCAGCGCTAAATGGCAATGCCTTCCCTCCGTCGCCCGCATACGCCCGGAACCCAGGGAATACTTCTCCATCTCCATACTCGCCTGGAATGAGATCTTCGTCGGCTCAAAAAAGACAGAATGACAACTTCGCGGAAAACACTAGCGCTGCGGAAATTCAGATGCAGGCCTTCCAGGAAGGGCTGCCACCGCCCCCACCGGTTGCACATTCATGGAGGAGGATGGATAAGTGGGCTGAGGAGCACTACGAGGAACTCTTTGAGGAGCTTGGAGAGGGATGCACAAGCAACGACTTGAACGACCTTGAACACCAACTCGACTGCTCTTTGCCAATGGACGTGCGCGAGTCTCTACAATTCCACGATGGACAAGAGGTGGGCGGCCGGCCGACGGGCATGATTTTTGGCTGTATGCTGCTTGATTGTGAGGAGATTGTACATGAGTGGAGGAATTGGAAAACGGTTAACGAGCAATATCTCAATGCACCATCGACATCCGGGCCCACGACACCGGCCACAGCTCTTGGCGGAAGCTCCTCAGCAGCACCCACAAAGAAGCCCCAGCAATCACAAAACCCGATGTGGCGCCAGGACCTCCTAGCCAAGCAGGAGTCACAGCCCCCAGGAGCAATCCAGAGAGTCTATGCGCACCCCCGTTGGATCCCATTAGCTCGTGATTGGGGAGGAAATAACTTGGCTGTGGACCTGGCGCCTGGCCCTACCGGAAAATGGGGCCAGGTTATCCTTTTCGGCCGCGACTACGACTGCAAATACGTTGTTTCCAGATCATGGGCATCATTTTTGGCGACTGTCGCCGACGACATGAACAGCGGCAAGTGGTTTATCGACGAGGACACGAACGAGCTGAAGCTTCGTGAATTCAAGACATTGCATGTTGAGCCAGGCTATCTGGATATTCTCAGATGGAGATCCGACCAGAAGTACGGCCGAAGAGGTCCACGGAGGCGGCCGCAGAACGGGTCTGCCAAGGGTGCTGGATCTCCAACAGGCTCCCCATACGATAGCCCGGTTGCCGAGATTGGCGAGCCACGAGGACGGTCCATGCAACGATTCAGCGGCGCTTCTCCCGTGTCAAGCCCGAACAGGCCCAATTATTCAAAGGCAAGCCCCTTATCGAAAGTCGCCGAGGAAATCCCATCGGCACAAGTTGCCTCCCCGCTACAGGGAGTTGTGAACACAGACGTGTCCAGTGCCAGCAAACCGCTTGTTGAAATCGGAACTCCTCGAGGCAGTGACGAGGAGAAGCGCATTAAGGCCATGGAGTCCCTGCTAGACCCGCCTCCGACCAAAGACGACAAGGAGAACGTGAAGGCGGATGGCACATCGGCCTCAGACTCCAAGTTGAACGGCAACGCGGCCAAGCAGGCAACGGTCGAGGACGACAGCGTCATGAAGACCATTGAGATATGATTATGAGATGAGGAATTGCTTCTAGTCCAATAGATGCAATCACGGCGTACTGGGATCGTTGCAGCTGCTGCAGTTTTAATGGGGGTTACATATCGTATATGCACCACGGCCAGTTTTCATTGGCATTGATACATACATGAAGCAACGGCGGAACCTTGATTGGCCTTGACGGTTTAATGGAGTCACTATAGTCGGAAGGACGTTTTTCCCTGAATTCACATCATCTTCCGTTGTACCATAGAACTCGACTTTTCGTTATTTCTCTTCTTCGAGGCAGCAGCGCGCTTTGGCAAGCACTTCGCTGGGTAATCAGTATAGGGGCAATGAGGCAATATGGGAGGGGGACTTTTTCGCAACCCGTTTTGTGCATGTGGGAATTAGATCAGTGTGTAGCATTGTAGGAATGGGGCGCAAGATTAAGGGTAGCGGCTGTCTTGAATTCGATGATGAATAGTTGATAAACGCGATTATCATTTGACGTGTAAAATGCTTGTTAATTTGATTGTGAGAAGTGCTTCTTTAAAATCAGGACTGGTTGTGAGCCAAAACGCCACCAAACTATGTAGGCACGTGACTTGTGATTGACGCCGAGAGACGTCGTCGCCAATAGCTGGGCGGGCGGATCATGGCGCTTCAACCTATGATCAAACGACAGACACCGTGATACCAACATCCACGAATACCACCAAGCCGCCATTATCTCCTACACAGAGCATTACCTCCTACACAGAGGTGAAACATATTGGCTTTCTACCAGGCTCAGGCCCAGTCGATATTTGATCTGCGACTCCCAAACCACGAACAACGAGCAGGCGCTTACTGATAGCGACGATGTCTGAAGAGAGGCTCTGGAAGTTCCAGATCCCGGAATGGGTCAATAGCTCCATGGTGCGGAGCGCGGGCGTGTATGCCGCTGGTGGATTGGTGAGTTCATCTATAGCTCCTATATAGCTTCGTCGCTATTCTTCAAGCTCTACTAGACCATCCGGGTTGCGAGAATTCCATCTCTGATAGCGGGCAAGCGCTCTATCCTTGAAGATATACCTACTTCCTCACAACTCCATACCGTTTCTTTGACGCAAGCTAACCCGCTATGCCCTTTAGTTCTCCCTCGCCTTCTACATCCTCCTCGACGCCGCCGTCTACTCCAAGTCCCCCCTCAACGGCTCCCTCCACACCCATATCACCTTCATCGACTGGCTGCCCTTCATCTTCTCCACGCTGGGCATGCTGATCATCAACTCGATCGAGAAGTCGCGCCTCTCCGCCGACTCGTTCTCATACTCTGGGTCCGGCGTCGCGTGGAAGGCGCGCGTCGTCCTGTTCCTTGGATTTGCGTTCCTTGCGGGCGGCATGGCTGGGGGCGTCGCTGTGTTTGTCATGAAGTATATTGTGCCAGGGGTGCCGTGGCCGACGCTTGGTATGGGGTTGGCGAATGTGTTGGCGAATGCCGGGGTGATGCTGAGGTAAGTTTCTTACGCATGACGATTTAATGGGTTGAGCTAATTTGTGGTAGTTCGGTGCTGTTGTGGATTTCGCAGAATATGGAGGATGAGTATGCGTATAACCTGGCTCTGTAATAGAGGTGTTTATACGGGGTGGGTGGCCTGGGGACGTGGGGAGGGGCGGCCACGATGATGATGGGATTGATGTCAGTTTTTTATTGTGAGCATGCTTGTAACATAGACGATCTCTAATGGGAGTCGGAACCTTGATTTATTATGTCTGAGACTATCCTAATGGGGCTTGTGCCTGCCACCTGTGACATGCTTTCCAAGCGCCTTCGACACCTTTGCCCTGGGTGTGGTTACATCCAGGGGCCCAAAAGCTGCCATATATGCCTGGGGTCTGAAGGTCTGGCTGGGTATGACAGTATACGAGCTGTCTATGTTTCATTGAGAGGGGGTTGTATATTCAAGCCCAAATCACTCAGCTGGGCCCTTGTGAATGCCCATTTGAATCTTCACTGGCAGCACTGATGGCCTCCGCAGCTTTGGCTGCTTCAAGGGCCTCTGCCTTCGCATCATCCAGAGCCTTATACTTCCTCTTACTCTTCTTGGTTGCACTACTCTTCCTCTTAGCCTTCACATTTCCCACAATAGCCACCCGGCTCTCTGCCCCCTTCTCCAGTAATTCCACCCGCTCCGCCAGCAATTCCCTCGCAATCTTCCGATTCTGGCTCCTTGATCGTGTCGCCTGCACCTTTAGCACGATGCCCGTTGGAAGGTGCTTAAGCTGGACTGCAGAGGAGGTTTTATTCTGGAGCACAAGTTAGCGGTCATTCGTACCCTGAGCAATGGCGGGATATCGTACAATTTTCTGGCCGCCAGGGCCGGACCCGCAGAGGAATGCTTCAGTGAACTCTTCCTCTGGCAGTGGCGTGGGGCGCCGTGGCATGGCTTTCACCCATCGAGGCGTGGTGGTTGAGATGAGGCGCGCGGCTGCCTTGGCGCGCGGTGCCCAGGCGTGGGGTGTGAGGGTGCGCAGCATGATTACTGGCTCAGCTCATATCTATCCGTAATCCTAGTTGATAGAGAGTATTGCTATTAAATCCGGTGCTACATTCCCTGTCCTCGGTGGCGTCGTAAGGCGTAGGATTGAGACAAGGCACGAGGCTATCGGCGCTGAGGGGGCCGATATGCAGGGGTCCGGATTACAGGGACGGGAAGTCAAAATCGCCAACTTCACATTGTCCAACTACAGAATCCGACGACTCGACGACCCCTCACACTGCCGATACGATATTATCTATACTCACGACACGCCCTAAGAAATATACTTGTTCAGCTATACCCTCGACAAACGGCGCAATGCCTTCTGAAACTTCCGTAGTCTCGTCGGGTTTCCGATGGCTGCAACGCAAGAGATATCAGTATGAAGTCACATTCAGTCTGTACATGTTGACGCCGACGGAGAAGTTCATCTTCAGTATGTCTACCCTTTCTCCCGGTTTTATTGAGCCCATATAACCGTCGCGCCCCTAAACCCGGCGGTTCCGTTCCCCTCGACCAAGACCCCCTTTCGAACCCCCAAAGCGCTTCATCTTGCGACAATGTTCTGATCCCAGTTCTAGACTCCTGCATATTCATCATCTTCTCCATGGTCCTGATCGCTGGCTGCCTCTACCTCCCGCAACACATCACCTTCCTCATGAACCGGGCTTGGTTCTACTACCAAGGCGACGCGGATTCCAAGGATGCATTCTCGTCGAGCGTCGCAGTGGCGACGACACTGGGAGACCGACTCCGCGCTGTGGTTGAGACGGCGAGAGCGAGCGCTGCGACTGCGGCTCAGAAAGAGTTGTAGTGGCATGGCGACATGGAATACACCAAACGGATAGACGGACACGAGAGGTACATATGGTGCGGGGAGGTTAGAGGAAAGGAAGTGCCTGGCGCATGTATAAAATAGGCTGTATCCGATTATGGGACAGGGAGTTAGGGGCATCTTTACTGCAGTAGACGATGGGAGATGGGAGCTTTACTACCGGGACGGAAGCGCTCGATGGATATAATGTTTAATGCACAGTGGATAGAAATTGAGAGGGTTCGGCATCGAGCCTACACGTTACTATATGTCAAAATGCGCTTGTCATTGTGCTCTAATTCAGAACCGACATGTGAGCTGGTATACCCTCATCCCAGCCACTATCTCTCAACCCTTAGCAGCTGTCTCTCTCGCCGCCATCAAATGCTTCATCGTGTTATACATCAGCTCACCCACCCCCTTGGCACCCCTCCGCTCCAAGTAAGTCAGCACACCTAACCTATAATCCGCCCAGCTGAGCTGCAGCCCCCCGTCTTTCCCAAGCGTAACCAAGCTCTTCTGTGTCACCGGACCCGCGTGCCGGATCTTAATCCCGCCCTCTGCCTGATCCGCCTTATCCTCCAGCTCCCGCAGATACGAGATCGAGAGGTTGCATAGGACGGGAGAGTATGAGAGAGTGAATAGCAATGGCAGTGTGAGGCCGGTGTCCAGGGAGGAGACATAGGATGTAAATTTCGGGAGTAGTAGAGGCGGAAGGAGGCAACCGAGGGCGTTCGTGTCTGTCGTGTTGAACGCGCGTGATCGCCACAGGCAGTTGCAGATGTCCATGAGGAAGCCGTTGAAATGGTTGACGTACTCTTTGGGGTATGATTCTGGGGTTGCTCCTTGGGCTGGGTCTGGTCGCGCGGGGATGGGCTTCGACATTGCCGTCTCGAAGGCTCGTTTGTATAGTGCGAGGATGGTACAGAGGCGGGAGAAGGTTGATAGTGATGGTGCGAAGTGGAGTGTGTATACTAGAGCTGATGGCGGAGTTATGATGCGCACATGTGCTTGGAGTGAGGGTTGGCTGAGAAGGCCTGCCATGGCTTCGTAGAAGTAAAGGACCGAGTGGTGGGTGATGGTGCTTTGTAAATGGCCTGTTTGGACTATCGTTAAAGCCAGAACATTAACGTGGGTAGTAAGAGCGCTAATTGTGGTGCTTGTGAAGGCTGGCGGGGTGCTGGAGAGAAGAGCAGAAGTCCAGTTTCTGAGGATGGAGGTGTAGAATGTGAGAAGATCTATCTGCGAAGTCGGGGTGTCGTCTAGGATTGCCCATTCCAGAGGCTGGAAGGTTGATAAATAGAGTTCTAGAAACCATTAGCATCATGGTGACCCCTTATAGCGAGCGTGTCCATACCTTCAAATGGAGCAATTGGAGTATATGAAAGAAGATCGAGTACAACCGGGCGCCCTGTAAGCCCATTCCAGTCTTCGAGTAGGGAATGGAGATATTTAGCGCAAGCCGGTGGGAGATCCTAACCTGTTAGCACGGATTCGAAGGTGTGATTTTGATATAGGCTTACCTTTGTGAATCGAGTATACTCCAATATTGAACCTAACATGTCCAAAAGAGCGCTCTCCGATGATCCACCCCCTTCGAGCTGGTCTTTAAAGAATGCCATAAGCCAGTTATCCACTCGCTGCCTCACCGCATCTGTAGATTTCAGCTGCAGGAGCTTTTGTAGTAGGGGGTCGCCCATGACAGCTACCAATTGGTTGGGCAGTTCTATCTTCTCGAGCACGCCAACGAAGCCGCTAACATTCTCAATTTCTTCCAATGTCACCGATGTCTGCACCAGTTACAAAACTACTCAGGTTCAATAATTATGCGTATGCTTACCTCTTGAGCATTAGAGGTGTGCACCTCTGGTATCACAGAGACCCTGCTTCTCTTTACCCCATTTATGCCACGTCTCACAACTCGGAAGGTGTCACGTTGAGATTGTTGCTCATCTACAGTTTTCTGAACATATGCTTCTTGGATCTCTGCCAACCTGGCTTTCCACTGGGGATTTGGATGCTGTAAATTATTAGATGTGGTACCGTCTGGGCAAGGTTCTTTGGTCTTTACCGTAAACACCGATGATCTTCCCGCTGTCAGCTGGCCAACAATGACATCTGGATAATAGTCCTTGTAGACTCTGATGAGTCCGACAAGTGGTGGTTCACTGCCGGAACGCCTTGCTAATTCCAATCTAGGCCGTGTCAGCCAACAGGCTTCAAGCTTGTAGCGCATTTACTTACAGCGATTGAATTCGGAATGGTCTCACGTGTTTCCGGCGAGTAATCAGCGACAGGAGATGGCACAGGGGCGATCTGCTTGCTATTAGCATCTGAAGACAGAGGATGATGGAGCGAAATAAACCTTATGGCAATTGTATCGAGCAGGTTGAACAGGAAGCTGTATGCATGAGATAATATCTTCGGGCTCCTCATGGAGTCGTAGACCATAACCAGCCACTTCAACAGAAGTGACTGCACCGGAAAAGCCGCTCTGGATTGTCCATGGCCCAAAGAGCCTATAACTTTCACAAGAGTATCATCCGATATTTGTGCGGCTGGGTACAAATTTCTGATAATGTTCGCGATGCTGGCCTGGTCGAGCTCATTTGGCAGCGTTACGATGTCAACAAGCTCGTCCAAGGACGCTTCAGAGAGCCCATCCTCAAAGGCCTTATTTGCCACTCTTTCAACAGTCCCATTGATTTTAACAGCTCTCTGTTTCGCCGGTATCTGAGCAGCTATAACTCCCAATTAGTACACGTGACCAGACGCGGTTCCTAACGCGACTTGCCATGTTTGAGGTCTGTCAACAGAAGTCCAATTGTCTTCCTGTCATCTTGGGGCGGAGGAGAAGACTGCATTATGATATCCTTGACATTATCCACCGTGATTTTTCTTGTATGAACGTGACTTTATACAGTATGATGCATATGTTGGGTGTTTTGGTGATGCGTGGTGTTCTAGTGCACAGTGCTGTAGTCGCCCTGCATCTCATGTCACACAAGCACAATCACAATAAGTTAACCCCTCGTCTGATAACAAGCGAATCAAATGGGCACTACCAACAAACGTCCTACGAAACATCCTGCCCCCATTATTTTGGGCGCTTATTTACAGACCCTTCTGCTAATATATGGTATTGTGTCTCTGTGTCGCGATTTACATTTCTTATATTCATAGAAGGTCTTTACAGTCTCTCTATCTGGGTCAGTTTTATGCGTACTATTATTCAATTTGCTACTCTAGTTATGCTCATACAGTCCAAGTGTTTCTTCTCGCGGTCAAGTGTGCGGAGTAATGTGTGCGTCTTCTCTTTGTGCAGGTCGGCTTCACGCCCAGAGAGAATTTTGGCGATGACTCAGCTGTGCTCTTCTGGAGCGTGCACAGCGTTTCAGAGGCAGCATGAGGACGATGGCGAAAGCTGAAAGACAAGCTTTGTGGCCAACTGCATGGTCACCAACATACAGGCGAGACTGGCCAACCATCAGTACTCCCCAACGGAGATTCTAAGTTCGCTTCCATGCTGATCAATGTGGTCTGATAGATCAACTCTTGCAGCATTAGCAGCCTATGGTTTATCAAACGTATGTGGCGTTCATCGGTAACCGGCTTGGCCGATGAAGGCGCATGTGGCTTATGAGACAGTTGCAGCTGTCGATGCCATACCTGATAATACTGACCTAGCTGACGACACCAAGCCCAGCTGCTACCTACAATGGAGGTACTGTACATTCAAACCTAAGGAAAACCCATCTCGGTGTCAGATGCGAAGAGGTCTACCATTCACCTATGCGTCCGAACTCTCCCTGCGCTGTACAGGAAGGGAAAAGGTAGCGGATTTGTGACTCGGAGACAGCTTGGACGCCCAATACTTGGGGAACCAGATATGGTCAAAGCGACCGAGACACATGAGAAGAACACCGTTTTTTTCTCCTTCTGGAATATATCCCGAGGAGTGATACCACAGGTGGCAGATGGCATATATTTGTACTGTACGACCTGGGGCCGTATATCTCGCCAATGCACGTCCAGGGATCTTGTTGACCCGAAAACCGAAATGCACTTTCCACGTTCCCAGGTGCCGGGACTGGATGGGGTATGGGATTTAGGAGATGGGATGTTAGGTTTCACAAGCATCTCAAGTATCCCCAGGTGAGAAGCATGGTTCACTATCTTATGGTGGCGTTCTACGTTCTACGGCACAGTACAGGGTACCTTTGTCCGAACTGCAAACTCACGCAACCACCAAGGTGTCGTCCAGGAGGTTCCCAAGACCCTTCTCGGACATTTTCCACAAATTCTTTCCATCTTACTTGCGCTTTACCGCCCAAGGAAGCCAAAATACTTAGTGTTGTACCACCCCGGGTGACCACGCTCACCCTGGCTGTCAAGGCTTGGCCGAAGTGAATCTAGGTTCTAGGTTATGTAAGTTAGCCCAACTATGGGTCCCAGCGGTCCTGAAGAATATTCGGGGGAAGGTTGTAACGGTTTAGTATCGGCTCATACTGATTTAGCTGCCCGTTCCCAGGATGATTCCTATGCACTACCAACCACTACGGATTACCGCAACTGGCTTGGGCGAAATATCAATAGGTAGAAAGTCAGAAACAGCCTCGATTTAACACTATGTTGCGTTGAATTGCTCCCAAATCCTTTCGCCTTGCTCACGCCGCTATGTGAAGGCCCAATAGATAGCCAAGGAACTATGGCCCGTTCCTGACAGAGAGCCTGACAAGCTGAACCAAGCCATACCGTGTCACTAAGCCACTTCAATCATACGCTCAGTCTCAGCATATACCCTCTGTGTGAAAACGTTTAGGCAGTGTAATCCCAGGCAGATCTTCTGCGAGCGGTAGGCCAGTTCTCGAATGCGCGAATACATAGTATGTTTGGGTTTCAATTTAACCACATCAGCTGGCTAGGCATTTTACTTTCAATGTCCACAATCGGCATAGCAGCGCAGCATCCACGGCTAGCTTGGTCTTATCTAATTTACACAATGCCAGCAATATTAATATGAGCGCGGTATCAAACTTTGGTTATATCTTCTCTCATTGTCACAATATTCTTCTCATCAACGTTCAGGTTTTCAAGCGTTACCAACGTTTGATTACAACATGTCGCCCAATATGAACGAGTCTCCGGAGGCTCACCAGGAAAGGGGCGAGGAGTTAGTATTCCTTTGTTATTCCCTCGATAATTTTAGGGCAAGCTGTTGACATGCGCTTGCCAGGAATGGCGCAAGGCATCCGCAGAAATCCAACGGCGTAGGGCTGAACTCGCCTCCCACGCAAAATGGGGGACAAACCTCCCTTCTTGCCAGAGATGCCACGAACTCATTAGCTGTCATTGGAGACTTAGAGGACACGGATGTTGTTCTGATCCTGACTCCTTCGGTGCCTCAAGTTAGTGGGGACCCAGATGATACTTCTGACCCCTTTGAGTGTTTTGGTCGGGCTCTCGAGTCGCGCCATCATCGAATTCGGCACCGATCTTACCAAAACAGCAGTGGAATCACAGGCATTCATCGCCAGTTCATCATACAGTCGAACGTGATTATTCTCGTGTTAGCCGATGGTGAGGCTGCGGGCCAAATGCCACAGATCAACGTCGAGCATGCGCATATTACGGTGGCTACAGCTGGAGAAGACACGAGGGTAATTATTGTGGTAGCTGATTCGTCGTCGGAGTCATGGCAGCGCCTCGACGATTTCCCAACTGTCATTCAAGCAGCAGATTATTCACCCGCCAGCCTTGAAAGGACGGTGTCGGTCATATTCAGGGAATTTTGAGGATGCCCCCCCTCCTAGCCAAGAAATCTGCCCTGCGTTCGGTCGTATTCGGGGAATCATGAAAGCAGCCCCCCTGTTTGTCGAAGAATTTGCTGTGCCTCTCACGATCCCTGCTGCACTATTTTGAAAATTTCCTTCCGCCGTTAAGACGTTTCCTGGGGTTTATATACTCCCCGAACAATGATCGAGAAAACTACCAATGGTTCAATGTGCCAGAGGCCGGCTGATTTCCAGCTGCCGGAGCCCACGAATCCCGTGGAGCAAGACGAGGAGTTCCCGATCCTGCCTAAACTACAATACGGCAAAGAAACAGAAGGGAGTGGTATTGTTAAAACATCAATTTGGATCGATTGCTGGTATGTGAGACCGGCGATTCTTCGCGGATAGAATTGCAAGCTTGATATGAATAGAGCATAAAATGACTGGAGTATTAAGGGAATATAAAATTTGCGTAAGGGAATTTAGGGGTTAGTCTACTACTATAGAAGGCAGTATTTATTGTGATGATGACGATGATATTTATTTACGTCCAGCGGGCCGCGGGAGTAACCCGCGGCCCCAAGACCTCCCGAACGGTATGGGGACGTGCTAAGCTATGGGTTTATGTACAGAGTATGACCCTAGGAGAGCAGTTCTTGCGTGTTTGCGTGGCTGTAAGGCCCGTTGACTGAGCGCCTTCCCCGGCAGTTAGGATGGTGTCAGGTTTGCTAGTAGAGGGTGGTGCCTCGGAGGTTCTCCCCAAAGGGGTTGTATGCGGGACCAGTTGGTCTGATTTGATTCGAAAGCGAGTCAATTTGTTCATGAACTTCGCTGTTCGCTGTTCGCTGTTCGCTGTTCTACAGTAAATACTGCCAAGGCCACAGGGCACACTACACACCACACTCGCGCAGTGGCTCATAAGTTACATATGGTGAGGTGAGTTATATGGAGAATTGATCTCTGACCTCCTCAATTGTATGACGTGGCAAGTGCCATGAGTTTTTTTTATCCCTCATTCCCCCCACGAAAAAAGGGCGTTGGCTATATCTTGTAAATTTCATTTACCCGACCTATTCTTGTAGCGAGGTGGGGAGGAGGATGGACGCTGGAGATGTGTTGCATCATTGCGTTGCCCCGCATCCCACATCCCACCAAAGAAACCCCCCCGATCCCGGACAGCCCCGCCAACATTTCTTGGTGCAAATCCTCCATACACCGACTATGACTACGTAGTGCTCTATCAACCACAATTATTGAAATATCACAAATTGAAGATATTGTCATCATGTCTTCTTTCACTGATAAGTAAGATGTCTCATATTCTCTGGTAATTACCATGGATAGCTGATGCTTACTTTATAGGAAGGTTCTTATGCTCGGAGCTGGGTTTGTGACTCAACCGACGCTGGATGTCCTCAGCGACGCTGGAATCCAGGTCTCTGTTGGTATGGATACCTTCGAGCTTCATTGTTGGGCCATTACTTACATCCCCTAGCTTGCCGTACTCTCGAAAGCGCCAAGAAGCTCGCCGAAGGAGTCAAGAACGCCCAGGCCGTCTCCGTTGACGTCAACGACGCAGCTGCCCTCGATGCCGCTGTAGCCAAGCACGACCTTGTCATTTCCCTCATCCCATACACTTTCCACGCAAAGGTCATCGAGTCTGCGATCCGCAACAAGAAGCATGTCGTCACAACCAGCTATGTCTCCCCAGCCATGCTGGAGCTCGACCAGGCTGCCAAGGATGCCGGAATCACAGTTATGAACGAGATTGGTCTTGACCCCGGAATCGATCACTTGTACGCCGTCAAGACTATTGAGGAGGTTCACGCCGAGGGTGGAAAGATCCTTTCTTTCCTGTCATACTGCGGTGGTCTTCCATCCCCAGAGAACTCCGACAACCCGCTCGGATACAAGTTCTCCTGGTCGTCCCGTGGTGTCCTCCTTGCTCTTCGCAACGCTGCCAAATACTACAAGGATGGCAAGATTGTTGAGATCGAGGGCAAGGAGCTGATGGCTGCTGCCAAGCCATACTTCATCTACCCTGGTTACGCCTTCGTTGCGTACCCCAACCGCGATTCCACCCCATACAAGGAGCGCTACAACATTCCCGAGTGCCAGACCATCATCCGCGGCACTCTCCGTTACCAGGGCTTCCCCGCCTTCATCAAGGTCCTCGTCGACATGGGCTTCCTCTCCGACGAGCCCGCCTCCTACCTTACCACCCCCATCGCGTGGAAGGATGCTACCGCCCAGATCCTCGCCGCCAAGTCCGGCAGCGATGCTGACCTCACGGCAGCTATCAAGACCAAGGCCAGCTTCTCCAGCGAGGAGGAAGAGGCTCGTCTTATCTCCGGCCTGAAGTGGATCGGACTCTTCTCCGACGAGGCCACCATCCCCCGCGGCAACCCGCTCGACACCCTCTGCGCCACTCTCGAGAAGAAGATGCAGTTTGAGGCCGGCGAGCGTGACTTCGTCATGCTCCAGCACAAGTTCGAGATTGAGCACAAGGACGGCCGCAAGGAGACGAGGACGTCGACGCTCTGCGAGTACGGTGACCCTAAGGGCTACAGCGCCATGGCCAAGACCGTTGGTATTCCCTGCGGTGTGGCTGTTAAGCAGGTGCTTGATGGTACTATCAGCGAGAAGGGTGTGTTGGCGCCGATGTACGGCAAGCTCAACAACCCGCTCATGAAGGAGCTCGAGAAGTACGGCATCACCATGGTCGAGAAGACCATCTAAGATACCATTTAGAGGACTAGGAACTGGGGTAAAATGAGCTCTTAAATAGCTCTAGGTTAAATAAAATGCCATTGATATATTCCGCGGTTGGTGCTCTCATGTCTCACATACCCATGCAGCAAAATATTATAGGGTCTCATCAGGTACGGTATACTTTATGTCATTACCATGGTATAAACAGAGTCCTCCCTATGGCTCGCAAAGCCCACACAATGTCCACTCTCGACCCTCTCGTCCAAAGCCTCGCATATTCCCCGCCTCCGATTGCGGAACAGCCTCCATCCGATGTTGAGGTTTCTACTGATATCAGCTCCAACCACACCAGGGAACCCGCCAAGGGTACAGATAGACAAACCGGCTGAATGTGATGAGGCCGCGCCCACGCCATCCCCATATGCAACCCCTGCGCCTGGGCGTGCCCCGATGACACAGGAGGCGAATACTGGAGTGGTGTTGCAGCGCCTGAGGACCCGGATCCAGAGCTAGAACCAGAACTATGTGAAGACCCTGGTAATGGCCGACGGTGAGATCCTGATCCTCTGGCGCTACGAGCTGGGGGGGTGTCACGGTATGGGATCACGTCGGTGATCTCGCCGGCGACATTTATGGGATGGACGGTTTGGGTAGCGCTGGGATGGGGACCACCCATTCCGTTGTGGAGTGCTAAGGCTTGGGAGGTATATGACGGCGAGGAGCGTGACGTCGAAGATTTGCTAGGTATTGAATCGTCTGATTTGACCATTTTGGTTGTTTCTGTGTTGGTATGGATAGGAGGAATAGAGAGAGCAACGAGCTTGTTTTGGAATTGAATGAAGTAGATGAGATTGGGAGATAATATGAGAGCATAGGTTACCTTGCATGCTATCCACATCTTACCTCACCTGGACCCTAACGAGGTGGTTTACGTAGGTTCATTGTCTCGCGACCACAGAAATGGGATTGAGGGGTTCAGATAGTCATACGAGATGCCTACATCAACGGAGAGAGCCTAGCTTTCAAGTACAGATAAAGCTCAAGAGTTTCGAGTAGCAGCAAATTATTTTGATTGATTTATTATTCCGAAAAGATTGTCTAAAGAGCCCCAGGCTAGCAGATCCCAAGAAGTGCTGGCTGGCCCAAAATATAGCATTTTGATAAAGTTGAACCCTGGAGTGTTGAAGAAAGCTGTTCATCTGATGGGGAATGCCTAAATGTGTCTAGCGGCGGGAAGGGGCTTGGCTGTGCTTTGGTTGCACACTGTGGGGATATCCGCGATAGGAGTGGCAGGATCGCAACTGTCAAGAGCTCCCTATCATAGCTCTGAACCTACGAACCAGATTTCTTGTATGAATCTTATGATTCGATTCGTTATAGTTTCGCGATACATATAGAATAACCAGCATCCATCTTCCACCCAATTCCGCTGTGCAACCGCACCTCCAAATGACAGTATGGTGTTTGACCCTCTGTCGCCCATCGCGCCAGCGAGGGTCAAGGCGTTGATACTGCCTCTTGGACAGGTGAAAAGAGCACACTTTGAGACATTTATTCAGCGATTATACCCTGAGAATGTCGTTCGACTGGGGGACATTAGTCCCGATCAACGACCTGATAGAAGTAAGCCTCACGACGATTGAGATCACCCTTGACCAACTGCTGACGATCATAGACATGTTCTCCCCACTGGCCTTTCCAGTTGGCATGATAGTTTATGACCTTACGACCTCACTTCCACCTACTTCGCACCTCGCCTTAGCCCCCTTCGAATTATACCGCGCCCCGCTTGTCATTCTTGCGATTGCAGATGGCTCCGAACACAATCATGTATCAAATAAAGATAAGGACGGGAACGAAACTAATGGATACGATTACCAGACGCATTTACAACATATTCGAGATTTAGACCAAGAGCTGGAGACTATCAGAGACCAGTATCCAAAAGCCTTGGTGCATCAGGCCCTGCTCTTCGACTATCACCATCAGAAGGAGTCTACAGCACTGCCTGATGGCTTGATACCTGTGCCTTCTGTCAAGGCGTCTAATATAACGACGATGAAGACAATCATGTGTGATTTGTCTTCTGTTTTACTGGCTGAGCTGACTACAATGGCCAAGTCATTGCAAGGGATGGCTATGATGGAATCACCAAATGTGGTTCTAGATGGGAGGCAGGGCCCCGGATACTCGTGGTCTAATGGAGATAGTGGAACTATATCGAGGCGGGCTTCTCAATATAGTATCCCTGATATGGATTCTCGATCAGCGACGCCCGAAGCTGATAGGAGCCAGGTCCGCATGTCCATGCCTGTACGGTTCGGCTCACAACAGGGGGAGCACTTACGCGCAGCGTCTGTGCCACGCCAAACAACACCCAGCGCAGGACCCAACACACCAAGTGAAGGCGTCTCAAGTACCATGAGCCCGCCTTTAAGTCGGTCTAATAGTGTCGCGGACAAAATTCAAGAGCAAAGCCGCGGCCGTATCTCAACGCAAGGTTTTGGATCAGGTAGCCTCAGCGAGAGGTCGAGAAATAAAGGAAAAGGCCGCGTTTCAATAGCAATTGGAGGCCTATACCTCCAGGCTGGCCGTTGGCAAGATGCTATGAAAGAATTGGTTGGAGGCGCATATATTGCTAAGACCAACAATGATCATCTATGGCATGCCAAAGCCATGGAAGGACTTGTAGTTGCAATGATTATGCTTGCTTGGATTGGCTTAGACTTTCAGATTCCACAACTCTGCTATGTCGTGCCCGAAAAATCGCCAACCCCAACAACACCTGGAACACCTGGAGAGCAGAATTCCCCTGAGACAATCAACCGGTTAGCAGTTCTACAAAATCTCGCTGTACTTCTCCCAGACTTGCTGGACAGAATACTCAGCCTGTATGAGCGCGCGTCAAATTTTACTGGCGAGTCGTTACCGCAGCTCCCGTTCTCTGAGTCTGCGATTCGATTTTCGAAGCTCCTATCAGCCGTGCATCTTGCCGGAGGTAGACTTGACGATGGCTCCTTGCAGCTTTTGGTCTTGGGCACCCCGTTCTTTGCCAAACCTAATACTCGAACCCCACGATTAAATATTCACCCAGCTCGATCAGTAATTGCTACTACCTTATTTCGGGCATTTCCGTCATCAGCCGCGGCGAAGGGGCTTTCTCTAATCGACCGTACTGTCATATTGGCTGGCATTGCGTCTGTTCTCGGGTTTCTTGGTTACGATAGAAAGAAGGCTATGGTGATGCGGGAACTGGTTTCAATCCTTATCCCCGGGCTTGTGAGTGCTAGAATTGCAGGCGCAGCAGAGATGGGTATACACCCTGCGGCAGGACTGGCTGCACTGAGCCATATTAATGGTAATACGACTGGGGCTGGTGCTTTGGACCTTGGAGAAGGTGATGTTGAAAGTGGCATGGATGCACTATTAGGCCTCGTGGGAAAAACATACGGTGTAGTAGGCTTCCCGTCCTCGCCAAGAGGTGATGCCAAAAATGGCGACAAACCATGCGATGACTCGGATGAGGCCGTTGTGGCACGCATAATGGAGAACACAGCAGCACGTCAATTTGGGGGCAAATCCATGAAGATGAATGTTCTTCGGGCGTGCATTGGCTTTTGTGAAGCTCTCCCTGATTTTCAAGGTGTCCTTAGGTTTAGTGCCGATTTACTGCGGACAGCTGGGACAGGGATAGCACCAGGGCCTCGTACAGAGAATGCGTCGCCGATGATGTCGAGAGACGAGCAAGTCAGACTGTCTATCAATATTTCGAGGACGTTTGATGCCGCTGCTAAAATCGGGCTGCAAAATTTAGAGGCCGAGTATTGGGACGAGTTCCTCGTCCGTGGCGTCGAGCTTGAAGCCCTACCAGCTTCTCGCACCCCGAACCCACACCGGAGTTCTGATCTTGGCGGGACGGCAAAAACTGCAGAAGCTGGGGGGAAGAACCCATTTATTTATAATCCATTTTTGAAGAGGCCGAACACCGAAGCCGTGGAAAGGCTACTGGTCTGTGGCGAGAGCGCCACCTTCAAAGTCACTCTCCAGAACCCGTATGAGTTTGAGATAGTGATTGACAGGATCCGTCTTGAAGCTAATGGAGGCGACTTTGAATCAGCAGCGCAAGAAACTGTAGTTGGGCCTTACCGAACGCAGATTCTGAACGTTTCAGGGACGCCTCGAGCAGCAGGTTCATTTAAGATCACAGGCTGTATGGTCAAACTCAGAGGTTGTAGGGAACGCAGGTTTCCTATATTTTTAGAGCCGTGGTCGCCTCTCTCAGATATAAAGGTTAAAGCCTTAGGTCTTGCGGTGCAGAGAAAGAGAGGGGAACGCCCAGTATCGGATGCATCTTTATCGAAACGTCCGGCTATCGACCCACGCCTTCCCAAGCCATCATCTTTATCGTTGACGGCAATCGCTCCGCAACCAATGGTTGTGATCACCTCCACCAGCTTCTCCCAAGCAGCTGCCATGGTTCTTGAAGGCGAACGTCAAACTTTCTCCGTTACACTCAAGAACCTCTCGACAACCACCCCCGTTGACCTACTACTATTTTCTTTCCAAGATTCCACCCAAGGACCTCTACAGACAGCCCTTAGCAAACGCGATGCTTCGCCTGCTGAACTGTACGAATATGAGCTTGTACTTTCTCGAAAGGCCGCATTGCGGTACGTAAAGAGGGAAGGAGAGAGCGATGAAACATACATACCTCCTGGCGCCACAAAGACGGTTGATTTCGAGGTTCTTGGCAAACCAGGCTTGACAAGCGCGGCTGTTCTAATTGATTACGCGCATCTTGGCCAGCCAGCCAGCAAAGTGAAGGGACCCTTTCATACAAGGCAAGTTAGCATGCCGATAACGGTAACTGTTAACGCAGGAGTCGAACTCTCTCGGATCGACCTTGAACCATTGGGCCACGACATCCCCAGCAACCTCTGGTCCCTGTGTGGTGAAGCTGCAAAGGGAGATACCGAGGACATCGACGCACGGGATTATTGCCTGTTGGTGCTAGATCTTCGCAATGCCTGGCCATCACCTCTCCGCGCCAGGCTTGAAGTGGGCTCAGGCCGCTCCATTGAAGAAGAAATCCTGCCCGGCAGCACTTCAAGGGTCGTGTTCCCCATAAAACGAATTTTTCTCGACGACCCGCACAAAGCCATCCCAGTCCTTGACCCAGCTAGACAGCGTCAGTTCGTAGTCAGCTCCGGCCGCATATCTGTCGACTCCGAGAAGGCCAGCCGCGAAGCCTTCTGGTACCGCGAGGAGATCCTCCGTTCACTCAGCGGCACCTGGCGCACCACCTCAGGCACAGAACGCAAGGGTGTTATCGAGCTTCGCGGTATGCGCCTCGTGCCGCGCACGATTGATGCCCTCAAGATCGAAGACGTGGGCATCAGTTTGCGCGTCAACGGCGGGCCTCCGAGCCGCACACCACAGACAACTGTTGAGGTCGACGATTTTTTGCATCTCGTCGTTACTATCACCAACCGCTCCGCTACACCCGTTTACCCCCTACTCCGACTGCAACCTAGTCTATGCAACCACGCGCACGGGCACGCGCTCGATCTCTCCAAGAAGGTGGTCTGGGATGGGACACTACAGCGCACGCTGCCGGTGCTGGCTGCGCATGGGACGACAGAAGTGCGTGTTACGATGACGGCGCTGTGCAAGGGAGAGTTTGAGGTCGGGGCATGTGTTGAGGAGACGAGGCTGTGGGGCGTGGAGAAGGAGAGGGGAGATTTTGGGAATAGAGAAAAGGTTGGGAGACAGAGAGCTGGGACAGAAGCGATGATGGATGCGTTGCTTGGTGCCAGGGAGAGGAGGGTGTGGTATGCGAGAGAACCGTTAGGATTGCGGGTTGTTGATGCCGAGAGTGATAAGGAGTAGTGGTAGTTTATATGTATATGTAGATAGACGAATAGACGATATAAGCTTATTCCCGATGAGAGAGGAAGATTATTGTGAGAGTAGATGAGATTCTATGGTGTGTCATAAAGTGCGCCAACAATGCTGTTCCGTATCTAACCATCCCCTTCCCGTCTCCATAATCCAAATATCTAAACTTCGAAGCATCAACCCATGGGCATGCTTCCAGGCATCGCATACTCCTCACCCCGCGTCATCCTCCTCCTCCTCCGCACCCCACCCATACCTTCCAACTCATCCTCCTCCACCGCATCCCTCTCCCATTGCCTCGCCCTCTCCCTCTCAGCCTTCTCCTCCGCCTCCCTCTCCACTTCCCTCCTCGCCTCAGCCATAATCCCCCTCTCCACCTCCTTCGCCGCCATCTTCGCCTCCTTGCGACTCATACTCGGCCCCGGCGCCGCCTCTGGCGTCTCCTCTCCACCCCTCGTATTCTTCTTCCTAGGCCACAGACTCGGCAGCGCGATCTCCTGAAAGCGCGGCTCGACGCAGCGCTCGTCGAACCAGTCGTGTAGGCGCTTCTCAACGAGGCTGGCAATCTTAGGGACGTCCTGGAGGCGCGAGCGCGAGCCGACGAGACTGCGGATCGAGAAGTCGAGGCGGTAGTCGTCGAGGAAGGAGAAGGCCATTGTGGTTGCGGTGTTGTGCGCGGGAGAGGACGAGGAGGGGATGAAGGACATGGAGAGCGTGCCGGAGAAGCGGACAACGCTCACGGCGAGGGCGACGGGGAGGATGGCGGTGAGGGGCTTGGGGTAGTTGAGGAGGAGCTTGGTTTCGAGCGCGAGGGTTATGAAGTCGGAGAGGTCGACGTCCATGCGTGCTTGGAGACGTTTGCTCTCGCGGCCGCAGCCGTGGGGCGCTGAGGTTGCAATGCCATCGTCATCAACGGGGATGACGCGGCAATTGCTGAAGATGGGGAAGTCTTCGCCGAGGCTGAGTTCTGTGACTTTGATCTCGTCGAGGAAATCCGGCCGAGAAGCTCCGTTCAGGGCGCGGGTCAGCGAGGTCAAAATCGCATCATCGTGCTGTGCGTCAGCGCGAAACTGGGCGATGGTTTGAGCAATCAAAACATTGAACCAGTCAAGCGACTCGGGTTGGTGCGCGTCGACATTGTAGTATGTTTTTGAGAGAATGGTGCCTATCGTAAGAGGAGGCGGGTTTCGCAACGCGGAGGAGCGCTTTCGGCTCAGGTTCTGGGTGTGAGAGTGTGAATGAGCAGATGGTGGGCGCAGGGACAGGAGCGATCGTTTATGTGCAAGTGTGCGGCTGCGGCGCTCGGTGGCACGGAGAGCGGCCGTGAGGTCGGGAGATGGCGGGTCGCCGAAGATGAAGAATTTGATGAACGCGCCGATGAGTATTACGATGGAGAGTTGGCCGATGAGAAGGCCCTGGGTGAATGATAATCTGGATAGAGTTAAGCATATGCGTGGCGAGTGTGGGATATGATAGGAGGGGTGCTTACGAGGACTCATGGTGTATAGGGGCGGTGTTCGTCGACATTGTGGGGGGATCAATGCCTGGCTCTCGAGGGCATCGCAAGCTCCTTGGAGCCGATCGATACGATAGGCAGAAAGAGCCCAAGGAATAATAAACCGCACCTGTTATAAGCTCCAAGAAGTAGTATTATTCTGAAATCTGCCTTTACTTCGCTGGGCAATTATGGGCGGCTTTTGATATGTAGTTAACTTTTTTACAGCCTCGCGACTTCAACGTCATCCCAGCTTGGACGATGTTTCCCCACTCACGGGCCATGATTGGCTCAGGACCCATTTACACCTGGCAGACGTCCCAGCCTCGGCATTCAGCCTCGTGTAATTCAGGTCGCGTGACTTGATTTGACGTCCGCCGTTGAACTCGACGACGACGACGACGAAGAACGTCCGATGGCGACACTCCAACTGCTCCGTCAGCCTAATCGCCAACATGTCGCCCTGTTCCAAGCTGTGCGGTCTTCTCCGACGCCAACCTCGCTGCTCCTAAAGCCTCAGTCTGTTGCATCACGGTTCTCTCGGCAGTCCAGGGCGAATCTCTGGACATGCTCTAGCATATCTTCAAGTACACCCACTGTCACATCTCTGAAGCTATCGAATGGGTTAGCTACCTCTTGCGTTTGCAACACTATCTTATGGGGAGTTTGGCTCTGATTTCTCCTGACTTAGATCATTTACTCCCAGGCTCGGCCTGCACCGGAACTACTCTTCGGAGCCAGAAAGGAAGCCGCAAACCTCGGAAAGGTAAATCAACTGCTACTCTCCAATATATTCAGTGGCATATGCCTCTGAAATGGCCCTCTTCCCATCTCAATCCCACCAGAACGCAATTCGCCTGCCCCTACCCCACAAGAAATCACATGACCCCCAACCCTCACTAACGCCTCTCCAGCGACGTCTCATCCCCAAAGGGTCTCAAGCCCCTGAAATCCAACGTCGTCAAGGCCTTAGCGCAACTCACGCCCCACGAGAACATCTACACGATCCCCAACTTCCTAACCCTAACACGCCTCATCGCCGCCCCCGTCGTCGGCTACCTCGTTCTCAACGATGCGCACGCCTGGGCTCTCGGGCTCTTCGCCTATGCCGGCATCACGGACCTCGTGGACGGCTGGATTGCGCGGAAATGGAACCTACAAACAGTGGTGGGGACCATCATTGACCCGCTGGCCGACAAGATTTTGATGACCGTTCTGACGGTCACGCTGGCGATGCAGGGGATGCTGCCTGTGTGGCTCGCATTCATCATTCTAGGCCGCGACGTGGGCCTCGGGATCTCGGCCATATATTACCGTTGGATTAGTCTGCCGCCACCGAAGACTCTGACGCGGTACTGGGATTTTAGTCTGCCGAGCGCGGAGGTCAGACCGACGACGATTAGCAAGTATAATACGGCACTGCAGCTGGGGCTGATTGGAGCGACGACAGCGATGCCGTTAATACCGTTTGAGTTGGGAGCAACGATGACGGGGTTTCAGTATTTGGTTGCGGCGACGACGATTTGGAGTGGGGCGAGTTATGTGTATAGTAAGGATGCGGTGAAGATTCTAAACCAGAAGAAGGACGAGAAGAAGGAGGTTACGAAGAAGTGAGTGTTGCAGAGGCTAAGGAAAGATCTTGTATTATATGGCATGTACATTGGACATTGTAAGGCGTGGAGGGTATTATAGATGTTATTGCATAGAAAGGTTTGGCGATCAAAATATCTCTCACCGTACGATTCTGGGAGCGCATTTATGGGGAATAGGACCTGATACGATAAACAACTCGAGTTCTGCTTTTCTGTGGGGAGGTCACTATTCTTCCTATTTACCAGGTTACCTTGCATTCTTTGTGAACAAGAGACCGGAGGAGTTTTATCAATGCAGTGCAGAGCCCACACCCGCAGAATCCTAACGCCCTCCCTCTCACCACTCTCTGCTTCTCACTCCTCCTTAATCGTATGCCTACACGTATGGCAGCAATAATTGCTGCAAATGGTATGCACACAGAGTACTAGGCTTATAGTATAGTTTTATATAGGGGTTTAGGTATCTACTCTACTCATTATTCTACAGAATTGATTGTCATTATTCTACAGAATTGATTGCTCTCACACTCAAGTGTTCGTGACGCGTGAGAATCGGTACTTTGGCCAGAATTTCCAAGCCAGCCTACGCAGGGGGCCCTAGCCCGACCCACTCACAAAACTTATGAACAACACCTCCGCCGTAAATAAGCATTCAACATCACAAGTCGGTGAACAACAACACTTCTACGGGCGATATCAACTCAAAAGTGTGCACAAAAGTTGCTGCTTCAAAGCTCTTGTCCTCTGAATTTTATTTTTGGAAGTTTATACTTGTTATTCCTTTTGCCGTCGTTTTACACCGGTCCTGGCATACCTGACATCGGGGTGCGGTCTTGGATGACATTTGATAATTTGATACTTCAAAGCCGCCGATCGTAAGGTGCTTCGACGCGGAATATTGCCATTGGACATCTGTTTCTTTGCTGACTCGCGTTTGATTGTTCAACACAACAAAACAATACCACAGCTCACCCGGCTCTGATGATAGTTGATATGCAATGTCTTACCAATCGAGTGATGAGGATGATGACCTGAACAAAGCAATTGCTCTATCTTTGCAAGACGCTGAACAGCTTTCTTCACCAGCACCAAAACGGCCCGTGGTGATCGATCTTATCAGTGATGATGATACAGATACTGACGACCTTGATCAACCGGCCGTCCGTGATAAGCCTCCGTCAGGCTCGGGTCAAAAAGGCTCCGTTGTACCAGATAATGAGATCAAACTAGAAGAATCTCTGGTGATAAGGCCACAAGTCCGAAACGCTGAAACAAAGCACGCTAATAGCCAGGCCGCAGCCAAGCCCGTGAATCAAAGTGGACAAGAGCTCTCCAAACCATCTGATATTAAGGAACCAACAGCCATGATGTCAGGTCTTGGTGGCCTTGACCGGAAGAAAATGGAAGAAGAAAGGCTCGCCAGAGCAGAAAAACGAAAGGCTATATCGTCACAGCCAGAAAACAGTGATGTAGCCGAACCGCCGTTGAAGAAGGCAATATTAGGCCCAGGCCTGAAGTCATCTGGAATGTCTGATCGACCGCTCACAGACAAGCCAGGTGGCAGAAACGTGGCAGGCAAATCTGATACCAAGGTAGCGTTGCATCCCACGCACGTGAAAACTGCGGCTGAGTTTCTGATTCCATCTCAGCTCATGAAGTCGGAGCCAGCAATGCTTGCGGATATCGAGCGCTTCACCCCTGGTCCAGATGATACCCGGAGATTGGAAGAGACCAGCCGCACTAAGATGCCAGAGGCCCAACCATCCAAGGACCAGCAGCCTCGAATGGGATCTGGAGTCCAATATCCACATGGTGTCGTCAAACAGACGTGGGCGTTTGGCTTTCCAAGATCGGGGGACATAAAGATTGAGGAGGTTCTCCAGAAAAACGATCTTGATCTGGCGGTCCTTAGCTCATTCCAATGGGATCAGGAATGGATCCTGTCGAAATTGGATATGGCGAGGACTAAACTAATACTCATTGCTCAAGCAGTACCTAGAGACGATGTAAGTTTGTGTTTATTTTTCTATGCTATCTGTCATCTTCCCCGACCCAATTGGAGTTGCAAGAGGGGAAGGTCGGGCAAAAAGTTGCACTTCTTATCATGTTGAACAATGGTCTAGGACAATACTATTGTGAAATAAATGTTCTTATTTATGGCCATTGAAACTAACCCTATATATAGCAAGAAGAAGTCAGAAAGAGCGCCCCAAGTAATGTGAGATTCTGCTTCCCTTCCAACAAGGATGAAACAGTCAGCACTATGCACTCGAAACTGCAGCTGCTTGCTCACCCGAGTCATTTGAGAGTCGTCGTACCAAGTGCCAATCTCGTTCCATACGACTGGGGAGAAACAGGAGTAATGGAAAACGTACGTGTAGCTATATTTGATCTTTGTTAATATCAAAGAATTTGCTGACTCTCTGTAGACCGTTTTCTTGATTGACCTGCCCAGGTTGGCAGCCAACAAGGTTGTATCCATTGAAAACCTTACACCATTTTGTAGAGAACTTCGGCGCTTTTTGAAAGCTCAGGGGTTGGACTCCAAAATTACCGATAGTCTCTTGAAGTTTGATTTCTCGCAAACCGCAGGTCTGGCATTTGTGCATTCGATGTAAGTTTGAGAACAAATTCTTATTTCAAGCCACTAATAAGCATACAGAGGAGGCAACCACACGGAAAACGATTGGAAAACCATCGGCTACCCTGGTCTTGGTTCTGCAATTCAAGAACTGGGACTCGCCAACACCGGTCCTTTGAATGTAACATTCGTTGTAAGTGAACAGCCCATCAGCATATGTTGATAAACCTGCTGACCCAACCAGTCTGCATCAATCGGTGCACTCACGGACGATTTCGTGCTGGCCATTCTTCTGGCTTGCAAAGGTATGCAACTGCCACTGCGATGAATATTGGTGTATGGAAGGCTAATACTGTTTAGGAGACGATGGCTTGACAGAACTTACTTGGCGGACGAGCACCTCCCCAGCTTACAGAAAGCGCACTACTAAAGAGGAGACGCTGTTAATGGAGATGGAAGAAGGTTTCCGTATTATGTTTCCAAGCCACGAGACCGTCCGAACAAGCAAAAATGGCACGAATTCGGGGGGTACGATATGCCTTGATCCGAAATATTACCAGCGGGAACAGTTTCCGAAGGAATTGTTCCGCGACTGCAAGAGCAAGAGGGCCGGGTTATTGCTGCACAGCAAGCTGCTCTTCACCGCACCAACTCACATGAATGCCGATGGAGACCGGGGCAAAGCGTGGGCGTATGTCGGGAGTGCCAACCTCTCGGAGAGCGCTTGGGGGCGCCTCACGAAAAACAAGAGCACCAAGCAGGTGAAGTTATATTGCAGGAATTGGGAGTGTGGAGTCGTCATCCCGGTGAACCGATCCGCTTCATCACAAAACATAGACACTCCAGCAACTATGCCCCGACAGACTGCGCAGGACCACGATATCGATATAAGTTCAATATTTGAGGGAGTAGTGCCGGTTCCGATGGATTATCCAGGCCTGGAATATGGGCAGGGTCGCCCTTGGTTCAGGAATGAACAGTAGCTGAGCTGTGGCTTGGAAGAAGTTATGCACTAGGCTGCTCTGATTCTATTTGCAGGCACTCAGTTGGTCATTAGCAGGCTCGCTACCGGTCCGATCACTACGCCAGGAGGGGTGCCAAGAGACGGAAATAATAGATGGGTCGCCATGATCGCCACGAGGAAGAACAGAGATTATCAGGTACGAGGGCCTCTCTGGGGCACTGGCTCGCGTAAGATATCATTGATCTCTAAAGCTGATATTTATTAGAACAGTCTTCATGAGGGTCGACATCAAACCTCGGAGCCTCATCCGTACTGCCGATCGAATAGAGAACCATAATTGCCGCGTTATATGCCCTAATAATGGTAGGGTAGGAACGGAATTTGAGGGTTTGCTGCTCCTATTGAAGCATTCTTTCCAATTCATTGTTGTTGACTTGGTGACAGAATAGAGCACTGAACATTCTCATAATGCTTCGGGGCCTCAATGACTAGGCCTAGAACTAGGTCTTCAAACGGTAAGATTTGACAGCCCCTTTAGCTCCGGAAAATGCGGTCCCTTCCCATTAACTCCTTCGCTCTTTCTTCTTCTGGCCAACTCTGGCCTGGCTTATGACCATATTGTTCCTTCCCATTAGATCTCGTTGTTCTTTCCTCTTTTTGGTTTGACCTATGGCGGTGTCGTTCCTTCCCATTGCCTCCTCCGTTCTTTCCTCATCTGGCCAGGTCGGCTTCGACACATGTCGCGGTCGTGCCTTCCCATTAACTCTTACTATTTCCTCTTCTACCCACCTTAGCCCTAACTCATGACGGAATCGTGCCTTCCTCGAGTACTAGCTGCACTGCTTCATCGCTCCTGCTTACTTTATCGTCTGAGTATGGCCTTCCACGGAAATATATTTATTCGCTATGCATGCCTTGGTAAACCTGAACTACCAACAGCTCACCAACTGGGGAATTAGACTGAATAACATCAAAATATAATTTGGCACTTGGGAACTTCTTTCGCAACTCGCGGACTATCATTATCCTTGCTAGGCCTATCTTAGAAACGAGGTTATACTCAGGATGGAGGACAAGGCCACCTTGCCTTCCGCCATCCAACCCTCACATCGTGGGATTATTGTTTCAGCAAAAGACGGAATGGTACTTCTTGAAGCTTGCCTCCGTGGCGATATCAGTCATGTATCTCGTCGGCCCATTAAAGAAGAAAGAAGAGAGAGCGCAAGTCCCTCGAAGAGGAGATATTTTTATATACGAGGAGAAGGCTACCGGTATTTTGCGCTGGCCCGATGGCATGACTTGGAGACGCCACAGAAGAGACGGTTATTGTCTCGTGTATCGGAAAATAACGCCCACGAGGCAAAAAGGGGTTGTCGAGCTCAAACCCTCGCTGACATCGAAAGAGCGACGCGGTCTTCCCAGGACCGTATAAGCGAGGCTACCGATACGAAAAGCAATGACGAACCTTGATACGGTCAGACATGATAAACTGCCACAACCCAAGGCTGATCTCGAAAAGAGTGCTGTTGGACTCTTAATGGATGATGGTGACTTCGTTGAGGATCGGCTCATTAAGAAAACGATGTGTGGCCCACGAACGCACCGTTTGGTTTCATATTACAGTGCTGATGATGAACTGGCAAAAGGAACACTTCAAATACCTTCAAAGGATCCCAAATCCTCTACCTTACAAATCCGACTAGAGATTGTTGAGCAACACAAGGTACCAGTCGGTGATGATAGACGAGATTTCAAAGTACACGAGCTTTCTCCCAACATTATTTACCCACGTTCCCCACACAATCGCAAGGGCGGTACTGGCATGCCTGCACCTAACTCGTACAATTCCACGTGCTGGCATGCCTGCATTTAACCAGTACAGTTCCACAGGTGACGCTGGCATGCGTGCACTTGGCTATGATATGAGGACCGGAAATAATGAAGACCAAGACTCCGAGATGCCTTCGACGTTTTCGCAGACGCCAGACCCAAAGCACCCCGGCAAGCATCTTTCCAGCAGGGGCCGTACCCATCTACAAACCCCTATAGGGCAACTACCACAGGATCTCAACTCTTCATATGTTGCACCTGCTCTATGACCTGGAGCTCCATCTTGCATCAATGTAAGGCCTGGGTGTAGGCGTAGCCAGCCGTGGATTAGAGGGACAGTATGAGCCATATAGGACTCAGCTCCTATTTTCCCATATTCCTTCTCCCAAAATAGTATAGGACCCTTTCCAAGACCACCTGAGAAGCAGCCCCAGAACATCCAACCTCTAGGGATTGTTAGTAAATCCTATAGTAAATAGGAGTCTCTTACCTTCTCCGTTGTACTCTATCTACAACACACGTATCATCCCACATTTCCCCTGCTTTTCGAGTAACCCACGTACGAGTATGGCGGCCTCCCGTTACCAACGTCTCGTCAGTCCAAAGTATCTGTCATACTGACATCATTGCACTCAGTTTGCTATCAAACTCAAGAGCAAACTTAGAAATCTCCTCCTCAAACCTACAAGTCACTATATATATTTTGCTTATCACACCAACAACAAGAGCAATACTACTCAATGATTGCTATAACCCTCTATGATTTATTACATGTCATCGCTCCTTAGTTACTGAGCTGATATTACCACATAGCATATCTCTACAACCCTCTATTAGCCCAGTAACTAAGGAGTGATGTCATGTAATGACATCACTCCTTAGTTACTGGGCTAATACTACACATGACTTATCTCTATCAACTAGAGGCCTAGGAACATGAACGATAGCTCCAAAAGCTCTACAACCCTCTATGATTCATTACACGTCATCGCTCCTTAGTTACCCACAAAATTGGTTAAGTTATGACATAATTTGTCTATAGGGGTACTCTGACCTTGGATGTCATACTGACATTCGTTGCACTCAGTTTGCTATCAAACTCAAGAGCAAACTTAGAAATCTCCTCCTCAAACCTACAAGTCACCATACATATCTTGGCTTATCACACCAACAACAGAAGCAATACTACTCAACGATTGCTGCAAACTCTTCTACTACATCTGTTTATGCTACATACATCACGGCATATCATTTGAACACTCATTGAACAAGTTATTAAGAAAATCTCCTCCTTAAGGGGGTGGGCCAATACTACCACATGGCATATATCTACCAACTAGAGGCCTAGGAACATGAACGATAGCTCTAGAAGCTTCTACAACCCTCTATGATTCATTACACGTCATCGCTCCTTAGTTACCCACAAGATTGGTTAAGTTATGACATAATTTATCTATAGGTACTCTGACCTTGGACCTCCTTTTCACTTCCTATAGGCTAGGAACCCAAGAGATGGTTCTATGGGATTCTCTTACGTTCACTACATGATTAGCAAGCTAGTTGTGGGTTGCACTTGATTTCTAATACATTTACCAAGCCTGGTTAGTCATGGAAAGTCATGGAAAATGAGAGAACTACACTCCTTTGGCATAAATAGGATTGCCCTTTCCTTAAGAAAGGGCAAGCAGGCAATACAGTAAATCGACTAGCACATACTTCTACGTCTTTTCCAAGCTTCCAAGCATTGATCTTGTTATTCTCTGTTTCTGAAAAGTCAGTGAGGTGTTAACCTCTGACTTACCCCTGAGTTCCCAGACTCAACATTTGTTGCAACTTGTCTGAACCACTTCACTACATCACACACCTGATTGCTGCGTTGTGGAATAGTCTAAGCTACAACCCTTTGGCTCTGTTTCCTAAGACAGTGTGTTGTCTTAGTAAATTCATCCCTTCCTTGGGTGGCTAGATTCTCATATCTGGTGCACCCACCATTACATTGGACCTCCTTTCACTTCCTATAGGCTAGGAACCTAGGAGATGGTTCTATGGGATTCTCTTACGTCGACTACAGTTACCAAGCCTGGTTAGTCATGGAAAGTCTTGGAAAATGAGAGAACTACACTTTTTTAGCATAAATAGGATTGCCCTTTCCTTAAGAAAGGGCAAGCAGACAATACAGTAAATCGACTATCACATACTTCCACGTCTTTTCCAAGCTTCCAAGCATTGATCTTGTTACTACTTGTTTCTGAAAAGTCAGTGAGGTGTTAACCTCTGACTTACCCCTGAGTTCCCAGACTCAACATTTGTTGCAACTTGTCTGAACCACTTCACTACATCACACACCTGATTGCTGCGTTGTGGAATAGTCTAAGCTATGACCCTCTGTTTTCTAAGACAGTGTGTTGTCTTAGTAAATTTATCCCTTCCTTGGGTGGCTAGATTCTCACATCTGGTGCACCCACCATTACAACCTCCTCTCGAGCGTCAATGTAACGCTGACTTCTAAACCATAGAAGACACAGAGGTTTCTTGCGTAAGGTTGACTTGACAGAGGAGGCAGGGGATTAAACACAAAGGCTTTCCAAGTAACATGTTCCATCATGTGAGGTTGCAGCCGTAAGCGCTAGCCATAGCACTAGTACTTAGCCGTAACAGTCAAGCATGGTGATCCAGGAGTCCAGAGCGTCTGTCATAGACGACTGGGCGTCTTGCTCGCCGCTATCAAGCTCGGCGATATTGTAATGGTGGGTGCACCAGATGTGAGAATCTAGCCACCCAAGGAAGGGATGAATTTACTAAGACAACACACTGTCTTAGAAAACAGAGCCAAAGGGTCGTAGCTTAGACTATTCCACAACGCAGCAACCAGGTGTGTGATGTAGTGAAGTGGTTCAGACAAGTTGCAACAAATGTTGAGTCTGGGAACTCAGGGGTAAGTCAGAGGTTAACACCTCACTGACTTTTCAGAAACAAGGAGTAACAAGATCAATGCTTGGAAGCTTGGAAAAGACGTGGAAGTATGTGATAGTCGATTTACTGTATTGTCTGCTTGCCCTTTCTTAAGGAAAGGGCAATCCTATTTATGCTAAAGGAGTGTAGTTCTCTCATTTTCCAAGACTTTCCATGATTACCAGGCTTGGTAACTGTAGTCGACGTAAGAGAATCCCATAGAACCATCTCTTAGGTTCGTAGCCTATAGGAAGTAAAAGGAGGTCCAAGGTCAGAGTACCCCTATAGACAAATTATGTCATAGACAAATTATGTCATAGACAAATTATGTCATAACTTAACCAATCTTGTGGGTAACTAAAGAGCGATGACATGTAATGAATCATAGAGGTTCGTAGGAGCTTTTAGAGCTATCGTTCATGCTCCTAGGCCTTTAGTTGGTAGAGATATGTCATGTGGTAGTATGAGTGATGTCATGTAATGAATCATAGAGGGTTGTAGAGATATGCTATGTGGTCATATCGGCCCAGTAACTAAGGAGCGATGACGTGTAATGAATCATAGATGGTTGTAGCAATCGTTGAGTAGTATTGCTCTTGTTGTTGGTGTGATAAGCCAAAATATGTATAGTGACTTGTAGGTTTGAGGAGGAGATTTCCAAGTTTGCTCTTGAGTTTGATAGCAAACTGAGTGCAACGAATGTCAGTATGACAGATATACGCCCTATGCTCGCAGACAAGCTTAGCTACAGCCCGGCTAAGCGTTTGGTGCTCTTTGCCTCGGTCTGCCATGAGGGTTGGCTTCCATAGTTATCATAGAGTAATATTAGTATTTACCTATTTCTAGAATAGGATGTCATTCAAATTGTTGATTATGGCTAACTACATACGATATACTACTAATTTACTAGGCTAGAAATGGCTCTGTTACAGTGTGACAGAGTTCTGTCACGTCACAGTGTGACAGTCCCCTTTCCTATTTGGGCACGTGGGGCCGGAGTGGGCACCTTGGCATTAGGTACGCCTTACCAAATATGTTAAGTACTGTTACAGGATATTGAGGCTCAAAATCTATAAGTAGCCTCATATAAAATCCGTAAATAGAGCAATTTAGCAACTGTTACTGTCACACTTTTAGCGTGAAGATCCGAATATAACCCGGATCTATCCGTCAAATGTTGACCGGATCATGATCCTATCCGTGACAGCTACGGATCAGATCCGGATACGATCCGCCGAACACTGAATATATCAAGGTGGCCACTTCGTCAAATTACCCGTTTTCTATTACTATATTTCCTTCGTTGAGAAATTATATTTAAATATCCCTGCAAAACTTTAAAATATATATTTATTTAGGGCAAAAGTTTTATATACCCGGTAAGTTCATAAATAAGTTTTATATACCATGGTGATTCTTACTAAGCAAGAAACCACTCAACGCGCTCGGCGCGTTGCCTCCCTCCCTCGCGTTGCCTCCCTCGCTGTTGCTCCCCCTCGCCATCGCCCTCCTCGCTGTCCCAGCTGACTCGCTAGCCGCTGCCCTCACTGAGGCACTCGACGGCGAGGGGGCTACGGGGGGCTACGGGGGGGGGGATTGGGGGGTTTTTACTGGTCGCAGGGGGTTTCATATTATGTAGGGTATATAAAACTTATGCCCTTTATTTATTTAAATTGGGGTATCTTTTGAAGTAGTTTCGCTTCCAAGATCAGTGGCAATAGATCTAACCTTCGAGTCATCTGTTGTGACATCAGTTTGAAGCTGTCTTGGAACCCTGGGCGGCCTGTTCAGCTTCCTTAGCTTCCCCCTATGCCCCCTACTTTGCAGATGAAAGTCCCAATTCGCCTCTGTAACGGCGGTTACATTGCAGACATCACAAGTCTGGCGTATCCAGAGGTCCGGCCTGTCTCCGAAATCAAAGTCCTTGCTAGGAGTCAGGAACTCCGCGGCCGCTGGCAACATTTCTGTCGGCGGCGGTAAGTCTAATCCGCCCAAAAAACCCCCGCAAACCTTTATAGCTTGGCTAGAAACGTCGAGCTGGAAGTTGCTAACTTCACTCCCATCCAGTAAATACAGGTTGCGAAGTGACTC